GGAACATGAATAGATATAATGGACTTCTACAAGAAGATATGGTCACCATGCACATGCATACACGTGCTTGTACGTGCGCTGCAATCTGATTGGCTGAAACTTTGAACAGCTATAACTCCCTTGGTTTTCAACCAAACGGGGTGGGATTTAGAACAAAGATAGATGTAATGGACTTCTACAAGAAAGTATGGTCGCCATGCTCATGTGAGCACGTGCGTGCACGTGAAATGAGTAAATCAAAAATACACTTGAATTAGCGTATTTTTTAATTCTTTTAAATTAAATACTTTAATATTTAGTATATTAAAATCTATAGATTCTGAAGACAAGATGATATGGTCATTGCGCACGTGCATTCACATGCACACGCGTGCAATGCTAAAATTTGAATGAAATTGGTACGCTTCTGGGTAAACGTTGTTAAAGTCTCAAATGCATAGAGTTTGTCTTATTTAATGAAGCTTATAGGGAATATGGCACCAAAAGGGAGTTGGGGAGCGTTTGGGGAACATCCGTAACGGTCCCCGTTACAATTAGCACTAGTTACTGTATGATTTAATGATCCAGGTTCTTCTTTCTTTCTCTTTTAATTTGTTGACAAATTTTTATACGTTATGTGTTGTTAAAAGAAGAAGAAGAAAACATGACAGAAGTACAAGTAAGTACACTTTATTATTTACATATTTTTATATAGGCCTAACTATCGAAATTTTTAAAATAAATTTGTTAATATATTTGTTAATAGTTAAATTATTTCATAAAAATGAGACATATGTACAGTAATCTACCGGTATTAAATCCCATTCGAGGAAAATCGTACACTTATATATATTTTTAAACAAATGAAAGCAAGGTAATTTAGATTTCATATAAGCAGAATTATTTTCTAAATGTTGTCAATTTAAATGCCGAATACTTTAAATTTATTGTTTTAAACTTTGAAGTTTAATATGCTGTAAGCATTTCATATTTTTGCTTGTTTGGTGTATTAAATTATACAACTCTGAACCCCAGGGGTTTAATCTCCCCCGCTGCATACACTACTGTTTATATGATTGTGTACCGTTATCCATTCAAAAATTTGATGTCCTGTCCGTTGACAAGTACGTGTCATCCTCGTTAATTGCCATTTTGGGTAGTTCTGTATCGATCCAGTTTTAATGAAAGTTATTCTTAAAATTTATATAAAACAAAAAAATAAATAACGTTAAAATATTAAAATACAAATAGAATATGTTAGAAACAAATTTTACCAAATAAAAATAAATGTACACTATATGCTTTTTTAATTATTGCCACCGGGAAATAATATAAATAATATTTCGGTCCAGCGATAGCCGGAATATATTTTGAACCTAGTGACACATGCCAAACATGTGTATTCTGTTTATTGGTATCAGTAGTATATATATATAAACATTTTCAGTGTCTGTTAAAATATAAATTGGTTTTTTGAATTCCGATGACGTTGGGAATTTCAGTTTTGAAATACAAAAAAAAAAAAAATCGCTTTCTGAACTCAGCAATCGACATGGCTAGTTACTACCCCTGTGTTCAGTGTAAAAAACGCTGTCGAAATGACACTATACAATGCTGTAACTGTGACAGATGGGTACATCTAAAATGTGTACCAATGAGTTCATCTCAACTTAAAATGTGGTCCCAGCCCCTTCTGAGCTTCCTTTGCCGAGATTGCTGTTTTACAGAGGACGAGTACGACTTTTCAAAAGCACTGGAAAGGTAGGTTTTCTTTTTAATTTTGTAGCTTGTATTAAGCCCTTATGTCAAAAACATTCACATATGTCTACTTTCAACCAATTCAAAGAATTAATTTACGAATTGATAGTTTATCTATTTTATTTGTAAGTAACATTTGGCAAAATGATAAGTACAAAATAAGTAAATATTTCAACACAATCTGCTGATTAGGAACACAATTTTCAAGTGTCTTTAGAAACAAATCTTGTCGCCAAAACGGTTCTTCTGATACAATGAAAGAGTTTTCTTTGCCCACGGTCGTTGAGGTGCACCAGGTCCTCTGCTCACTTAATATGAAATACTGCTTGGAATACTAGTAATTAATGATATTATTACGATAAACTTATTTTCAATTGTTGGTAATATGAGTACCCGAAAGGGTGTTATTGATAATCAAAATACAGAATCATAATATAAAAGTAAACGCATACATTAATATTTTTTACATAACGTTTCGAGTTTGTTTTATGTTAAATAAATTAAACATTTTAGGATTTCCAGCGCTCTTCACTCCGACCCAAAGGACTTAAAGATGACAGTTTCATCAGAATCCCTCCTGCTAGAGACGTACGGCGTAAAAATCCCGGAGCAAACCAATCCATCCGACCAAGCTGTAGATGAGATTTCCAGAGACATCCTTAAACAGTTTCACCCAGCCATTCTGTCAGCAGTATTCCCGGCTAAAACTGTTGGTGATGGTAATTGTATGTATCGTGCTGTATCTCGGGCTGTGACGGGATCAGAATCACATCATGTCCACTTTCGACTATTGACCGCGTTAGAGATACTGCACAATAAGTATTATTATGACCCTGATCATAGAAAATTTGTTGACCTAGTTAATGACAATAGAATTGTTTGTTCTTCATACTCAGAAGCAATACGAGACGCTGTTTCTCTATACTCATTCTCTTCCATGACTCACATTTATGCCCTGAGTGCTGCTTTACGTCAGCCAATTAGATCTTACTATCCACCCCAACTGTCCGCTGAATTTGTTTCAGAACCTCACTCTAGGAAAGTTGTAGGTAGGGGTGTTAAAATGTCTGAGTCGCCTACTATTACAATTATGTGGACTCAAATGCGTTCTTTATCACAAAAAGTATCATTTTCACCAAATCATTTCGTACCACTTATGAATGTGCATATGACCAGTGAGCAAGATGTTGTTAACTGTGATGTGAGCATGTTGAGCGAAAGTACGAGCGATTGCGAAGTTGAAGTAAGCAAGATTGGATGCGAGAATGTATGCAATACTTCAAGTGCACAGAACACTCCAGTTACGCACGTACAAGAGAGCAAGATTGACTGTAATCATAGTAAATGTGAGACAGTATGTGAATCTGACAACATTGACAATTCCGATGTTCAAGAATCGTGTGCAACGGACATAAATAGCGAGTCTGGGGAAAGTGAATTAAAATACCCGTTTATAGATGACGAATCTGTACATGACTTAGCAAACGGTTGTCTTGACGGAGCATTTCTAGACGTCAATGACGTAGTGACTAAATTACAATCATTTTCCTTTACTGAATCGCACGCGTCAATTCCGGGTGGAATAAAAAACGATGTATACTTTGTTGTACAAAATTCGCAAAATTTTGGCAAACGGACAAAAGGTCAAAGAAGTTGTTTTCCGATGACTGTGGAGTTTGGAAATTTCGAAATTTCAAGGCAACAGAAAAAACGACTGTTACCTCGACAGACGGAAAGATGACGATTGTTAGGCCAAAGTCGTTAGGTAAGAAATTAGGACAGAGGAAGAGAAAGATCAATGAGAGGACTAGCACTTTCAACAAGGGAAAATGTAATTAAATTATACGGACGGTGCGTACGCCGTATCTCCTTGTCGAGATGCCCCCTTTTGGGGTAGGATTCGACCGTCCAAATTTGATTGTATTTCCTGACAATTAGCAATCCTCTTCCGGGAACATTCAGGCCGTACGTCGCCGTGTCGCGACATTGCGTTATGCATGGGGATCTGAAAAATAATGTACATAACAGTTGTTGTAAATAGTATTAATTATCAGAAGAATTTTGTATATATTATTAGTTTTAACGTTTAATCATGTAATTAATATGTGAAATTCTTGCATTTCAGGTTCTCCTTATTCGAAAGTCGTATTTGTAAATAAAGTTTATTTTCACTTCATAATCATTCATAGAAATTTTGTATTTATAAATAGAGTACTCTCGATACAGCTGAGAATTGATTTCATTAACCATGTCTTTTTTATGATTTTTTTTTGTTTTCTTTTCTTTTCATGGTTTTTTTAAAATTCAAGTTCTTTCTTTTAATGATTTTTAAAAAATTCAAGTTAAGCTTCTTGAAAATTTGTCAAAAATACCATGACGTTTTCTATTTCTTATAGAAATATTTTTTATCGATTCGTTTTTTTTTCTTATTAGGTAATCTGGGCTTAATCAATTATTGTTTCAAGAATGATCCCCAACTATCCATCCTTAGATTCTTTAAATTCATATTTAAGTCTTCGTCTTTGGGTTAAATTATTATGATTTTAAACTTGATCTTTGTGTTAATTTTTTTCTAGTTTGATTGTTTAATAATTCATCTTTGGCTTTAATTTTTTTTTCTTCAAAATTATGGCTCTTATTGAGAAGGCCTCCACGTGGCAAGAGCTGGGCAACGGTATCTTGGGGTTGCGGTGGGTGGTAGATTGTAATTTAATGATACCGGCGAACATTCTTAAGTGATTACTATTTAAAAAGATATGATTTGTTCCAAATTAAAATAAAAAATAAATAAAGATCTTTTATTTTTAAACCTGACGTTATTATACTGTACTTATATGAGGTGTAGATAATAAAGTGTACTTGTACTTCTGTCATGTTTTCTTCTTCTTCTTCTTTTTAAATATTTACCAAGACATACCGTATATAATTTTGTCAACAAATTAAAAGAGAAAGAAAGAAGAACCTGGATCATTAAATCATACAGTAATAATATAACAACCGGCAAAAACACGCTTCCTGTTGCGATAATGCTGCAAGAGTTATCGCTCTTAGTAGTCACTATATTCGAGCGAATTAGAAGGTTTGTTTTTTAATTTTTGTTTAAAACACACAGTTTTTTAAATAAAATTTATCATAAATTGTCATAAAATGACCATTAGAATATAATTCAAGGGGCATTTCGGTAGTTTTAGGGGGCATTTCGGTAATTTCCAGGGGCATTTCGGTAAATCAGGGGCATTTCGGTAATTCGAGGCACCGGTCGAGTTTTAATGATTTGCTCAGAAGAAACATTTGTACATTGAGATCTCCATTGCAGTGAAAAACAATGTGATTGACAGAAAAGTCGGAAAACTACAAGGCCTATCAAAAGGTAGACACATTTTTGGTCATTAAACTATTCGAATATCTATAGATAATTTATTTAAGCGACAGTTCCTATGTTCTATCGCATTCTCTGGCGAGGGTAATTCCACAGGTTACGCTTGAGACAGACATGATGACATTGCCCACATTTTTCATACAATTCTGAGAGAGTGTTGATTTAGATGATTGGTTTTCATGTCAATTAAAAGACAGATTATCTATTGTCAAAATTTCCAAACGTAAACGTTAGATTATTTATTTCAAAACTCAAAAGTATGACAGCCCTGAGGCCACAATTAAAATATTGTTGGTTTGGCGTTGCCGACTCGGCCTTAATACGTTTGGTTCGGTAGGTACTAGTGGAAATTTTTCTTTCAATTTCAGAATTCAACTGCATTAATATCAACTTGTCATTTATTTTCAAACCCTAATATGTTGACGGTGCGACCGTTAGGGCGAGCGAAGATACTTATCCAGTTTTCATTTAGATCAGACTCATCAAACCGCACGTGACATTCGGTGCGTATAAGACTCTGATGTCACATAACGTCATTGCTTTACCAAAAGGAAGCCTGAACAGGGCTGATTTAAATAAGTTTATGATTATTTTTCAGCAATAAACAGATAAATTCATTAAATCAATGCAAGTTTATTTTTCTTTTAGCTTTTGTAGTTATTCTCGCAAGAACATGGCTGTAGTGTTAGTATACAAAGCGATGCAATGTGGGTCCAAATTACTGCGGAAAAAATTCTATGGAATAAATGTCCAGTAGTCCGAATTTTCTCTTGGCCCAGGCGTTGTCATAAAGTTTTTTTCACATGCACGAATCCAATCATGGCGGCTAGATTCATCTAGCAAATTGGACAGGATATTGTACCTTGAAATTTTTAATTCAAACAAGTATAAACTGATTTGTCAGTATATTTTTCCCACAACACACATTACAGCAGAAAGTGATGCCATCAACTTCTGTTATACAGAGTTTACCGCTTTCGACAACCATGCTTGGATTTGTGATACACATATTCAAAATCACATAAACGCTTTTAAATGAAAACTACTTCGATCAATCAAGCATTTACATGATTCTTTCCCATTTTGTGTACTACTCAAACATACAGACGCCTAAATCCGGATATATAGAACAAAAAAAAAATTACGATCCATATCAGCTGCAAAATTTATTCGGACCGCATAGATTTACTTGAGTTAGCCGGCAACGCCAAGCAAAGTTAATTTTATTTTTGGCCTGATATCCCATCCCATCACAAAGTAAATTATTGGAGATCAGTTGTAACAGGCTAGGGGCTAAGGTTTGTGAACAAAATCTCTGTGTACCTAACAGCAAAGTTTTATTTCAAAGCGGCATTTTTGTCAATTGAAGCAGTCAATTTTGCTGGTAGCAGGTACTTAGGGAAAACACTGCATCTACCCTTCTCCCCATCATAGTTAGAATTGTCCAATTCATTATTTTCCCTGCTTTAAAGGTTCGAAACATGGTCTGGTCCACTGCATTTTTCTCTTCTTCTGTTACAGTAGATTTAGATGGAATATCGAGTTACAGTATATCCGTTTTTTTTCGCGATGATCTAATTTTCACATTTTTTGTGACTATTTTTGATTCGCAAAATATGAAACACGCAGAAATTATGTCAGCTATAATGTGACATAAAAACATTACCATTTTAAACAAAAAAATCTTTAATCGTAAAAATTAACTTACGCAAAATAAAAATTGTACTAATCTACGTGTACCTGTTTTTCGCAAAATTTCCAACACATGAAAAAAAAAAAAAGGATATACGGTTCAGAAAAAAAGTCAAAAGGCTGTAAAGATATTCATTTTGAACATATAACCTTATTTGCAGCCATGAAGGGCAAGGTGTCTAACTATGCCAAGCGGATGGCCCATCTGTCTGCCAGGATATTCGGGGAGTACACTGGAGAAAGGACATACAATGCCAACCGAATCATCAATGAATTCAAAAGTATGCCAAAATATAAGGACCCTAATATCATAAACTATTACCCAAAACACCCTGAGGCAACATGGTTACTTAACAGACTTAGACATCATGGATTGTTCAGGTAAATGTATTGAAATATTGTGTAACTGCTGATCATGAAAAACTGGGTTCATGTCTGATGGAAGAAATAGCATTGAAAATAAAGTTTGTGCAACATAATTAAATGAGAACTGCATTGCCTCACATGATTTAATAAAGCTTAATGAAAAAAACCCACTAATTTAACACTGTCAATAAATGCTTAATTAAAAAAAAATGCTGATTCCATGACAGTTGATAAAAGTAATCATGATTTAAAATTCATATTCTCCCTAAATTCACTATTTCTATGAGCCCGAATTTTTTCGGGGCGCATATTGTTTTTGTCCTGTCTGTTTGTCTGTTTATCTGTTTGTCTGTTTATCTGTTTGTCTGTTTGTCTGTTGTCAACTTTAACCTTCGCCAAAACTTTTGAACCGTAAGAGAAAGAGACTTCATATTTGGTATGCATACTCCTCTAATAAAGTCCTTTCAAATGACATCAAGGTCAATGACCTTGTGACCTTGACTGTGACCTATATGCTAAAAATAGCTTTTTCCACTGTTTGTCATAACTTTTTAACAATAGGAGATAGGGACTTCATATTTGGTATGCATACTCCACTAATAAAGTCCTTTCAAAGGACGACAAGGTCAATGATCTTGTGACCTTGACTGTGACCTATATGCTAAAAATAGCTTTTTACACTTTTTGCCATAACGTTTGAACAATAAGAGATAGGGACTTCATGTTTGGAATGCATACTCCACTACTAAAGACCTTTCAAATGACACCAAGGTCAATGACCTTGTGACCTTGACTGACCCATATGCTAAAAATAGCTTTTTCCACTGTTTGTCATAACTTTTGAACCATAGGAGATAGGGACTTCATATTTGGAATGCATACTCCACTAATAAAGTCCTTTCAAAGAACGACAAGGTCAATGATCTTGTGACCTTGACTGTGACCTATATGCTAAAAATAGCTTTTACACTTTTTGCCATAACTTTTGAACAATAAGAGATAGGGACTTCATATTTGGAATGCATACTCCACTAATAAAGTCCTTTCAAATGACACCAAGGTCAATGACCTTGTGACCTTGACTGACCTATATGCTAAAAATAGCTTTTTCCACTGTTTGTCATAACTTTTGAACCATAGGAGATAGGGACTTCATATTTGATATGCATACTCCACTAATAAAGTCCTTTCAAAGGACGACAAGGTCAATGATCTTGTGACCTTGACTGTGACCTATATGCTAAAAATAGCTTTTTACACTTTTTGCCATAACTTTTGAACAATAAGAGATAGGGACTTCATATTTGGAATGCATACTCCACTAATTAAGTCCTTTCAAATGACACCAAGGTCAATGACCTTGTGACCTTGACTGTGACCTATATGCTAAAAATAGCTTTTTCCACTGTTTGTCATAACTTTTGAACCATAGGAGATAGGGACTTCATATTTGATATGCATACTCCACTAATAAAGTCCTTTCAAAGGACGACAAGGTCAATGATCTTGTGACCTTGACTGTGACCTATATGCTAAAAATAGCTTTTTCCACTGTTTGTCATAACTTTTTAACAATAAGAGATAGGGACTTCATATTTGGTATGCATACTCCACTAATAAAGTCTTTTCAAACGACGACAAGGTCAATGATCTTGTGACCTTGACTGTGACCTATATGCTATAAATAGCTTTTTACACTTTTTGCCATAACTTTTGAACCATTGGAGACAGGGACTTCATATTTGGTATGTATACTCCACGGATTAAGTTCTTTCAAATGACACCATGGGCAATGACCTTGTGACCTTGACTGTGACCTATATGCTAAAAATAGATTTTTTTAACTTTGTTGCTGCCGGGCGCATAGTGTTTCACAAACACATCTTGTTACAAATTACATTGATGTGCTTGATTGCAGTGAACAAATATACACCTTTTAACACTATTTCTGCTACATACATCTACAGGTGTGTGAACTACTAGGCATAACCTCATCTGTTCAGTAGTAAGGATGGTTTTTCTGCTCTTTTTCAGGGACTACCATGCCGATTTTAAGGAGGAATTTGCAGCTCAGAGAGCCAAGCGGGGTAAAGGCCCCCCAGAGAAGGGCCAGGGAAAGAGGGCATTGAGGAAGTGAACTTTGTAGGACCAATGTGTGGAATAAACTTGTTTTATATTCATTACAGGTGTTCATTGTTATTGGAATGAGAAATTATTTTTGGATGTTTTTTTTTTTTCAAATGAAGAGATTACAAATACGTATGGTTTATTTTCCTTACAATGCGGTATAGTTTTTACTGTCCTTCCTTGCATTTCTTATGAAGGACTACAGTATATAGGGAAATTTTTGCTCCCATTTTATTTTCTCCCCTTTTGCCCTTACCTAGGGCAAATTTAAAAGAGGCAAAATTCAAAGAATACAGAATAATTTGTTAAACAAAACTGTGACTGGGCATATTTAAAACAGGGAAAAATTGTTTGCAAGTGTGAAAGAAAATCGGGTGAAAATAACCCTGTATACAGTATTTTTGCCCCATGTTTTTGCCCTTTTCAGTGGCAGATTTAAGGGGGGGGCGCACCCAGCGCGCACCCCCCCCTAAAATTGTCAAAATTTACATAAATCACAGTTTCGTCTAGAAAATGTAAATATGTATACTTGGTAGACCTCATTTTTACCCTACAAAATCTCTAGAATCCCTGAGCTTCCGGGGGCTTCGCCCCCTGAGCCCCCACCAGGGCATTGTCTTGGACCTACTGGGGGCCTCAAGGCGGCCCCCAGATCCCTTGCCTACTTTTGGCGCCCCCTCTAACTTCAATTCCTGGATCCGCGCCTGCTTTTATACTTCCAAACAATGTTGCCCCGTTTTAAATTCACCCAATAACAGTTCTGTTTAAGAATCATACAGTCTTATTTGAATTTGCCCACTTTAAGTTGGACAAAAAAAGGGGCGGGGGTAAAATGGACAAAATTTCCCTGTATACAGTCCTTGATGGCTAGTCAGTGTAACTTTTTCCAACCAGACCAGGAGGGTCAAGGCCAGAATTGTTACAAATGACATGACCATGCTGCTACAATACATCAAAGATCTAAAATAAGTTTCTGCTTTGTACAGATAAAAGATTCCAGTGAATGGAAATAACAAACCAGATATGTTTGGAGTGAGATTTTAAAATGCCCATTATATGCTGGCTTAATATTAATGAACTATTAAGCTTCATTATTCAGTGTTTGCTACTGGATAAAAAAAATAAAAATAAAAGAAAGGATCTGATACCTTTTAAAGCTGAACAGGACTTGTAAATAGGCATACGCCATTTCCAATAGCATTATCTACGACACATCAATACTAGGGTATACTGGTCGCATTCGTTACATCTGACTGCTTTATTGTCATGGGTATCGACGTGGATAGTGACCCGTGTTCGTGCTGGTTATCTTGCATTACTTTTTTTTTATATATATTGCAGTTACGTGTTTGTATACTGCACTGACTTACACAACTATAATTGTAAACTTATTTGGTATCTTACTATCCTGCATTAGACTAAGTATTACATTATTATTCTTGCTACCGAGTGCTGTATAGCATACGTCCGTCTTCTTCGGTGTCGACTGATTACACTGAACAGTGACTAAGTTTTGCCCTATTTATAGGGGTCTGCAGAGTAGCGAGACTCGGGAACAAAAATGGCGGACAGATTCCTTTTACAAATGGTGCTCAGCTTTAAGTGAAGTAAAAAATTTGTTTACAGAATTCATACACATTTATTTCAATATAATGTACAATATATATGGACATGAATATACAAAATGATCATGTAAACAATACAAATACATAATTTACATAATTATCATTCAACAATTTTTTCAAATATCACAGTTCTTTGTTAAAATGTTAGCATATCAAAACCAACATCCTTCCAATGTTCCCAGAAACAACACTCCATATTTATTTACAAATTATAAATGCTAAGTACATGTGTACATTTGTGTTAATACTCTGGAACATAAGATGCTTTCTGGTTGATAGGTGGCAGGACTTTATGACGATCTGATCCCGGACGACCTTGAGAACTTGGGCGGGGCACGGAGGGAGGGCGAGGATTGGACAGTTCCATGGGATTCATGGTCTCTGTTGGGAGGTGGGGGTCTTTCCCATTGTGAATCGATCCATCGGGTGAGCGAGCGATTTTACCGGCAGACGACATGGAGATGCTGGAATCTGATTGGTCGTCGTCTGAGGAGTCCTCGTCTGATTGGGCCTGTTTGTTGTTGACTGGTGCCGACTGCGACCGGTTTACGTCCTCTGTCATGGTAACCACATCCAGTCCCACCTGGTTATCAACAGTCTGGGGGGCTGTTTTGGGGTATCTGTAGAAAGAGTATATAGCCAATGACTTAATTCTCCAAACAAAGAATTATGGAAATTTCATATGGCCCAAAAATTTTGAAAAAAAAGTAGAAAACCAATGAAATGGAAAGTGAAATTCTTACAATGCATTTCTGACTATAGCAAATGTCTTATTTTTCTTTAATAATTGATGATTGTATTTTTTGATGTTTTAATTCTGATGAAATACAAGGGACAACACAACTTACTGTGATGTGATTTGTTCAAACAATGGAGGAATGTAGCCGGCTACTGAAGCCTTGGCTGCACTGTGTCTTCTCTTCAAAGACATCTCCTCCTACGAAAATTAACATAGGATAAATGTTCAAACCTTGTTATTCTCTTCAAAGACATTTCCTATCTCATATAAAAAAGTGTTACATTAAACAAAATAATCATTTTGACCCCCTACTTACCAGTATGCCCCTCCCTGACAATACAGGTGACTGAGTGGTCTTTCCGCGGGTGTAGGGCTGGGACATGCTGTCAGGGAGGCTGGGTCGGGACCAGGTCCGGGTCCCCAGCTGAGTTCCTGTGGGGGCATTGTTCTCTGTGTCCTTGGTCTCAGCTATATCCCCAACCTCGGACTCAAACGAGGGAATGCTGATACCGAGATAATCCATAACCAGTCGTCTCAAGTGTTTGTATGCTTCCTCTATATCATCTGAGAAAGAAATGAGAAGTATGCAAAATATAGTTTTAACAGTTATGTCCCCTTTTTTAGATGCTAGATAAGTTTTCAAACTTTGCTTTTGTAAATTGTGGTCAAATACATTTCATATTGTCAGAATTGAGCATGTATGTAGAGACTACAATTTTCACAGGATAAAACTACATGTACCAGCTTACGATTTAGTCAAATGAACGTTCACTGAGAGGTCTAAAAAGCTGACTGCACTGAATGACACACTCTGACATTTCATTAAACTGAGTGGCAAAGTTCATTCTTTGTTCTGTTTTGATAGTGACCTATATATCTTGTCTTACTCACCACTGTTGATCATCATGTCAAAGAAGCCCGGATGGTCCCTGTTGTATTCCTGATACATCTCGGCCCGAGTGAGATTGTCCTCGATCTGAGCCTCGGAGTACAGAGCACGTTCTCGGAGTCTCTTCTCGTGACACTCTGAGCTAAGGGGCATGATCAGGACATACCGGGGCTCAAAGTAGGTGTTCTTCAGAGTTAGCACTCCCTAAATTAAAGAACTTTGTGTGATTATGTATTCTTACTTCAACAAAGACCCCATAAAGGGGAACCCTCAAAAAAAATTTTTTTTTTGAGGGATAGATTACTATAGAATTAATGTTTTGTGGGGTAAGCAATCTCCGTGGATATTGTGGATTTCTGTGCCTTTGCATTCACATCCCCATAAACAAAGACATTATAAAAGTGTAAATTTAAGTGGATTATTCTACATCTAACAATGAAATTACATCCCCATGAACCAGTGATATTTTGATTCTTATGATTGACACACACCTCTAGTTCCATGTGGACGACACAGGCCAGTCCCTCCCTAGCTATGTCCTCAATGGACTGCATCTGAAGTCCGTACCACTGACCGTGGTACTGACTGGTCTGGATAAACTGGCCCTGTAATTAAAGAGCAAAATACCTATTATTAATCAAAAGCAACTTAACTTTATAAGGAATTTAATTAAGAATTTTAATTATTCTGTCTGTTACTGGTAGGAAAGGATAAAAACATAAAATTTAAAAGATTATTACCATCACAATTAAATTGTACCTGGTAGATGATATAAAATGTGTTAAAATCAAACTTTACAAATTTTATGTTTCAACTCACCCATCTGATGTCAAATTCAAATTTCTCTAGATCTACAAAATGGTAGTCCTTTCCTGGTGTTTCATCTTTATTTGGTTTACGTGTAGTATGTGTTACACTGAAAATAAAATCAACATCAAAATTCTCAAGAAAAACCATTTTGAGGACATAAAATAAATGGTTATGATTAAACCTCTCTTCCTCCATATTAACTAACGATTTCTCTGGTCTGCAGCTTTGGCCAATTTTTGATCAAATTTGTTACATGTACCAGTGTGCAACAGCTGCAGTGAGCATATACATGAAATAAAAGTGAATAATATAGTAGGAACATTTTTATTCCATTGCAACAAATTTAAGATTCAGATATTTTTAACTTACCAGTAACCAAAGTAATCAGAGAATTCCTCCACCAGTTTTAGAGCGAGGTCTTTTTTCCCTGACCCCTGGGGACCAACCAGGACCAACATAGGGTAGGGGGTCTCCATACTGGGCAGGGTGCTGAAAATAAACAAAAATTATTATAGTTCTCACAGTTAGAAATTATTGTACGAGTAGTTGTGATGCATGTGCCCAAAAAGAAAAATTTTAAGTAAATGATACAAATGAGCATTAATTTTCCATATTTAAAATTTACAAACCCAATATTCTCAAGAAGAATATTAAAACCTTAAATGACACAAAAGAGCCTAGCTTATTTTGCCACAGTGGTCAATAGATAGTTTTGAAAAAACACAATTTGAGCAAGTTTTTTCTTTGTGCTTGTTATATGGGAGGTCAACATGCCCATATTCCTTCTTCATCAATTGCATTTTAACTTGTCATACTGTACACTGTGTGGAGGAAACATTGCTCTAATAGAAAATGTATACATGTATTTGCAAAAGCCTCCTTTAAGTCAGAATTTTCATTTTAATAATAATGAAAGACACCCCCCCCCAATATTTCTGCTACATGTTTAAAATAATATTTTGATATGGGAAAAAGGGAAAAAAATCCCTAGGTTGACTTCCAAGAGGATAGCCATCAAGGGAAATAACTCATAAGGAACATGTCATAGAAAAGCTATCTAAAGTTTGAATTATAGGCTTACTTGTCCAGAATTCGACTTGGCTGAAGGAAGGAATACACGACATGCATGATGTGGTCCCGTGCCGCTACAATTTCAGCTGGGGGGTTAAACATGTTCACGGCTGCTACCTGTAATACAGACAGGAATTTACAATGTGAAACTTTTCTCTCCTTGACATCAGTATTTTGTCTTCAATGCCTTATACTGTTCATTAAATAATATAGTAAGGTTAATTCTGAACAGAAACTTTGTAGGAATGAATGGAGATAACCAAAATTTTAAACTAATTTTAGTTTTTTTAATTATGCTCTTCTGCAATTTTCAAATATAACACTAAAATTTGACGTTGTATTCATTCATTTAAAAGTTATCTCCCCTTAAGCTCATTTATTTAAATGTACATGTATTTGTTTAATGTGACATTTTCATTGGCTGACAACTAATCAGACAAACGTCCTTGACCTTTTCTTCGACCTCCACCCTGTGCCTATCCAGCTCAGTGAGACTCTGCATCCGGAAGAGAATGGACAAGCGGTAATCCGGCAGTTCCTGTATCGGATTCCGGAGCAGATTCAGCTGACGTAGCATCTGGGACTCCTTAATGTACTTCATCTCTGAGATGTCAATTACCTAGGAAGAATAAAACATTATAGTGTACATGTATACTTTTACTTCGATATTCCTTGCAGACATTATCACACAAAAACACAATTTGCATTTATATTAATTTGGTTGCTTGGCCGTGCTATTAATCATTATCCAGTCATCCCAAAATATTTAAACTTAAAATTGCTTTTACAGTTGCTTTAAAAAGCCTGGCAAATAGATATTTAGTAATTTTTAAAATCTTGAGACATTCAATTAGACTAATTATGACCTACTTCATTATCCTCTACATCCACATTCTCCAAAAGGGGGTGGTCCTCTAGCCCTGCCAAACTTCGGATGTTGTTACCTGATAAATTAACACTCTGCAATGGAAAAAAAAACAATTTCAGAAAGTCTCACTCATAAATCAATAAAATTCTGATTTTAATACTTGATTATAATTCCTTTTTGAAATGAATCATGGGTTGAAGAAATACATGTATGTGCTGACTTCTTAAAAGCCATGATATGTAAATTTTTATTTTTGTGTATTTTCACTTACTCTCAACAGACGCAGAGTTTCCAGGTTTTCTATCGTCTTGATATGGTTGTGGCACTGAAAATAATGGCAAAATTGATACTGGTAATTAAAAATCAGGCTATTAAGAGTTTATTATATATTTTTTACCAATAATTATAACAATACACACCAAATTAAGGCTCTGTAGTGGTAGATTTTCTAGACCATGTATCCTCTCTATTTTGTTGTGGGCTAAACTCAGATCTTGTAGACGTTTACAATTTTCTAATCCTTTAATCTGTGAGATTTTGTTATCTAGTTTTATGGTCAAGGATAAAAACAGATTATTAATTTCTCATTCTTTAAACAAAATATATAAGTTGAAAATGAAGTTGTGTAAAATAAACATATTTTATGCCTGAAACAAGGTAATCTTCAACTAGCTGTCTCTGTGCATCTTATCCTAATTCTTGTGAGAGAGAGAACTATTCTTTCTGATATTCATAATGCATTGAATGAAGAAAATCTTGTAGTACTTTCCAGTGTTTTCCCTAAGAACTGGCTACCGGCCAAATTGACCACTTCAATTGACGAAAATGCCCCTTTGAAATAAAAATTTGTTGTTAAGTCCACAGAGATTCTGTTCATAAACCTCAGCCCCTTGCCTGTTACAACTGATCTCTAACCCTTTAGTTTGAAATAAAGGGAAAACACTGACTATCTCATATGTGTACATTGTGTCTCACCCCATTTGTTTACATAAAGAGACCTAACTATACTGATAATCATAACTATGCATGTAAATTAAGGATACGATCAAGATTAAGAGTGGTTAAGTAATGGTAGGCAGAGAGATCAGCCATTTCCTGGATTTCATTGTAACTAAAGTTGGCCTCCTTCAGATTCTTTGGAGGCGTGAAGTCTAGGAGCTTTGTCAGTTTATTGTGAGAGACGTCTAAAACCAGCATGTACTGCAGGGAACTAAGGGGAGATAAATCTGTAAAATAACAAATATACATTATAACAGTTAAAAGGAGCTAAGGGGAGATAAATCTGTAAATAGATATACATTATCAGAGAGGAAATAAAGGAAAGACAAGTCTTAATCATCTGAACAAATATGAAATAAAGAGAACACATGGAAAATAAAATGAATTCACTTGTAAGGAATTGTGATGAAAATCATACACTGGTGTTTGTATAAACCCATTTAAGATGAGAAAGACTATATAAAAAATAAATCTGCCACATTTAGATTTTCCTACAGAAAGAGTAACAATAACAAAACCTATACCTGTAAGTTCATTGTAGGGTAATTCCACTTTCTGGAGATGGACAAAATTTGACAGAGTTGATATGTCTTTCAAGTTGAAACCCTGAAAGGTAAAAAATCAAAATTTCAATATAGTTACCTATTCAAAAATATATTGAAGCAAATAAGATTATAATATTACTTAGTTTTTCTTTAAAGAAAATTATATATTTTGCTGCAACAAAGGATAGAACTGTATCACCAGTGACTGATGTGATATGCACTTGAAGACATTTTTTTGTCTTATAAACAACTTACAGCAATGGTAACATGGAGAAACACTTGTTGAGTCCCATCAGCGGATCGTCCCAGGTTTGATAAGTTCCTCCCAATAGTTTCTTCATCCAGTATTCCACCAGGAGAAAGCTGTAATTAAAAAGAATAGTAACATTTAAAATAATCCTCAACCAATATAGTGTAATGGTTTAGGAGATGGATATCAGCCTGGATAGCTCAGTTGGTAGAGTACCTGACTGGAGATACAGGGGTCCCGGGTTCCATTCCCGGTCCAGCCATACATTTTCTCCTGGAAATTGCAGGTGAAAGTCCTGCCAAGGGTTAATAAGAACTTGGATTGTGTCTTTGAGGGCAAAGACCATTTAAGGAGGGAGGAATGTAATGGTTAGTGCCGTGGATAGCTCAATTGGTAGAGACCTGACTAGTGATACAGGGGTCCCGGGTTTGATTCCCGGTCCAGCAATACATTTTCCCCCTTCTTGTTATGATAGAAATTAATCTAAATATCTTATTATTATTATCTTTATTTATTGTTATGTGCTCGCACTGATGGCCGCACTATCAGCACATTAGAAAAATTATTTAACTCACGTGCATCGTTCTTGGGTGTCACTTTCACTTAATTAGAGAGAGTTCAAATTCAAAAAATACGTTTTGGGGGCACTTGTTACCTCGATATCCTCCTCCTCTTCTCCATCGGACTCGCACACTTCGTTTTCAGCGCCGTCCGTCATCTCTGTTGGAACTCGCACATTATCTAGAGACAGAACATTTGTGTCATAGTTCAGAATATGTGTTTCTCCGCCTGTATGAACTAAATTTCCCTCAACTACGGGAGAAAATTCGTTTTCTCGCATAGCTTGTTGTCCATCCATAGCGGCCATGATGTTTTCCTAGGATACAATCAGGTTCGCAGTGAATAAATTTAATATTCCGAGCCCGATTCATTTTTAAAGTGAAAGTAGAAATGGTAAGCCTGAGGGGGAATAAGTTAATTTACCCGGTTTTCATTCTTATATCATACAGATAAAAAGTAAAAATAGTTTTCACGAGCTATTTTAAATTATTAAACGTGGAACTTTCTGCAAATAAATCATTTGTCAGTGGTATTTATTTCGGTCTCGGCATGCAAACTTTGGCCTTCACTGATCATATGATCACAGATGATCGCCATACAACAGACGACAAAAAGGCCATGCAAGAATGTCCGATTTTCTTCAGTTTCTTAAAGACCACATCTATGTAAGACTTTTATTTTGTTCTTTGTTGTTATTTGTATATTGAGGGGTTAATTTTCTTGCTAATTAAGCAACTTCCCATTCAATATGTTCAAAATAAATTATTGCTTTATGTATGCAGGTACATGTATGTGATCATAAATACTGGTGCATGTTATAGTTGAAATACTGTATATATTCACTGTTTATATTCACTGTTTCTTGCTGATCAGAATTTTAAAACAAATCTCCTCAAACTAATTTTATTTCTTATATGCAGATTTATGTTTTGAGAATTTTTTTAAAAATTTGCCAATGAATACTTGAATTTATACGTAGGTGCCGATTCTGGTTGGCTTATTCATTCTGTCCCTGATTGTCCTCCTGATCTGGTGGTGCTGTAGAAACAGGTAACAGAAATCCATAAGTAACTGTTGCAAAATAACCATGTCTTAATAAAAATACTGCATAGTAGATTTTCTTAGCAGGTGTAAAATTTGACGCTGTGTCTGCTCAAAGGTATGCCAATAATTTAGCGTAATTTACCTTAGTGGGCAAAGGATTTCAATTCTTAGCAGATGAACAATAAGAAGAGTACTAAATATTTTAGCTATTAAAATTCTAGCGGGCTACTATCAAAACTTCAAAATAAGCCAAAATTAGTACCCCTCTAAACATGCTGAAATTAAACCCGCTATACAGTATTCGATATTCAGATTCATAACATGATCTCAATTTTAAAGTATTCATTGATTCAATGCAATTTGATGCTTCATTGGCTTTTTTTTTCAGATAAAAATTCAACATTCCTTTGATTTCATAATTCTTCTTCAACTTGATAAAATATTTTTGTTCTGTAATCAGAAATAGGTACCTCTATCAGCCATTGAACAACCATGATGTGGCTCTGTATGACAGAATGTACAACAACCAGAAGCAGACAGAGGAAAAAGTACAAGGTGGGTACCAATCCCATGATAAAACAATCTACAATTAAGGAATAGAGAAATATGCAGGTCTAATAAAAGCTAATAGCTGTGTGCAGATCTCTGGTCCTATATATTGTGGTGGCAGTCAGATGGCCAGATATGTCAGCAGTTGATGAGCTTGATCTGCCTAGAGTTCAGGAACTTGGGTTTGAATCCTGATCTGCGTCCTCATGTTTTCTCACTTTAATTCTGAATGGTTACAAATAGAAAGTCCTTGTTTTACTAAAGAAGCACTGACTTGGAACACCTCAAAGGAACTCGGTTATATCAATATTATACTGGTATATTAAAAAGGTGGTAATATCACTTTGATTTGATGAACCTTTGATTAGTTCTTTGTTTTTATTTTCTGTAGACACAGCCTGGATGAATGCTCAGTACTACCTTAGATCTCATTCACAGTTCAACAAACTGGAACAGCTTAATCAATTAGGTAACACATTACTGTCTGCTTTATGATTGAGTTTGAAAGTCTTCATTTATTTCTGTAAGAAAGTGTGCCTTTTATCATTTCTTTGAATTTTAATCTATATTGTCTAAATTTGATTTGTCCACCATTATCAGTTTATATTTACATCCACTGAATATTTTCTCCTTTATTTCTTAAGAAACCCCATTACGTTATCCCTGCATAAACTACAATAGGCATGTCGCCTGTACAGATTTCTTAATCAGTGGCTGTTCCATCAATGAAACGTATAAAGACGTTCGCATCATTAATACAATAATTAATCTTTTTAATCCTACTTTAATTGATTATTTAAACAGATATAAATATAAACAATAAAATGTCTTTCTTTGTTTGTTATTACTGGAATGAACGGTCGCAGCTATTGCAGAAAAAATTTACATAACCCGCGTAAGCGGGTTATGTATTTTTTCTGCAACAGCTGCTTCCGTTCATTCCAGTAACAACAAACAAAGAAAGCATTTTATTGTTTAAAAGATCTGCATGTATGACATTTGGAAAAAAGCAATTAGCACATTCTACATATATCTCCAGTTTTCATTATGGTTCTGTAATCATGCAGATCTTCTTAGTGCAGTGTAGGAGTCTTAAACTTTTCATAATTTACCTCTGCTAAGTTGTGTCACAGTCAGACAGGATTGATTACCGGTGGCTAGATAGCTCATTTGATAGAGCACCTGACTAGAGATTCAGGGGGCCTAGGTTCAAATCCCAGTCTGGTCCATCTCATATTTCTCCTCTCCCGTTACACTTGCTTTTATGATTTATGATATGAAAATGTATTACAATTCTTTTTTTAGGAAGCAGATCTGATAAACATTGGTTCAGGGTCAGCGATCAGAGAAGAAGGTCAGATTGTCTCCTTAACACACTTCCACGCTCCGATAAATATCTACTGGAGTTCGACCTAAAAACCAGAAAAACATTAAAAGAGCTGTTTAATCTCCTGAGGGTTAGTGCTATTTCCATCTTATTTGCAAGCATTGTACATGTATTTTTAAGAGGAGATCTTACAAATCATTTGAGTGCATTCTGATTTCAGTAAAATTAGAGATATAATTAATTACTGCTTATATTGAGGAAAAATTCAGTATTGGGGTAGTCTCTGGTGCAAATTATATCCTATGAATAAAATATAATACCAGTTATGCTATTTAGAAGAAATATAAGATATCTTATTTTGAGATTCATTGGGATATGACATGGAGTCAGTCACATGATCAAATTAAATGGAACTCCAAATATGATTAATCATTTAAAAGGTTACATTTCCCTCTGACAATTTAGAAGATGAAGCTGATATTTTTATACCTTTGTGTCTTGCAGCATCCCTACATATTTCCTATGATTGAGTTTGACTTCGTGATTGATCAGAATTTTGTGGTCATTATTCAGCCTGTTTGTAATAAAGGATCACTCAAGGATATTATCTATCAGGTAACATTATTTATGATATACCCATACATTTCCTAGTTTTTGTTACTGTTAATTTTACAGAGTTTGATCCGATTTTCCGGATCACCACACTGCGGTTTTCTGAATCCATATCACCACCTCTCTGAAACTGATGACGTAGTACGCAAAAACATGACGTTATTTTTCTTGTGTGTTAAAAAGTCCCTTGTTATTATTCTTTGTTTTATGGATAAATATTATACAATTTAGCTCTAAAGTTTTATTCTGACATATTTAGCTAGTTATAAGGGGGTATATAATAAATTTATCATTATAACAGTAATTTGATCCAAAGAGCTGTATGTACGTCTCGTTGACAGGCGCGGATCATCAGATCAAACTCGACGCTTCGCGTCTCGTTAGATCTGATGATCCGCGCCTGTCTACTCGACGTGATACGACCCTTCCGATCAAGTTACTGTTATAATATATAAATATATCAGGTAAAATCAATTAGCTTATAAGAATACTAAGGCAAAAAAAATTAATTTCTTGGTTCTCAGGCCCTCCCTAATCTCTTCTTAGGGTGCCTTATTGAGCCTTTTTATTGCTAAATCAATAAAATATAAACACCTAATCACCTCCCTCATCATTTTTTGAGGTTTTGTACAATGTATAAAGCTGCCTCATCATGTTTTGGGGGCAATGAAAAAAAGAAAAAAATATGCCTCCCTCCCTCATCATATTTCTTGAGAAAAATTCTGAGAACCAAGTAATAAACTTTGCATGGCCTAATATTGTATACATGTATCATTTGCATGTTAGTCTGTCATTTTCTCTGTGGTTGTATTTCTAGTGAACATTATTCTATTATTTCTGTTTGTAGAGTCGTTATTCCACATCTTGGCATGATAAGTATAAAGTACGAAGCCGGGGTCTAGGTATACAACAGGTAGCATTGTACGGAAGACAGATTTTACAGGTAAAGCTGCAGTCTTAAAAATTGAAGAAAAAAATCTTTGGCTATATTTTACTCTTTATAAGTGTATCTTCTATCTGAGCTGGTTTATGAGTTGAAAGGAAAGAACCCTTCTCATGACCATGTGCATTAAATGTGACTTGTATGTTTACTGACTGTGTCTTTGATATTAAAGGTGATGTTTTTTTACAGGGTCTGTCATACATGGAGGAGAAAGAGTTCCCTCCCCATGGACATCTTCACAATGGAAACATAATGGTTGAAAATGGGGTCTGCAGGTAGAATAACTAAAGATATTATACAAAGTCCAGAAATGAGAGATACAAAAAAAAACATTTTTTAAATTAGTGGTGGGATGCATTTCTTTATCAGTGAGCAGACTGAAATTTGTTATTTTTATGTCTGTTTTTTTTTTTTACAGAATAACAGGGTATGAAAACACCTTCCTTGGTATGAAGTCCAAACTTTCTGTGATGGCAAGAAAGAAACTAAAGGAACAGCCTGAAGCGATTGATGTCCTCTCCTTTGGTAATACTTAGTCTACAATATGTAGACTATATATCATTCAAAATACAATGTACAGTAAAATAATATTTCACATTTAGAAGTCAATTAGGCATCCACTTTTAATTTCATACTTTCAATCATTTTGTGCCCGCTTTTCAAGTCTGGAGGAGAATGTACATTTATGACATTTTGTTACGATTTTCCAGGTCATGTGTTCTACGAGATGTGTACAGGATCAGAGCTTGACTCCGCCCATCCACAACCTCAACATCTCAGTCTCATCAACAACGCACAAATTGTAGGGGTAAGAAGTAAAATTAAGCTCCTTCAACTACAGGCAATTGAATTGCTTGTAAATCAAATGTCACTCTTAGTTGTTGAGAAGGATTAAACACTACTGCAAATTGGGTGAATTTTGGAGAATTTTCTTCTTTGACCCCCAGCCTCCTTAGTCTTCAATACATTGAATAGGATATGATTCAACATGTGTGGTGGATCAAAGGTTATTGATATGTGTAGAATTGATGCTGTATGTAAATATAGCAATATTTAATGTATGACAAGTATAGATAATATTTTAAATTACCTGTATTGTCTGCTCCCAAGAGTTTCTAAATGAGTATCTGTGGATCCTGGATGAAATTTAGCTGTGTGAGTAAGAGGAATATGTTGTACAATGAAAGGATTTAAATATGTCTAGGTGAATGAAGAAAGTTAAATTTTATGGGGAGAGTTAATCCCCTGTTTAACTTATCCTGACGCAGAACTTTAAGGTCCAAACCTTTCCTGCCTAAAACAATATGAAGTTTGTACCCCAAAGCTTGTGGAGGCCAGAAATTATTTACCATAATCCATAGAAAGTGAGCATAAAACATTATAAGTACCCAAGCCCATTGTTTACAAAATCATATTTCTTTTGATTGAAGAGTTTTAAATGTATTAAATATGTGAGTATGTGTAAATTTACATTTGTTTAATTAAGATATTCATCATACAAATTTAAACTTTAAGAGTGAAAAATTAAACTTTGTGGTAAATTATTACATGTAGTATAGCCTAAAAGGCATCTATTACATGTACATATAATTGTATCATTTATCATTTGTAAAAATAATTATTTAATTTTTTTTTCATTTAAAAAAAATGTTGAATAATCTAATTTTGAAAAAAATTAATGACTTATTTAATTTCCTTTATTGATCAATTTTGAACTTTCAAAAAATAACAGGTTAAAAAAAAAGCATTTTTATTTATTATATCAAGTAAAAGTTCTGATATAATTTTTTTTTTTAATTTGTTGATCAGCTTCTCACTTTGAAATTCAGAAAAGTAAATGTATTATCTATTATTTATCAATTATTACCTTTATTGGCCAGCATCTCACTTTGATGGTCCTACACTGTTGGACTGTTACCTATTATTGGTCAATTATTATCAATCATTCTGGTCTTTTCTCTTTGATCTGTTACCTATTGTGTATTAATTATGACCCATCACAGACTGGCTTATCACTTTGATCCTAATAGTCCATGGTCACTTCAAACGGAAGCCCCTTAATGACCCAAGCTCATTCACCTGATTAATTAACAGGTGGGGCTAAGAATGTAACTAAACCAATCATTGATCAGCTTTGGATTCAATAACCAATCAAAGAAAAGATGAAATGCTGTTAGCCAATGAAATTTTAATTAAACTGTCCCAAGCTGATTTCTAGCAGAACTTGGGGTATAAATAAGCCTTTAGAAGGCAAAGCTGACATATCACTATTGTGATCCAATCTAAGCTATCATATTGCTAAAGCCTGCAAATCATATTAATCAATTGAGCTATATTGGTTCTATTGATTAATCACTGTGGGCTAGTCTTCTGAGCCTGTTGTGATCTATTAGTAAAGTGATAAATTTAATAAATAATTCCTTTAAAAGTAAGTCGAAATTTAGTGAATAAGTGTTTGTTAAATTTGTGTTGTGAAGTGCTTTGTGTTGTGCAGTGATTCAGTGTAGTGCAGTGATTCAGTGTTGTGCAGTGATTCAGTGTTGTGCAGTGATTCAGTGTTGTGCAGTGTTTTAGTGTTGTGCTTCAGTGTTGTGCAGTGATTCATAATGGCTTCCCGTGCTTCTTCCCCTGTCATCGAGATCAACTTTGCCACCACCCTAGAGGACATCATCAAGGCCACCATCTTTGACGATGCACCACCTTCACCACATTCTACCGCCATCACCATACAGACTGACCTCAACACCAGCGCCGCGGAGACCAGATTCGACGAGTGCCTGTCCTCCCTCATCTGTGATTATCCCACACCAGAGAAATCCCAGGACAACGACCTTCAGCTTGCTCTTCAGTGTCTTCAGCCATCATCACCAGAGAAGATCCGCGATGACAACACCCTCTCCTCTACAGAGATCTTCAGTGCCCTCAAGACCATCTTCCGCTTCGAGGCCAAGTCATCCACCCCATCAGTGCTCATCAAGTCAGTCCAGCCAGAGATGTCTACCTCCCAACGAGAACAACAGCTTCTGCAGAGATTCAACGACCTCCATCAACACCATCCTCAGCAGATCAACGACCTGTCATCCTTCTTCAAGTACCAGAGTGCCCAAGTGGAGACGGACCGCTACTGTGCCCTTCACCAGAGCTCCAACCAGCCACACCACATCAGGGAGAGCATCAACCAGCACTACAACATCACCCATCACCGCATCATGGACCGCGTGGAGAACAGCCTACAGATCCTGGAGGAGAGTCTACCACAGCCACCACCCAGCGTCAACCAGACCACCACCACCCAGATCAACAACCTCCGCACCAGGCCGTCGCTATCCCAGAAGTCCGTTCAGCTGATGGAGAAGTGGTACTACAGTCATCTGGAGCATCCCTACCCGTCGTCTGACGTCATCGAGGAGCTGGCCAGGAGAGGAGGCATCAAGGAGGAGCAGGTCAAGAAGTGGTTCTCCAACAAGAGGAACAGGAGCCGGAGGTCATCAGGGGTCAACAAGAAAAGGTCATCAGGGGTCAACAAGAGTGTGCCGTGCATCTGGTGATTGTGTGTCGAAAAGAATGTACTGTGCTTCTAGTGATTGCGTCAAGAAGAGTGCTGTGCTTCTAATGTAATGTGAAGAAATTCTCCAAAGGGAAAGGCAAAATAGTTAAAGTTTTGTTTAGTGAAAATTCAGTGCTTAGTGATGAGTGAAGGAAAGGTTGGTTTATAGTGCTTTATATTTTTTTATTGTTGTGATATACCAGTGCAATTTCATGCAAGTGCTATCATTTGATATTTTAATTAATTTGTTGAATGACTTTTTTTGAATACATGAATGAAACAAAAATATGTTGATGAATACTTGTATGTTCATTTTGTTGAGAATAAAAAAAGACTTTAAAAAGTTTATTCTGTTTTGTTTCCTTCCTATTATGAGTTAGGAATGACTTTTAACATTGGGCTTGGAATCTCAGTTTCACATCTCAAATAAGGGATATGTCAAAGTGAAATAAAGGTCCAAGAGTAGACAAGTTGAGTTTTCTATACTCCGTTTATTTTTGTGCTGAGCCAATTAAGCGACACTAAGGAATCATTGTACAGTCTGTCACATCTTGAAAAACATCCCTAAAACTGTTAAGAGGTATGGACCATCAAGAGTTTGCTAAGCGGATTATAGCTGTGTAAACTAGAGGTTCTATGAGCATTGAGCTCACTAAATCATACTCCCTACCTCGCATATCATGATATGATTATAATGGAAAAGTACATGCTTTTTTGGGGTAGCTTTAGAGCTGAAGTATCAGATCAAAAAGTAAACTAGGAGGTGCACAATTGCATTCTGTTACAAAAAATTTGTGAAAGTATCATCATGATGATAATTTTATTCCGTGGTGTAAGATGAGTTGCAAATAAGAGATAAGTTTCCTCTAATATTATACAAAGAATAGCAGCTAGGTCAATGCTTTGCCTTGGGTATCCCGAAATATGTGTCTGTTTAAAAAACAAAATAAGAGGTGCATAATTGCACTATGTAAAAAATATCGTAAAAGTTTCATTGAATTTCATTCAGTGTTATAGGAGTAGTTGCTGATAAGATATGGGTAATCCAAAGCATAACAGACAGACGTACACAGACACCCTTAATTATACTAGTCTTTACTATACTCACACTTTTAAGGGTGTACAACACATCCACCCCAAAAATTCCTGTTGTTTAATTTTTGCTATTTTTGTATATTTAATATTAAATATCTACCGTTTGTATGTAAATTTTGGACAAAATCGTTAAATGGTTTTTGGACAGGAAATTCAAAAATTTACCACCCCCCCCCCCCCCTTTAGTTGTTTATGAGGAGAAACTTTTAATCAATGAACTACTTGAACCTTGATTTAAAAAAAAAAACAGGTTAGCTTAGCTGTCAAATTTCAAACATTTATTCTTTTAACCATTTAGCACAAAATATAGTTATCTTTTTGATAATCATATCATCATAAAAAAAATTTAAGGACCTTAAACTGAAAAAGTATGAATTGTCTGATCTTTGAAAATGGTGGCTTTTTTTTTTCAATTTCAAAATTTATTGTGAAAAATCTGTTGTTTAATTTTGGTAAAAAACTTTCTTTAGGTAACTGGTAGTAAAGATAATCTTCAAAATATTTCATATAATTTTTAAATACCAGCTTTAAATTGATAGCAGAAAATCACCCCCTCCCTCTTTCTCCCTGAAACGCGTTCCCTCACGTCAATTAACCTGTTACAGATTTTCTTCGCAACTGTTGTACATACTGTAATGAAATTTGGTATACAGATATATCAGATGAAAATCTAGGTCAAGTTCTGTTTTTGGTACAATTGCACCATTTTTGACAGAGTTATGCCCCTTAGACTTAGAAAAATTAATTGAAGTTTCCGTTCATTATCTTGGCAACCATTGCACATACTAAAATGAAATTTAGTTTACAGATTAAGGCAGATTTTTTTAAAGCAAATTATACTTTGCATTCATTTTTTTCGGAGTAAGATTATAATTTTTACTGGATCATGTTGGTAGAATTATTTCAAAGTAAAGATAATAGTCTCTTCATGTATATTTCAAAATGCCCCCCCCCCTTTCCCTGAAAAATTTTTGTTTAATGTTTAACTTGACTGTGCTAGTACACAAATAACACAGTCCAAGCAGGTAAAAAAAATCCTACCTCCAAACTTTAATAATTTTTGCACATATTTCAGATAGATTAATACAATTCCTTTCTCAAGTGTAACCCTTCTTCTTTTTTAATCAAAGAAATTGGATGTAAATGCCTTTTTTATATTCTTTTTGTTTCAATAATTGTCATGTCAACCCAGGTGTGCTTCATGTGTTGGTATTTAAAAAAAAATGAATGGAAACAGATATATGGATATCTTTAAATTACTTTATTAAATAAAGATTATATGAAAGGATATTAAAAGTTATTATAATAAACACATAAAAGTATGTAAAAATTAATAAACGTTTAATATAATTCAAACACATTAAGATTTGTTTTAAAAGTGCCCTTGTGAGATCCCGTCGCGACGCAAAGTGCCCTTTTGATTCCTTGATTACCATGCCCTTTTTAGGGTCTAGATTTAACACTAGTTTTACATAGAAAAATGTAGAAAAAATCTTCAGAAATCTTCTTTTCAAGAATGGGAAAGCCATGATTAATTTGGTCATATTCATATGGAAGCATTCTCGGGTATGACAGGTAGTAGTGTAGATTCAAGTTTGTTCAAGTTCTTCCTAGCCACATGGCTCAGGTGAGTGATGTGGCCCATGGACCTCTTGTTAAAAAAACACAATGGTGTATGTTCAACTCTCCCGTGATATAAATGGAATAATTATGGTTTCTTACATGTCATAGATTATTTCAAACAAGACAGTGTGTGGCCGTGGGATACATTAAAAAGCCTACATATGCATGTGCACCCGTCAGGTTTGTATGCTGTTACATGTATTGCATTCTTAAATTTTGTTGCTTTTAAAGATAAAATGAAAATTCCATATTTGTCCACGTGAACTTCAATATATCAAACATTAATCTCTTCATAATTAATAGATGAAAAACCGTGAATAAAGGGAGGATACATGGGGATCGTATGACTCGCCATTTTGACGCTTTATAATTAACGTCATGTCAAACGTTCAATCAAATCACAAGAGTTATCTCCCCTAGTGTGTTGTACGTCTTTAAGGCAGGCGATATGAATCAATGATTACTCATCTAATGACCATTAAATTGGCTTTTGACCTTTTTTTTTCAAAATGGAATTTTGTTTTTGTATATATGTTTGGCAATCATGAGATAAGTTTTTGTTTTATGGCAATCATGAGATAAGTTTTTGTTTTATGGCAATCATGAGATAAGTTTTTGTTTTATGGCAATCATGAGATAAGTTTTTGTTTTATGGCAATCATGAGATAAGTTTTTGGTTTATGTATATCCCCTTTTTTTCATAAAAGCAGCCACTTTACCTTGAGCTCTGACTTACCGTGTATACTCGCCTATAAGTCGATCTGCCTATAAGTCGGTTGTAATTTTTGACGTTATTATGCCCCCCTTCGAAGAAGGGAGGGCATATTGCTTTGTTGCTGTCTGTCGGTCGGTCGGTCTGTCTGTCAGTCCATTTAGTTTCCGTTCATTTTCTACACAACTGTTGCACATACTAAAATGAAATTTGGTATACAGGTATATCAGATGAATATCTGGGTCTTGGGTACAATCGCACCATAATTGACAGAGTTATGCCCCTTGGACTTAGAAAAATTCCAATTATTTGCAGTTTCCGTTCATTTTCTTCGGAGAGGTTGCACATATTGAAATGGAATTTAGTATACAGATTAGTCAGATGAATATCTAGGTCAAGTTCTGTTTTGGGTACGATCGCACCATAATTGACAGAGTTATGCCCCTTGGACTTAGATAAATTCCACATTTTTGCAGTTTCCATTAATTTTCTTCGGAGAAGTTTCACATATTGAAATGAAATTTAGTATACAGATTAGTCAGATAAATATCTAGGTCAAGTTCTGTTTTGGGTACGATCGCACCATAATTGACAGAGTTATGCCCCTTGGACTTAGAAAAATTCCATTATTTGCAGTTTCCGTTCATTTTCTTTGGAGAGGTTGCACATATTGAAATGGAATTTAGTATACAGATTAGTTAGATGAATATCTAGGTTAAGCTCTGTTTTGGGTACGACCGCACCATAATTGACAGAGTTATGCTCCTTGGACTTAGATAAATTCCATATTTTTGCAGTTTCCATTCATTTTCTTTGGAGAGGTACGTTGCACATATTGAAATGGAATTTAGTATACAGATTAGTCAGATGAATATCTAGGTCAAGTTCTGTTTTGGGTACGATCGCACCGTAATTGACAGAGTTATGCCCCTTGGACTTAGATAAATTCCATATTTTTGCAGTTTCCATTAATTTTCTTCGGAGAGGTTGCACATATTGAAATGAAATTTAGTATACAGATTAGTCAGATAAATATCTAGATCAAGTTCTGTTTTGGGTACGATCGCACCATAATTGACAGAGTTATGCCCCTTGGACTTAGAAAAATTCCATTATTTGCAGTTTCCGTTCATTTTCTTTGGAGAGGTTGCACATATTGAAATGGAATTTAGTATACAGATTAGTTAGATGAATATCTAGGTCAAGCTTTGTTTTGGGTACGACCGCACCATAATTGACAGAGTTATGCTCCTTGGACTTAGATAAATTCCATATTTTTGCAGTTTCCGTTCATTTTCTTTGGAGAGTTTGCACATATTGAAATGGAATTTAGTATACAGATTAGTCAGATGAATATCTAGGTCAAGTTCTGTTTTGGGTACGATCGCACCATAATTGACAGAGTTATGCCCCTTGGACTTAGATAAATTCCATATTTTTGCAGTTTCCATTAATTTTCTTTGGAGAGGTTGCACATATTGAAATGAAATTTAGTATACAGATTAGTCAGATAAATATCTAGATCAAGTTCTGTTTTGGGTACGATCGCACCATAATTGACAGAGTTATGCCCCTTGGACTTAGATAAATTCCATATTTTTGCAGTTTCCATTAATTTTCTTCGGAGAGGTTGCACATATTGAAATGGAATTTAGTATACAGATTAGTCAGATGAATATCTTGGTCAAGTTCTGTTTTGGGTACGATTGCACCATAATTGACAGAGTTATGCCCTTTTGGACTTAGAAAAATTCCAATTTGTGGGGGAGGGGGGCATAAGTGTTTTACAAACATCTCTTGTTTTAGTGGGGTTTGCTATTGACCCGCTTATAAGTCGGTACAACTTTTTTGTCAAAATCTGGTAACAATTTCAAGTAAATCCATTGATATTTTAACCTGGTTTCAATTAATATTTTTCGAAATGACACTGAATATTTAATTTTAAATCATCAAACATAAAAGCGATGTCATGCACTTAAAATGCAAATAAAATTATTAAAATATGTATATACTTGCACTTTATATATATAATCTAAGAATGCAAAATGGAACTTGTATACTGACAATTGCTGTAAAAGAGACAATTATTTACTATATAATTGTAATAGCTAAAAAAAAAAAATAGCACACCATACATGCTTAAATTTATTTACATCCTTAATGACGCTCTAAAGGAGTGTCAGTCAGTTACAATACTTAAAGGTAAAATTGACACAAATCTTGATATTCGATCATTATCCACAAAAAAAAGTAAAATTTGATCAAGAAATATTTATATATGTAAGTACCATTACAACCCTGGGGATTTAATTTACATGTATATGTTTGTAAGCTTACAATTTTAAAACTTTTCTTGATTCAGAAATAATATGTAATAAACTCATAATATCTTTTTTTAAACTGAATATGAATTTTTATAATTTTAATAAAAAAAAAAATGATTGTTCCAGTTTCAAACTCTCCTTATTTGTCATGTAAAAAAAAAAGAATAATACATAAATCAAGTAAAAATCATGTTATCAAAATATTTATAATGATTATAATTATTAATCAGCTATTCACTTTGAAAATTTGAACAACAGAATGTACTATCTATTATTTATCAATTATTACCTTTATTGGCCAGCATCTCACTTTGATGGTCCTCTACTGTTGGACTGTTACCTATTTTTGGTCAATTATTATAAATCATCAGTCCTTTCTCTTTGATCTGTTAGCTATTGTGTATTAATTATGACCCATCACAGACTAGCTTATCACTTTGATCCTAACAGTCCACGGTCACTTCAAACAGTAGCCCCTTAATGACCCAAGCTCATTTAACTGATTAATTTAAAGGGGGAGCAAAGATTGTAAATAAACCAATCAGTGATCAGCTTTGAATTAATTAACCAATCAAAGAAGAGGAGATGTACAGTCAGCCAATGAAAATTTAATTAAACTATCCAAGCTGATTTCTAGCAGAACTTGGGGGTATAAATAAGCCTTCAGAAGGCAAAGCTGACAAATCACTATTGTGATCCAATCTAAGCTATTAAAGTGCTAATAAGTAAAAGGCTTGCAAATCTGATTAATCAATTGTGCTATATTGCTTCTATTGATTAATCATTGTAAGCTACTGCTGTGAATCTGTTGTGTGTTTATAAATTAAATAATGTGAAAATAAAAATTATTTTGAAAGTAAGTTGAAATATAGTGAAGTGCTTAAAATTTGTGTTGTGAAGTGCCATAGTGTTTTGGTGTTGTGTTGTGTAGTGTTTCAGTGTTTTGTACAGTAGTGATTCAGTGTTGTGAAGTGATTCAGTGTTGTGCAGTGTTTCAGTGTTGTGTAGCGATTCATCATGGCTTCCCGTGCTTCTTCCCCTGCCATCGAGATCAACTTTGCCACCACCTTAGAGGACATCATCAAGGCCACCATCTTTGACGATGCAGCACCTTCACCACAGCCTACCACCACCACCATCCAGAGCAGCCTCAACACCAGCGCCGCGGAGACCAGATTTGACGAGTGCCTGACCTCCCTCATCAGTGATCATCCCACACCAGAGAAATCCCAGGACAACGACCTTCAGCTAGCTCTTCAGTGTCTTCAGCCATCATCACCAGAGAAGATCTGCGATGACAACACCCTCTCCTCTACAGAGATCTTCAGTGCCCTGAAGACCATTTTCCGCTTTGAGGCCAAGTCATCCACCCCATCAGTGCTCATCAAGTCCGTCCAGCCAGAGATGTCTACATCCCAACGTGAACAACAGCTTCTGCAGAGATTCAACGACCTCCATCAACACCACCCTCATCAGATCAACGACCTGTCATCCTTCTTCAAGTACCAGAGTGCCCAAGTGGAGACAGACCGCTACTGTGCCCTTCACCAGAATTCCAACCAGCCACACCACATCAGAGAGAGTATCAACCAACACTACAACATCACCCATCACCGCATCATGGACCGCGTGGAGAACAGCCTACAGATCCTAGAGGAGAGTCTACCACAGCCACCACCCAGTGTCAACCAGACCACAGCCAACACGCAGAGCACCACCCAGATCAACAACCTCCGCACCAGACCATCGCTATCCCAGAAGTCCGTTCAGCTGATGGAGAAGTGGTACTACAGTCATCTGGAGCATCCGTACCCGTCGTCCGACGTCATCGAGGAGCTGGCCAGGAGAGGAGGCTTCAAGGAGGAGCAAGTCAAGAAGTGGTTCTCCAACAAGAGGAACAGGAGCCGGAGGTCATCAGGGGTCAACAAGAGGAGGTCATCAGGGGTCAACAAGAGTGTGCCATGCTTCTGGTGATTGTGTCAACAAGAGTGTGCTGTGCTTATTATGATTTTGCTGTATACATGTCTAGTGTGCCATGCCAGTGTGATTGTGTTTTGAAATAGTGTGTATATATTTAAATGTTTGTTTTTGTGCATCTGTGAAATTCTCAGAAGAAAGAGGAGAAGAAAGAAGAGTGAAAATAGCGAAATTAGTGCTCAGTGAGAATTCAGTGCTTAGTGTTTGTGAATTCAAGGTTGTTGTGTATATATGTTGATGTATAGTGCTTTGGGTAAATTTATTGCTGTGATATATTAGTGCTATCTTGCTTATTTTATTTGTAAATTTCTTGAATGCCTTATTTTAGATATAGTGCTCCAATGTTATTTATGTATATTCTTGAGTTGCTAAATAAATAAAAACAAAAAATAAAAAAAAATGTATTTGTTGCATTGTGATAAGTGAGAAAAAAGAGACATGAGAATGAAATTTGACATCTCCATTGATGTCTTGAAATGATTTTGAGGTCCTAAAACATGAAGCCTTTAAGTGTTTTAGCTTCAGTATCTTTAGTATCAATCCCTCAGTCTCACTTGGGAGTTTGAGATTATGAGATTTGGGTGTTTCAAGGATTTTTCTTCTGTTAATGAATTGACCAATTTGTTACAGAAAAGCAACCAACAGTTGTGTTGTTGTTTCAGTAAAGTTTTATATTATTTTTCAACTTCAGGTGCTGAATTTTATCTTTGGTGTGGAGACAGGCGGGAGATACCCTTCACTGAAAATGGTAATATGATATATCATGAGACAATATTTTATAAAAATACCCTTCAAGAATTAATTTTTTTCCTATTCTCAAGAATAATTGAAGTGTAAGATTTTCAATGCTCTACTGAGCAGTCACAAATTAATCTATTTGAGCCTGGTGTGAGATGTTGGACATATCGATGAGATATTGGACAGCTTACTTCTGAATCATACAATGGGCAGAATCATCGAAATCTTCATATGCATTTGTTAGTGTACGACATACTTGAAACTATGTCATAAGAATTAATTGATAATTAAAGGTTGATGAAAAAAATGAAGACTGAAAGTCTTTCAAGTAAAATTTTTTTCATAAAACGAAAAATAAACCTCCGTAAATTAAATTGAGGTATAAAAGGAGAATATTAACATATTAAATAAATTGTATAAATAAATATGTAAATGAGAAAAAATTCAAATTGGCACAATCAATTTGTTATTTAAACTCAAACAAAGCATAACTATAGCTTTAAAATAATAACACACAAGCTCTTTCACTTTGATCTACATGTATTAGGGTTTTGTGACTCAATTATAACCAATCATATACAAGCTTTTTCACTTTGATCTGTTAGGTTTTGTGAATCAATTATAGCCAATCATATACAAGCTCTTTCTCTTTGATCTGTTAGGTTTGTGAATCAATTATAACCAATCAGAGACAAGTTCTCTCGCTTTGATCTTTGAATTAATTATGATCACCCATAAGCACTCTCACTTTGATCTGTTACATGTATGTTTTGTTTATAAATTAGAGCCAATCACATACAAGCTTTTTCACGTTGATCAGTGCATCAATTTTTTTTCGAAGACAGTCTAACAGCTTTTTTGAATAATTAGTCAGTACAATTACATTTTCAATAAATTGAAGGTATTAAAAAAGATTTAAATTTCTATAAATCTTATCTGTTCATTATACTTTATATTTTGCAGATATTGGAACTAAGCTTCTTCAAAGCTGTAAAGTTAGTAGAGATGGATAAATTTAACCCTGCAAAGGTTTGTATAGCAAGAAATTTTAGATTATGATAGGTTTAATGTAAAAATATATAAACAGAAATAAAATATGTAAGCAAATTCATAAAAATGTAGAATGGTATGTTAAACCTTTTATGTGATCATACAAAAGACTGGGTTTTTAGCTCACCTGAGCCAAAGGCTCAATTGAGCTTTTCTGATCACAATTTGTCCGTCGTCCATCTGTCCATCTAGCTGTCTGTCCGTCTGTAATCTTTTCACATTTTTGACTTCTTCTCAAGAACCACTGTGCCAGTTCTAACCAAACTTGGTACAAAGCATCCTTGGGTTAAGGGGAATTTAAATTGTTAAAATGAAGGGCCAGGTCCTCTCACAAGGGGAGATAATCGAGAAAAGACAAAAAAGGGTGGGGTCATTAAAAAATCTTCTTCTCAAGGACCACTGGGCCAGAAAAGCTGAAATTTATGTTGAAGCATCCTGGGGTGGTGTAGATTCTAAATTGTTCAAATCATGACCCCCAGTGGTTGGGTGGGGCCACAATAGGGAATCAAAGTTTTACATAGAAATATATAGGAAAAATCTTTAAAAATCTTCTTCTCAAGAACACTGCACCAGAAAAGCTTAAACCTATGTGAAAGCATCCTGGGGTAGTGTAGATTCTAAATTGTTCAAATCATGACCCTTGGGGTACAATGGGGTCACAATAGGTATTACAAGGGGGAAATCTGGTTAAGAATAGCATGGTCAAAGCTTCTCAGGTGAGTGATGGGCCTCTTGTTAATTTTCATCCCAATTAACATTTTCACCTCATATTTTTACAGATTCATTTGTCAAAAGAAATGAAGAAAGCAATCAAAACCATCAACTCTGGAAAGAAAGTGTGAGTGACTTATAGCAGTCATTGTATCTGAAACTATTGAAGTTTTTATATTAAATAATGCAATGTGTTTAACATTTTTTAACCTACGTTTTCCACAGATTATAAAAAGGATGACACCCTTAGAATTTGGATATTTTCACGATGAAATAGGATCAACTGATAACTTAACAAGTGTTTGATATAGGCACACATAGTCTCAAAATTTCATATTTCACTTGTACTTTTTCCCTTTCGGTAAGTGCATATTTTTTGTGACTATGCCATAATATTATAGCTTTTGATTCACAGGAAGAAACTGAAAAGAACCACCTCCTCAGTTAGAATGGAGAGAACTGATTCCAAGACCATGCTTCACAGTGGTGGATCCAGACCCCCCTCACCCCCTCCACCTGGGGGCCCCCCAGTGGGGGTCCCTCCCCCTCCACCCCCACCTCCCCCACCCACAAGCCCTGGAGGACCACCACCCCCACCCCCTCCCCAGGCCCCCGCCCCTCCACCCCCACCCCCAGCCTCATCAGGAGGGTCCTCAGGGAGGGCTGCCCTGCTGGGTGATATCAGGTCGGGGACTAAACTAAAGAAAACTGTGACTAATGACAGGAGTGCCCCCAAGGTGTGAGGAACCGGGGCAAGGATCACACAGTGATGGCAACTAAAATGAAATGGAAAAAAATGATGCATATTTTCAACTGCTTGATAGTGTGCAACCAGTATTCTTTTTTTTTTGTATTGTGTAACTTGACTACTGGTGGGTATTTAAATATTCAACATCATTTTTTTCAAAACACAGGAATTCAATTGATGGAAGTCTATGGCCCAGTTTTTTGCAAAATTTGGAAATGTAAATACACTGCATTCACATTTGAACTAGTGCAATGTAATGGCATTACTGTTTATGATGTTGTTTTTTAAGCCTCATGTGCAATATGAATTATTGATTTATGTATTTTATCAAATTTGTTGTTAACTCAGATGCATTGTTATTGAGTGTATTATTTATAAAATATACTATACATGTATTCCTATTATTGATAAATATACTATATTCCTAATGAGGATTTTTAAGAGAATACAAATAACTTATTTTAATAACTTATCTAATGGTATAAAAAGGACTTTTACTGTCTCAAGGCTTTGATTGATCTTTATATTCTTCTGATCAAGATCAATCATCATATCTATAAGTTAATTTTATTGTGATTTTTTGCTCTAAAATAACTATTTGCAAAGGAGAATATATATCACTTTGTTGACATCATTTTATCATTACATTTATGATTATCATTATATTTTACACAAAATTGGTTGTGTTGGTGCAAAATTTAATTAACCACTGATTTTAAACCAGTGATGGGCTTTGTTATTTTTGTTTGTGTTTAATTATAGGTGTACATTTTGTTGTATTGATTTGATGCAAGATTTTATTCATTCTCTTATTACATATTCACTTATTAAATGTACATTAAATTATTTTTTCATTAACCAAGTAATACATTTTTTATAATCAGATATTGACTTTAAAAAATCACAGTTATGTGCCTTGAATTGTTATAATGTTGAATTCGGTAAGAAGATTCTGTGATCTAGTGGATAAGGATTTAAAGGTTTTTTTGTTGTTTTTTTCATTTAATATTGGCTTAAGCGAGCACTAACTTTTTTACCTGAGGTGAAAAAGATTGTGATATTAAAGTGTACAGTATTTTTGTGCTGTTTAAACTTTTTATAAGAGGGAGGGGGTGAAAAGCGTTCTAACAAGTACCATGTCCCCTCTTAATATTAGTTAGCACCATGATTCATTGGAAGGGTCTGATCCTTAATTAGGAGGCTTCACAAAAACCCATAACCTCAATAAAACTTACTATTCAACCTGTTGGAATCGTGGAGTTAATTCAGTGACCACAGAGGGTTTTTACCATCTAAAAATACCTTATTATTCAGGTCAGAAAGTGAATACTTTCTCAGATGAGCAATGTAATCTTTATACCTTTCTTTATCATTTTCCCATGACATGTTTTTTTTTCCCCAAAGAGATTATATATGTACTGTTTCAGAAATAAAATTTTAAAACCGCAATTTCAAATTCTGTTTTATAATTTCAAGATACATTGAGTTAGTTTAGACTTAGTTATTTAAGTTTTGTACATCATTCAGTCAATACAAAATACAGCAGTGCAAAAAATGTCATAAATTGCATTATTCTAACATTGCATCCAGTTTATGATTTATAAATTTTCATCGTGAGCCAGTCCATGGTAAGTAAAGTCACGCCCACTTCTGATCCTAGTCACCAGGCATGCGCTGACAGCACTCCTTCCGTAGTTCAGAGGATATAGTCTTCTCCAGGCCTTCTTAGCAGGGTCATACTCCTCAGCATTAGGGGATGTTGTGGACCCTAAAATTTACAAACAAAGTGCAATATATTTTCTGTAGCATAAAATATTAATGCAAAATATGTTAAACATCTTAAATATATAGCAGAAATACGGGGGAAATATTTTCTATGTTTTATGGCAAACACTGGCTGACATTTAAAAACGTTAAAAATCCCTCTAGATCTATAACTGCGTTATCTGACCTGTGTACGTCATCATTTGCGGCGTATCTTACCACCACGCTAATGACGTCACTAGCCAACCACTTACCGTCATATCCTCCGATAGCCACAATTTTCCCGTCCATTATTACCGCGGCAAAGTTACTTCGACCCTGTATCATAGAGCCCATGGGAAACCAAGAGCGTGTTGCCCAACTGTATCGCTCAACTGATGAAAGGAAAATGCAAATCAATATTCATTTGACTTCTGAAGAAAAAAGGAAACGATTCAATGTTTCAGCAATTTACTCACCTGATGAAAGTCGGTCACTGCCATTATATCCCCCCAATGCAATGAGTTCTTTCTGCAATGCCACCAAAACCACGCCACTTCTTCGTGACGTCATTTCTGCCAGCATTGTCCATTGGTTTACAGTTGGGTCATAAACTTCAGCGGAATCCAGACAAGACGTGCCGTCAAAGCCCCCGGCAATGTAAATCTTACCTGGAATGTAGTAGATAAAAAATCAGATATATAAAACCAAAAAAATCCATTAAAAAGATGCAAAATGTGGGCAGGCATAGCAAAGACGAATCTCTGAAACATCAGAGGTGGGATCCGGTATCGTGGGGGAGGAAGCATCCCTTAAATGCCAAGAAACGTATGTACATTTCGTTTATTCTTTATATTTGAGAGCTGGGAGTAGCAAATTGAGAAATTAATCAAAACAAGTTGTGCACCCCACCCACCCCTTGTACTGGAGCAAGTAAGGAAAAATATATAACAGTGAAATATGTTATGCTTTCCATTGATTCATTTCCAACATACAGACCAAAACACGCAATAAACCAATGCATTTCAGACGTGATGTTTAAAACCATCCAGTTAAAGCGATATTCAGATTTGTAGGAGATAATCTTCATCAAGCTTAAAAGAATTCCAAATGTTTTAAATAGATTGAGAACAATGACTTTAATTCGTTTAACCATCAAGAGCCGTTGCTCCGGCGTCGCTGCGTTTCCTCCACATTGGCTGTACGTGCGTCCATTGGTTCTTTATTGGATTGTACTTCTCTACAGAGTCTTGTCGATTTCGTCCATCAAAACCCCCGCATGCGTAAATTATACCTACAAATTGCAAATCTTTCTATATTAAAATTGTCTAATATCAAATGTAGCAATGCTCACGAATAAATTTGGTGCAAAACAATACCATTCAATTCCACGGCACTAACGTAACATCTCATAATGTACATGGGGGCTCTCTCCTCCCAGTTCTTTTCGTCAGGGGAGAAGCAGTAGACACTGTTAAGGTACTGGTTCCCGTCAAATCCTCCTACAATGTAGATATGTCCGTCCATAAACACCGTGCCGTGGTAGGCGCGCGAACACGGCATGCTTTGCTTTGTGACGTACCATCGGTCAACGTTCTTGTCGTATGCTTCAATAGTGTCCACCACCCCGCTACTGGACCACCCGCCCACCGTGAAGATTATTTCTGGGGGTACCCGCGGTCTCAGCAAGACGTTGTCATCGTCGACGATAAAAGGGCTCTCATAGAAGATTCTCATGAGGTTAGACACCCTATTGATGAGTTTCTTGCAGTCTCTCAGATTTACAAGGGTTTTGTTTCGTTGGATTTTGGTTTGAAAGAAATCGACATTTACGAAGCAAAATCGCATCGATTTAAGAAGGTCTGAATATTTTTCTTTTCTTTCTCTTTGGTCGTAGTCGATCCATCTTTGAATTGCCAGAAAGACTTCGCTCTCGTTGCGCACAGAAAGGTCGTCGTCATTTAAAATTTCTTTCAGGTCGTCGACGTGCAACTGAAGATATTCTTGACTCTTTTCAACAATATCTTTGAAATTTCGTACAATGTATTCCCAAGCTTTTCGTGATAGATGTTCACAGTTATAGAAACGAGCAAACTTGAATATTCCTATACAGTTCTCTGGAGAGATTTGTTCATAAAGGTAATGGGTACATTCTTTCAAAAGTCCAAAAACGTGAAATCTGTCAGAAGCTGCTAAAAGATCTTCTACGTTGTCAGGAGTTATAATGGCCTTCCTAATATAGGCATACTGGATAATTTGGTTCATGGTATTTGCCGACACACCAAAGATGGAAATTTCATTTTGTTCCGATTCCTTTAGTCCGGACGTAAACAATGATCTGAAATAATGACTGCAACTTGCCATAACATTTCTGTGCACAGGCAAACGGGTGTTTTCATCCGGAATTTTGATGTATGCGTCACAAAAAATCCCTTGCAAACGCATTTCATGAAGTTGGGTCTGGGGATCCATGTCATAAACACTACAAACTTGAAAATCAGTCATTTTCGAAAGGTCTAATCTTCATTCATATCCAAAATTAACGTTCTTTACGTCACGTACTGCGACGTCATAGTAACATTAAATTTAATTCGGGAAAAGCTGCATTATTTTTAATTATTCAACATTTTCCCTCCAAAATGTTCCATTTAAAAAAAATCTGAGCAAATTTTGATTTATATTATAGCTAATTAGGGTGTAAAGTTTTTCTACGTACGTAGAGAAGCGCCTTGACCGTGCTACCAAAATTTAGAGGTGTATTAGGAAACTATATGTTGCCACTTTTATTGTCGTTTTCTAACATTAAACAAATATTAACATTTATAACGGTTCACATGAAATTAATGTAATTGTTTTTTTTTTCTTTGTACTTGTATTTAAAATGCTCTTTGCCTTGCTTATCAAATAATTATAAATAATTACAAAATACGTTTTCTTTATTCAGTTGTCGTTTGTCAATTTTTTTTTAAAGAGAGTTCTTTTAAGATGAGTAAAGGAAAGCAATCAAATATTCTTGTATGATATTGGAAGATTTCTCTCAATATCTCATATAAAACAAATAACATCATTTAGGAAATTAGTTTCTCATTGTTAGAATGTACTTGTATTAATCAGTGTTAATTAATATGATTAAATAAAAGACAACTTACTTTCAGGATTTTGCTATACATCAACAAGTATGCATTTTACATTTTTTCAGTTAGGAAATTTTTCGAAAAAAAATAAGGCTATTGTAATTTAGCATATGCGTTTTTTTTCATAAAAATTACGAGCAAGAATTGATTTCACAGTTTAAAAAAGGTTGCCTTAAAAAAGGAGGGGGTGTTTTATAGCCTAACCGTTTTCGCGGAATTTTAGAGTTGTTTCCCTTTGAGTCATATAAACAGGAAGTAATGGATAATGCGCACTTTCGGTTTACTAAATCTATTTTTACCTTCATATTGCTTAATAACATTTTTGTGTGTGGCAATGTAGATTGTGCTTATTTAAAGTATTTATATTCTTTGTTTTGAGAAAGCAACTTAATTAAATAAATGTGGATCTAACTCAAGTGTAAGTATACAGGTATACTAGCTACAGATCTGTAGCGTTATGGTTTTATATATTTTTCTTTGACCATATAACGCTACAGATCCTTCAAAAAAGGTGATAAATTATTTGTGGGTTTCTCCACTTTTTAGCATTGGTCAATCAACTACCTTTCACTCCCTAAGTCTAGACACAGTCTGTAGCCAAAATATATATTTTATCCACCCCCAAACATTGATAGTCGTCTCTACAGGAAATAAACTCGCTTGAAGTGAATTTTCAGCAATCTAACAAATAATTTTAATCCAGCGAGTTTATCACTTGTAGAGAGGACTATAAAAGGTTGGGAGAAGGATAAAATATACTGATTAGTTAAATAATATTCCTAGAAATAGGAAGTGAAAGGTAGTTAATTGACCGATGCTGGAAAGTCTCCCCAAAATGAAAATTGCAATTAATAGGTTATGGTGAAAGACAAAATATATAAAACCATAACGCTACAGATCTGCAGCTAACAGGTATACAAGCCCCCCTCCCTTCTTTGTGGGTGCAACCACAGAAATTATTTCGGTATTCAGGTAAATCATAAATGTCGCATCTAGCAGTCTACTGATCTAGCAATGTAGGTAATTATTTCAAACTGAATTCAATAATATGAATTTACTCGAAGATATATATATATACATGTATATCGACCACTACACAGAAATGAATGTAATCTTTTTAGAATGATATTAATGTTTTGTAGATGTAATCTGCTCAATAGGCAAATGACGGGAATGAAGAATTCAGAGACCCTAGGCTTTATTTGCTCATTTTTATGGACCCTACCTCTTGCAGCAGCTTTCAAAACCGGTAACTATTGGCTAAAATTAATAAACATCATTGATAAAAATTGATTTAATTTCTTGGGGGTGGGGGTGCAATGCAGATAAATTAAGGTAATTGACATATAATCTGAATTTTGCTTTTTTTCAGCTGTTTAGCCTATTACATTTTTTTTTAGTTTTGAGAGATAAAATGTAACAAGCTTAAGTGTTTAATTAATGTACACATATTTCAGATCCTGGGGATTGGCCTCCGTTAACAGCGATCTCCGTAGTGGTATCTGCTGTAGTTATTATGGTGCTAGTTGTTGTTCTGATACAGTGTGGAGGATGTGTAGGAATGGAGGTGTCTTCCGAATCTCACCCCGCTGCTGGCCCCTCAAAAGGACACCACTACCCCTCAGCAGTCATCACGGATCCATGCAAACACCCAGGTTCTAATGTCTTCCCACACCCTCCCTGGTGATGATCCATATCGACCAGGTAATGGGGGCCAGGGCTTGCCATATTCACTGAACCCCACTGTTCCCAGTGCCCCTGGATTCACTGGTTATCAGAGCACTGCACCTACCCCACAGCCTGCCCCAGGGTGGGGACAAGGAGGAGGGGGGCAGGGACAGGGTTATCAGTCCCCTGGCCCCGGGGCACACCGCCCAGCAGCAGGAAGTGAACCCCCTCCCCCCTCATATAATGACAGTGTCAGGGGAAGTGATGCTTTGTGGTGACATTTCTTAAATTTGGAATTTGGCAATTTTTGTTTTTTCTCCTTTAAAATAATTTATTATATTTACCAAAGAATAACTCTTATGTATGAATATCAGTTTGTATTAATTTAACATATATTGTTGGGCATTAAAATGTCAAACATTTCTACAGTTGTGTCCCAGGCATTTGTTTTGGGAAAAATTATAACTCGTAGTATAATATTATACTATGGGTCAAAAATTTATTACAAAAAAAGTGCCTGTGAGTTGTGTATATCATAATCGAATTGTCCATTTTGTAATGAACAAACTACGCTTGAAACTTTATCATCATCAGCAATGTAAACCTTGTTCAAATCCTGCTTAGTATAAATTATTTGTATATTGGATCATTGGTTTAATCAATGATCATTTATTATGTTTCTTGATTAATTTTTTTTACCCTTCCCCCTCCTTTCAAATCTTTCCATGACATTCCCTTCTTTGTCAGATCTGATTGATTTTAATAAATATTCTTCAGTTTAGTTTGAACATACTTTTATTGTAATTTTGATTACAAAGGGGTCGAGAAAATGTTTTAAAAATTTATTTAGACCTCTCTTTTCGATCCAGTTGTTACTTTTATGTTTGTCATTGTCTTTAATTGAAAACTAAATGGGCCAGAATAAGATGTGCTATATTAGTACAGATTTGAAGGAGTTTATAAGAACAATGTGGCTCATTTCAAATTACATATGGTTATAATATGTGCTACAATCTGTGATAGCTTTTTCTTTGTAACTTTCACCATTGCTATAAATAGTATGATACTTTTTAGCTCACCTGAGCCGAAGGCTCAAGTGAGCTTTTCTGATCACATTGTGTCCGTCGTCCGTCCGTCCGTGTGTGTAATGTCCGTCTGTCCGTCCGTCTGTCCGTCCGTAAACTTTTCACATTTTCGACTTCTTCTCAAGAACCACTGGGCCAATTTTGACCAAACTTGGTACAAAGCATCCTTGGGTGAAGGGGAATTTAAATTGTTAAAATGAAGGGACATATCCCCTCGCAAGGGGAGATAATCAAGAAAAGACAAAAAATAGGGTAGGGTCATTAAAAAATCTTCTTCTCAAGAACCACTGAGCCAGAAAAGCTGAAACTTATGTGGAAGCATCCTGGGGTAGTGTAGATTCTAAATTGTTCAAATCATGACCCCCGGGGATTGGGCGGGGCCACAATGGGGAATCAAAGTTTTACATAGAAATATATAGGAAAAATCTTTGAAAATCTTCTTCTCAAGAACCACTGTGCCAGAAAAGCTGAAACTTATGTGGAAGCATCCTGGGATAGTGTAGATTCTAAATTGTTCAAATCATGACCCCCGGGGATGGGGCGGGGCCACAATGGGGAATCAAAGTTTTACATAGAAATATATAGGAAACATCTTTGAAAATCTTCTTCTCAAGAACCACTGTGCCAGAAAAGCTGAAACTCATGTGGAAGCATCCTGGGATAGTGTAGATTCTAAATTGTTCAAATCATGACCCCCGGGGATTGGGCGGGGCCACAATGGGGAATCAAAGTTTTACATAGAAATATATAGGAAACATCTTTGAAAATCTTCTTCTCAAGAACCACTGTGCCAGAAAAGCTGAAACTTATGTGGAAGCATCCTGGGATAGTGTAGATTCTAAATTGTTCAAATCATGACCCCCGGGGATTGGGCGGGGCCACAATGGGGAATCAAAGTTTTACATAGAAATATATCGGAAACATCTTTGAAAATCTTCTTCTCAAGAACCACTGTGCCAGAAAAGCTGAAACTTATGTGGAAGCATCCTGGGATAGTGTAGATTCTAAATTGTTCAAATCATGACCCCCGGGGATTGGGCGGGGCCACAATGGGGAATCAAAGTTTTACATAGAAATATATAGGAAACATCTTTGAAATCTTCTTCTCAAGAACCACTGTGCCAGAAAAGCTGAAACTTATGTGGAAGCATCCTGGGATAGTGTAGATTCTAAATTGTTCAAATCATAACCCCGGGGATTGGGCGGGGCCACAATGGGGAATCAAAGTTTTACATAGAAATATATCGGAAAATCTTTGAAAATCTTCTTCTCAAGAACCACTGTGCCAGAAAAGCTGAAACTTATGTGGAAGCATTCTTGGATAGTGTAGATTCTAAATTGTCCAAATCATAACCCCCGGGGATGGGGCGGGGCCACAATGGGGAATCAAAGTTTTACATAGAAATATATAGGACAAATCTTTGAAAATCTTCTTCTCAAGAACCACTGGGCCAGAAAAGCTGAAACTTATGTGGAAGCCTCCTGGGATAGTGTAGATTCTAAATTGTAACAATCATGACCCCCGGGGTAAGGGCGGGGCAACAATGGGGAATCAAAGTTTTACATAGAAATATATAGGAAACATCTTTGAAAATCTTCTTCTCAAGAACCACTGTGCCAGAAAAGCTGAAACTTACGTGGAAGCATCCTGGGATAGTGTAGATTCTAAATTGTTCAAATCATAACCCCCGGGGATTGGGCGTGGCCACAATGGGGAATCAAAGTTTTACATAGAAATATATAGGAAACATCTTTGAAAATCTTCTTCTCAAGAACCACTGTGCCAGAAAAGCTGAAACTTATGTGGAAGCATCCTGGGATAGTGTAGATTCTAAATTGTTCAAATCATAACCCCCGGGGATTGGGCGGGGCCACAATGGGGAATCAAAGTTTTACATTGAAATATATAGGAAACATCTTTGAAAATCTTCTTCTCAAGAACCACTGTGCCAGAAAAGCTGAAACTTATGTGGAAGCATCCTGGGGTAGTGTAGATTCTAAATTGTCCAAATCATGACCCTTGGGGATTGGGCGGGAACACAATGGGGAATTTAAAGTTTTACATAGAAATATTTAGGAAAAGGCTTTGAAAATCTTCTTCTTAATAACAACTGGGCCAGAAAAGCTGAAACTTATATGGAAGCATCCTGGGGTAGTGTAAATTTCAAATTGTCTTAACTATGATCAGTTGGGTAGGGTTGGGTCACAATATGTATTACAAAGGGTAAATCTAGTAACGTACAGAATTGTCAAAGCTTCTCAGGTGAGCGATGTGGCCCATGGGCCTCTTGTTGATAGTCTTGCAAAAGAAATATTTAAAATTTGATCTTTTATTTACAGACCATGTGTGTGTAATGCATAATGTACGTTATTGTTTTTATATCATTTACAAGCATTTACCTTGGTTGTATTTCTAGTAGGCTAGAAATTTTGTATGTGATTAACTTTTCCACTTGTGACATTTTAAAAACCTATGACTTACAAAATAAATTCAAATATACCAGGATTGATTAATAAAGTTTGAAATAAAAAAATATTTCCTCACTTATTGAAACATTGCTGTGATGGTTTTGATATACATGTATCTTAAGCTTCTCATCAAGGTGCCCTGTTAGTTGTAACAGTAAAGGGGGGGGGGGGGGGGTGCGAAAGTCCAGACCAGGGTCTACATTTAGGCCCACGAATCTATTAAGCTAAGCTAAAGGTTCACAGCCAGGTACTTTTGACTTGGGGCATCATACCCTCTGAGGTATAAATGGAGCAAAGGGATGTTAACTGTGGTTTCTACTCGTAGGAGTATATTAGTAACTTGTGGACAAGCAGTACTATAAAATCCATGGTCCCTATTGCTTGTATATTCACTGTCTGTTTCCATACTTACTGGCTATAATTCTTTGATTAAATCTTTTTTGAATTAACAAAGTTGTCACATTAAAATCTCCTAATCGAACACGCAAGTAATTTGTATTCACCTGTGGGGAGCCTCCATTTTTCACTGGGTTCATTTAACCCCGTTTTATACCTCAAATCACTGGACCTTTAAAATATTGGTGAGCCCGTGCTTCAGTTTGGACACGGCAGTCCAGGTAGAAGGACGTTTTAATACTTCTAAAGATATTTGAATTGTATTATACACATGGCAGACCACTGAGGGTATTTCAACTCAACCCTTATTTAGAATTTATGGTATGGTCCTGCTTCTCTGAGGTAAGCCTTATTTGCGTTTGTTTTTATTATTTTATAAGTTGTAAATATCTTAAAACACCCAGATACGGAATTTCTAAAATATGCAACTTTAAGCTATTCTATTTCATACTTTTAAGTTGTGTTATTTATAGTTACATTGTGTTCGAAACTGCGTGAGTTTTAAATGTACGGTGGCTTGTTTGTATCTTTATTTGCCGGTTCTACATTTTGTAATAACTGTTGAGAAGTATAGCAATTACTGCATTGTACATATTGCAATGTAACGTTTCACAGCGTAAAATGTATGTCTATATTATCCTGTATATGATATTTAACAGGTCTCATTGATCATTCCTGTGTAGTAGTGTAGAGATGGCGGCCCGTACCAGTCACATCTCGTTGTCTTGAACGCAAGACGGATGTGTAACCTCCTCGGCACTGGAGAGGGGGAAGTGTAATCTCTTCGCACTGGAGAGGGGTGTCTGAGCCTCCTTAGCGACAAGAGACAGTTGTGTAACCCAAACACCGTTTGGAACCATAGACTACCGGCATTCGAGGGACACGGACGACCACACACCACAGCAGTTTATTTTGTTGTACAATATTTTGTTAATTAAAATGTAAAGTTTAAATGTAGAAAAGATTTTCTGTTATTTATCAAAGAGGAGTTTGGATCACTATTCTCTACGCAAGGTCATTATTTGACAAAAGTGAAAAATCCATTTTAAAAATGAGGCACATGGACAACTGCACTCACCTGAATATATTGGCTGGGAAAAAGAACATATAACAGCTCACTATTGAAAAGTTTACATAGAACCTAGCTGTGGGCAGAAGAATGTGGTGGTCCCTCGATCCTTCACATGTTGAATCTATACTACCCGAGGAAGCTTAAATGTTCATATATATTAATAATCATGGCTCTGCTGTTTTTGAGCAGCAGAAGATTTAATAGAAGTTTTTCCTAGTATATATTCCAATGTAAAACTCTGATCCTCCATTGTGGGCCTTATCTTCTCAACGGATCATCAGTGAAACAAATTTGAATCAACACTACCTAAGTGATTCCATCTGACTTTGCTGTTCTTCAGATTTTTTTTCTATATAATTCTATGTCAAACTTGGATCACTCATTGTTGCCCCATCCTACCCCTAGGAGGGAGGTGTCATCATTTGAACTAACTATAACTTACACTACCTGAAGATGCTTCCTTATCAATATGAGTAATCATGTTTTTGCTATCTGTTCTTGAAAAAAAAAATCCTAATTTAAATTACATTTTTTTCTAAGTAAAACTTCGGTACATCACCCAACTACCACTGGTCAAGATTGAAACATGTTTGGGTTAAGGGAAACTGTAAAGGATTCCAGTAATTTTCACCTTTTCTTTTTGGCCTAGTGGTTCTTGATATTTTTAAAAGAAAAATTTTTTCAGTGTTTCTGAATTATCTCCCCTTGAAAAAGGGTTGACCTCCATTTGAACCCCTTTCATCCATTGTTGCCTTGTGGCAAGTTTGGTTGAAATTGGCCCAGTGGTTCTGGAAAAGAAGTGAAAATATGAAAAGCTTACAGACCAAAAGAATATACAGACAAAATGCATGATTAAAAGTTCTCTTATGCTTTAAGCACAGGTGAACAAAAAATAATTTACAAATAAATCTCTCCCTGTTTTTTCCATTTATAATGATGTTGGCAACTCTTACACCAGTTTTCAGCATAAAAAAAAGAAACAGAGAGTGTTTGTGTGAAATTTTAATTGCCTTATTGTTCACCGTCACAATTAACGTGAGGGCTTTTATACAAATAGTCTGAAAATTTATACAAAATTTTATACAATCAAACTGCATAATTTAAGTTTCATTTTCAAGTCACTTCAGAAATTTTAGCTATCTCTTGTACTCCTTAGTTCATTTAAACACATCAATCAAGTACACACATCAAATATCAAAGTTATAATTAAGTCATATGTCCTTAAAAAACTTTAAGGACACCCAATAAGTAACTCATTAAAACAAAATGACCTTTCTGTGTACAATAAAAATACTATTGGTATATTTTACATTTCTCAAATCTAAAACAAATTTAACATATTTTTGAAAGAGAAAAAATTAGCTAAATGAAAGTTTAATTGCAACAGTTCAAAAAAAAAAATCTTAAGTTTTACTGTACCAATTCAGGGCATTGAGCCATTTTACTGAAAGCTGACTTGGGAAAACCCTCCCTATTTAGCAGTCTTATTGTTAAGGACAGGTACGGCCATCACTTTAACCCATTCTAGCAGATCTAGGGAGAATCCTCTCTATCGCAGTATACTGCAAGTAAATCTTAGGACCTCTCCTATATAGTGTTATGGATTGGGGTGTTACTTTTAATTCATGGCACTGCCGCACTGGCCCATTATACTGTTAGCAGATCTAGGGAAAACCTTCCCCTACAGTAATGTTAAAGAATATGAGGACCATGATACTTGATATAGACTGTTCCCTTAAAATTCTTAAATCTTTGGAACTGAGGTAGTCAGTACATGTACTGGTACTTTGTTATGACAAAAAGTGCTGATAAAGCTAAGTCATATGGATTCATTGAAAACGTAATTGAACTGTGTTGATTGTTACATTTGCAAATACAAAACTATCAGCCCTTGGGAACAGCAGTAAACAATTCATTGTACATCAAAGAACTTGTGTGGGTGATGAAAAGAGATTGCAGAGAAATATTGGAATAGTAAATCATAAACAGAAAATTGATCAATAAATAATAATGTACAGGAAATGACATAGAGATCTGGCGTAAGTTTCATTTCTCACCCTGTATCAAACAGGATTCAATATATACAAAATTCATTCACACTCAGAAGTTTCTAATAAAACAAGTCTATTGAAACTGAATCAAAAATAAATAATTACAATAAAGAAATCATCTCTCATAATTGGATATAAACTTTCACAATACATTATTTATGTACACTTTCTTCAAAATAGTAAGTAAAGTGGTCAGCAGTGACCAAAGAAAATAAAATTCTTAGTGGCTAATCAAAATTAAATTAATGCCTTCAGAAAACACAATCAACTACATAAGTTATTCCGTTTTCCTAGTCATCATCGATTACAATGGCTTCCTCTGGTTTGTTGCTGACTAACTTAAGCGGGGCTATAGCTATAGAGGGGCGCTGGAGAATGTTGGGTTTGGCAGTAGCGTTGGTCGGAGGTTTTGATTCTATCTGTACGGTGTCGACGACCCCGGAAAATTGTTCCAGAATGGGATTACGCATCACTTTTTTACCCTGCATGGGTTTCAGTGGTGGTGCACTTTGTGTGTTTGAGATTCGTAATGCTGTAGGGATACCCACTTGACCGAAACTGATGTTACGACTAGCTTGGGAAGACGGTTGTGGTTTTTGTGGCAGTTCACTCGCGACACCTGGTGAAGTTGAGTTGAGTTGCCGCCTTATGGCATCGTGCTGACCCGGAGACGGCGAATCGTATTTAATTCCCATGTAAGTAATCACACCTGTTCTTGATTTTAATTGATTGTTTTTCATTATAGGACTGTTGCGTCCTACAAGGTTTTCACTGGACATAGAGGTTGGTTTGAGTATACCAGTCCGAGACTGCGGAGTGGCCGGTTTAACCGTTCGATTCATCTGAGGTGGACATTTCCGCGGCGACTCCGTCAGCTTCGTCTGATCCGCTTCGTCGTCCGAGGAGTCCGACAACTCAATAATCTGAATGTCATCGTCCTCTTGGATAACTTTCCTGTATGGACTAAAATTCTGCTTCCTCTTTTTCTCCTGGGTTTTCTTTGGGACGTAAATAACTTTCATGGTTTCGGTTCCATCAGGATTTGTTACAACCTTGGTGATCATATCGTAATGCTGCATGGACTGGCTTGTGCGAATTCTGTTGATATTTTCGTTGATCTGTCTGATTCTAGCACTCTTGGGCCCAAACAGTGGTTTACTGAGAATCTGCCGGAGATGGGAATCGACTCTTGTGGCAGTCTGGTTGTTCATTGGGTAACGAGGCACAAATACTGGTTTTGATACCGGTTTGGCTACTGGTTTTGGCTTGGGTCGGCACCACTCCTTTATAATCTCAGGTTTAAGCCGCTGTAGTTTCACGGAACAGTCTTTGAGATGACACAGTAAATCTCTGCTACGTTTGGTCAGGCCAGTTTTCTTTGTGATCATGAACTCCCTGCGCTGTTCAGAATTAAACTTGAACATGTGTGTGTGCTTCGTGGAGAACTTTTTGCGTTTTTTGTACACAATAGGATAAGTCCTCTCCGAACGCAGCTTCTCCATGAACTGATTCTTGTCCACTCCACCACAGAATTTCTCGTATTCTTTCACCACAGGAATGGTTGAGTCAATCTTTAAGTGTTTTTTCACTCGATGTCCAAGAGCAGACGTGATGTCAATGCCGAACAATAGGGAACTTTTGGAGATCTTTTTCTCCATCTCCTCCCCACTCTCGGAATCGCTAAACATCCCACTAAAACTGAGACAACGCCTTCTCGAGTGAGCTTCCGAGTCTCGACTGAGTTGAGACATGAGTGATTTTGGGGTTCGAGGCGTTCGGGGGGCCTCGGGAAATGACACCTCGATAATCTCACAATCGCTGTCCACTTCCTTCTTTGGAGAAGCTTCCAATGAATTTTCAGCATCGGGTTTTTTCACCAGGTCTAACAGACCAATGAACACAGATTTATCTGGTCTTGTATTTATGTCTAAATATCGAATTCTCCTCCTCCTTTTGCGATATCTCACAAAATTTCTGTTTTCCTGAAACCATAAGGTTCAAAAACTTTAAATTTCCCTACATGACAGATAGACAATCACTAACAAATTTTTCAGATTTACACATAGTTACTTGGTTCTGGATTTAATTCCACGTGACATTAATTAATGAAGCCATACAACTGAAGTTAGAAAAAATATACCTTTACTCCAACTTTTTTCAACAATTCCTGCTGCCGTTGGATTTCCAGAATGCGTTGTCGGGCCTCACGAATTTCAGCCTCTTTTTCACATTCGTCCTGGTGTTCCATCAGTACTTCCTGGTCACTGAACTGTTTGGTGCACAGGAAGCAGATCCAGATGGGGGCATCATTAGCCGGGGATTCCCCTGTCTCAGGTGCTGTAACAGTGTCAACACAAATTTCTACTAATTGAGCAAACAGTTAATTAGTTCCTACAAATTTTATGACAGGATTTTTTTTTAATTCAGTGACATTCCTAGAAACATATACAATCACTGTACATTCACACATATTTTAAAAAGAGTAGAACTTCCCTATAAAGAATACATGATTCTTACCAAAGAGTTTTTATGAATCTTGTAGAAGACCTTGCATTTTTGTTATAAGGAAGCAAAAAGTCACAGTAAATTTTCTATAATACCAGGTGGTCCTTGAATTAAGCTGAAGGAAGAAGCAACTGCTTTTTTAACAGCCTCTCTTTGGTTATCATTTAATCTGAGGCCGAGATGATGATCAGCGTTTCTGCTGAGAGTTTTCCCAGCAGTGTTATATGTTCCTCATCTATCAAATACAAATAATTGTTCCTTACCTGGCCCCTGTGAAGCAGGAGCATCAGTGACATCACCCTCCCCCTTTGATTCCTCCGGCTGGGACTCTGCCTGAGGGTTCACTTCCTGTTCTGTCTCCATGACATCCACGCGTAAGTCGGATTCATTCAGAAGCTTTTCTTGACCTAGATGTTTGTAGCAGGAACGCACCACCTTTTTTAAAAGCTCCAACTGGTCCTACACAACACAAAATAATGGAAAATGAAGACAGGACTATTTTAAAATTTATTCTATAAATGTCCTCTATGAATGTAATTTATCTGAAATATTAGGCTGATACAATTTCATACATGTAAATGCATTTACATATTGATGTGAATTAATCTAAATTTCTCTGAAGAACAATTTGTTTGACCCATATTCTTCATGCTATCTTTTTTTTAATCCGGCAGCTCTTAGAGATGGGAAACTTTACTTCTCCATTACAATATGTAGATTTTGATCATAAGAAACAATGAGGAAAAGTAACAACCAAGAACTGAACATAAACTGTACTTGCTTGCCCTCATTCCCTACCTCCTGTGTATTTTCTTCTAAGCCTGGATCCACCCATGGGGTTTCACTGGGCCACCACTCCGGCTTGAACTGGTTTTGACCAAAAAGGGGCAGGTCTCTTCCGGTAGACAACTGAACCAAGTTAGGTATGAACTCCGTCAACTGGACCTGAGTACGAAAATCAAAATTTAAAAGATAACCGCAGCTACTAATCAAAGCTATAATAAAATTCTCAAAACAGAACCTGACCTAGATTATTCTTACAAAAACTTTGTAAAACAAATTTCATTTCAGTAAATGAACTGAAACTGTTGGCGGATAAACAGACATCACAGGCACTTGTTTCTGTAATAAATTTTTGACCCATAGTATAATAATAACACAAGGTTACAGCGAGTACCCCCTCTCTTTGAATCGTGCTCATTTACACTCTCAGAGGAAATGCACAGGTAAACTGTTTATACCTATGTTTTCTACAATAATTTATCTACACAACCATATGTGAAATGCTTGTCTTTATTTTCTTTTATCTCTGTAATCAGCTTCAAAACTCTGCTCGCTGAGTGGAAAGTGAAACTCAACCATAGAATGGTATGTTCTAGTCTCGGGCAAAGAATAAGACCTCAAATTTGATTGGCTAAAAATCTGTTTCTAAAATTACATCGGAAAAACATCGTAGTGTTTTTAAGACTCTATGAAATTCTATTTATTCAACGCAATATCTAAAATCTGGAATTAAAATTTTAAACCCATGCATTCTTTAATTTTTTTCTTTGCCCGAGATTAGCACATACCGTTTTATGGTTTAGTTCAAATTTTCTACTCAGCGAGTAGAGTTTTGACGCTGTTTACAAAGATCAAAGAAAACAAAGACACCCAAGCCATATAGGGTTGTGTAAATAAATAATCGTAGATGACATAGGTATAAACAGTTTGCCACTGCCTTTTTTTTCTGAAAGTGTAAATGAAAAGGGGGGTAAATTGGAGTTATTTGCGTTATTACATTACTAAGGGTTAAATTTATTCCCGAAACAAGTGCCTGTGACAGACATACTGGCCGACAGACAAGCAGTAAAGCAACATCCCCTCCTTCTTCAAAGGAGAGCATAAGAATACTTGTTTTTGAAAAAATAGCAATAAGTACCTGTGTCATAGTATCCACCTCCAGGGAAGGCAAGGAAGGTAACTCTGCTGTCAACATCTTGTTGACCCCTGGTTGACCTTCACCTTGAACTACCATGTCTCCCCCATACATCTGTCCTCACCATGTTTATCTGGAAGTACATACAAAACATACAATCCTTACTGAGAAACAAGGTGGGATAACCCAGATTTCTAATGCAATCAAGATGAATTTTTAAAATTTTGGCCTGAAAAACTGAAAATAAATTTCTATTTCTAGATAAGTACATTGGGAATTGGAGGGGGGCAATTTGAAGGGTCTGTTTATGGCCCCAATTCTCAGGGATATTTCTAAAAATGTATCGATGTGCATATCATCCTCAATCATACAGAATCAAAATTATCATGAGGATTATATTTACTTTTGAAAACTTTTGATCCTGTCGGCAAGAACAATTAAAAGTACCAAGTACCGATTTACGAAAAATCTAATTAAATTCCCTTCAAGCAACTGATCATAAGCTGTTAAATGCTTTTCTGTAAATCTCTTACTGGAGGGAATGCTCTGCAAGCTTCACATACAAATGTTGGAGCAGAACGTAAAACACCCTCTGATGAGAGATTGGCTTTTCAGTATCTCAAAATGCGTTCTTCAATGAATAAACTGATACTACATACAGGGTTATCTTCGCTCACCTTTATTTTCTCTCTTTCATTCTTGCATATATACAATTTTCCCCTGTGTTGAATTCACCCATTTGTTTAACAAATTGTACTGCATTCTTTGAATTCACCACATTTTAAATTCACCCAACCGAGGGTAGGGCAAGGGGCAAAAATTAAATGGGTGCAAAAATCTAGTAGTTAAAATGGCTGATAAAGTTTGTGTAGGTTGACGAATCTGAGGAAGGTAGACCAAACTAGATTTTAAAAAATATACAAAGAAAATCAACCAACACCAAAATTCAAGTTCAATTCAACATGTGTTTTGCAGCTATATTTTTACAATAAAATCTGTTTTCAAATACTTAAAAGAGGGTTAGGGTTCTAATAATGTTACGACAACGACAGATTTTGCACCTCCAATTTTCTAACAAATTTTTGTTTAAATGTTTTTCACCTAAGATAAAAAATATGTAAGATTTTTTGTGAAAAAGGTCGCTGAAGTTGTCTATTTCTCAAATAAAGACATGGGTTATGTAAAAAACCAGAAGTCTCTGTCGAGACTGTAGCTCTACTGGTTTATACTTAAAACAAAGGAAGAGAAAAGTAGCAGTTGGGACTTTTTAGACTTTAAATCAGCAATAAATAGAAAAATTCCTTGCCACTCATCAAAATAAAAACCAATGCACAGAATTATGTCCTTAGTATAGTCTATTGTGTGCCAAGTTATACTGAAATCAGAACAAAACTGCAGGAAGGGTAGCATTTTGAAAGAATTTCACAGAAATTTCTATTTTTAGTAACCATGGCAACACCGTTCATTGAAATCAAAAACTGATGCACAGAATTATGTATCTTAGTGTAGTCTACCTGTTTTCCAAGTTATATCAAAATCAGACCAAAACTGTAGGAGGAGTAACATTTTGAAAGAATTTCAAAGAAATTTCTATTTTTAGTAACCATGGCAACACCGTTCATTTTTATTTTTAACGATGCACAGAATTATGTATCTTAGTGTAGTCTACTTGTGTGCCAAGTTATACTGAAATCGGACCGAATCTGTAGGAGGAGTAGCATTTTGCAAGAATTTCACAGAAATTTCTATTTTATAATCATTGCAACACCGTTCATCCAATCAAAAACCGATGCACAGAATTATGTATCTTAGTGTAGTCTACTTGTGTGCCAAGTTATATTGAAATCGGACCAAAACTGTTAGCATTTTGAATATTGTTTAAACAGATTTTATTGTAAAAATATACCTGCAAAAACCAAAACACATGTTGAATTGAACTTTTTTAAGCAACTGCCCTAGAATCGCGAAGTAAGGAGTTGATCCTTACGTCGCGGGTTTGAATCCCAATGTGGGATGCGGAGACCGGTCCTCCCGATGAGAAAGTATAAACAGAGGTCCTGTGTAGCAGTAGGTGCTGGCATGGAAAAGATCCCTCCATGCTCAATGGCCTTGAGTGCCAAGCATAGAACAAAATGTGCATCTCTCCATTGGCAAGTGGTGGCGTCTCCATATGTGTGAAAAATTCTCGAGAGGTAAGTTAAACAATATACAATCAATAAAACAGTCTAATAATATTTATATGTTTCCAAACCATTGTCAAAAAATTAAATGAAATGCAAGTCCATTTCACTTACAATGATGCAAAAGGATTTTCATTTGTGTCTGAATGTTTTGGACACCCCAATTATAACATAATGACACATCCATTTCATGTAATTGAAAAAGGATTTCACTGAAATGTTTAGACATTCTTCGTGACAAGCAACAGAGACACCGAAAGATTTTTAAAGTTATGAGAGAGAGTTAAAGAGTTCCCGCTTCTGTAAAACACGTATTACAACGAATTAGTACATAATTAAATGAATTTATCATGTTTATTGTAGTTAGGCCAAAAAAAAAAAACAGTCTTGTTTTTTCTGCTACCCGTGCCCTATTTTTGGTTTAAAGTTTTTTTTCGATTTGGAAAAAAAACCCGGAATATTTCCGGAATTTGTCGTTCTGTCATCGTTTTCAGTTCCCGTGTTATAAATACAAAACAAAATGGCGGCGGCCATTGGAAGAGGCCAGCCTCATGTGCTCTTTGTTATTTTGGTACGGTGCCGCCACAAGGACATAAAAACAAGTGTAATAGCAACGTTTTCAAGTACTACCCCTTTTAATGATATCTTTGCCAGGTATCATGAATCGAAGAATAAATGCACTGAATGTTTCGTGGTTAGAAAATCCTCTATAGACAGTGCATATATACAAATATACAAATAGTAAACAAGGATAAAATTAACCTGCTCAGAAATCAAATACAGTGTAATCTGACAAAGTTCATGGTTTTTGTAACACATATGGTCCTTGGCTGAGTTTTTAAAGGAATGCTTGTTTGGTTATCTATTTGACAAATACCTTCATGTTCCAACTGAAAAAAAAAATACTGAGAAAACTAAAGGAGCTTCCTACACAGTGTACTGTATATTATAAAATACCACTTGAGTTGTTGTGCATCAAGACATGAAATTTAATTGTAAAAGATTATATTGAGTGACTTGTGATATGTTTACATTGATCATGTATTCAGTTCATATCCAAAAAATGCCGTCGGAAAAAATAAAAAATAAAAATAATTTTCCTACCTACCTACCCTATTTTTTTAGGCTGGTAGCAGGAAACAAGACTATTATTTTTTTTGGCCTTAACATAACACAAGTATCAGTCGAACACATGCTTACTCGGGGTTTAAGTAGACGGTCAATTTGATTGGCTATTATATTTATGGAAAACCTGTTCTACGGGTATTCTAATGAACCATTTGTCAGTGTTCTTGCTTTCTAAAGAAATGGGTGTGTAATCATATGACAATCAACTTCTAATCAAATGACAATCACACTTCTAAATATAGCTCAAGAGGTTCCATCCATTCGGAAAATTTTACCACTTCTATGCGCTTCATTGTAAGATTTTCATATGACCTACTTTTACATCAGGCTTTTGTTTGTGATGTCAGATTTTAAACTTCCTTCCTCCACAAGCGGTTGCATTCGATATTTCATATCAATAATGTTTGTTATGCTGACAGATGTCAAAAATTAAGTTTTATATATTATTTTCTTCCACTTATTTTCCACTTATTTTTGGAAAATAAAGCATAAGGAAGTCAATAATAGAGACACAAATTCTGTAAAATCTTAAGTTCGATCTGCTACAAATGCGTTCTTGAAAAGTACTGATCGAAGATTTGTCGTACGAGATTCTTCTGTTGAAATTCAAATATTTTTTGTGAAAAGGGCTACTGGAGGTTGGAATTTTCTAATTAAATCTACAGAGAAAAAAATAACACAGGACCAGGATTTTACTTTGAGAGATCAAGAACTTCAAGACATTGGAGTTCAAGCCAGAGCTGTGGAAAACTTTTTCAGGTAGCCAGTCATTTGGACCGGCAAGAAGAAAAAATATGCCGGTCTGAGGTAATTTTTGCCGGTCCGAAATAGTAAGTTGCAAAATTGAAAAGAAAAGCATAACATTTAATTTTTTTTATTACACTTTACTTAATAATGACATTCAGTCTCCATTTTCAAGTCCACCTCCGTTTCCGTTTTTTGCATTTATAACAAGACTATAGATTTCATCATTTTGCAGTTTCGGGCAGGTGACAATGATAATTCTGCATAGTAAACGTATTTTTAAAACATTAATAATGCATTTGGGAATTATATTTTACCCCGAAAATGAGTCTAAGAAATTCTGTGCATCAATAATAAAGATACCAACATCAAAAACATGATCGATGAAAAAAAAAAACGAAATCTAGGACAGTCGAAACGATGGAAGTACTAGATTTACCGTTTTACTCAACTGTGTTTGAATTTTTTTTTTTTTGTCGAAATGTTTTACATACCCAGGTATTTAGCCTGTCTTTTTTTACGTTTTCTAGCTAATTCTGTCCCATTTGTAAATTTAAAAGGTCACGCGAGACAATGCTGGTTTCGCTTTCATTCATAGCCTCGATCTCGTGCAAAGAAAAAGTATTGCGTAATCATATAACGGTATATAAGATACGATAATTAAGCTGGGAAGTGCGCCGATGATAGGCCCTAAATCAAAATGGAAAAATAAAAACCTTTAACAAAGAAAGAGGTCGATCATGTGGACCGACATTGATAGCATTTGTAAAAAAAAAAAACCAGTCTTTTGACTCAACCTGACTATTGCCGTATACTTAAAAAAATGCATTTTGTTTTATTTATCTCTTACACTTTTACATTAAAAATTGGATCCCACGTACTCACAAAAGAATAAAAGCTCTTGTTACATTAAAACAACTTACGCAAGAATTTATTTGAAAAGGATCAAAATAATAAAATTTATTATTTTTCTTTCGATATTTTTTTCTTCAGTTTTTTGGTATAAGGACCTACGGGCTCTGTTGCTTGAATTGCATTGGGATGAACTCTTTCTTTGTAGCCAAAGAGGTTGATATTCAGTACAATTCCATCCACTACATAATCATGATAATCAAATAATAATTTATTTTCTTGGCATAAACTAGATTTTTGTTTGTAAAAGTGTGAATTTTTAATCAAGAATACCGTGTTAAGTTGAACTGATATAAAAAATTTTCAGCAGTTTACAGGGTTAGAAATGTTGCGAACAGAAAGTGAAAGTCGAAATTAACGTCGAATCAAATCGCGCAGAATTTACGTCATCGATTGTAAACATCCGTTTTCATTTCGTTTTTAAATGCAAAATATTATCCTATACAATTAAACAGAGGTTAATCGTAGGATTTTATCCAATATCTGTTTTGTCCGATTTATGAACATGTTATTTTCTTTCAACGAGGAATTTCAGCCTTGTACACAATGGCGCAAAATCACGAGTGCTCGACTTTGTTCAAGTATTTATCGATAAATATCTACTCAAAGTATAAAAATTTTACCTGATTATAAGCCCCAAAGAATCAATCCTGTCTGTGCCAAATTTCAGCTCTGTCCACTTGGAAATAAGTTAACAATCATCCAATTTATTCACCACCCCTCGCTCTAAGCGGAAACCAAGATGGCGGACAAAATATAAACCTTCGCCTTCGCCACTCGCACGATGACGTCACAACACTGACCTACCTCGAAAAAAGCATGACGTTGTGCACGAACATCTTACTAAAAGCTCTTTCGCAGACTGTTTTGGGAGAACGATTTTGACAGTTGTATTGAAATAAGCCCTATTATATGTTGTTTAAGGCGTAGAGAAAATTACATCAAAATACCAATCTTTATACAATAGCCTAGAACATGTAGAACGAGGCCTGATTGGAATGACATATATAAGAGGACCTTTTTATATTTTACGATATATTGTGATTATGAAATAAAATCTGTGCAGAATTTTTTTTTTAATAATTGGATCATTTTGTTGCATAACTGTTTTATTATTTTTAAACGTAATATTGAGAGGGGTTGTGCAATGATTATGTGTAAATTCTTTTACAGAGTTAACCCCCTTTATGCAGCGGTGATTTTTGTCTGGTCAAATAAAACTAGATCTATATTTCAAACTTTATGACGGACTCCAGTAGAAAGTTTAGTTTTACTATAAAAAGCCTTTAATTTAATTACACAATCATAAAAAAACACTCATTATGAGATTAATCTCTCTCTCTCTCTCTCTCTCCTTTAATTAAAATTTCATTTTCTTTTGCTGAATTATTCATTTTTCTGTTATTAATTTTAAAGAGGAGATAAAAGTTTTTTAAATGCCCCCCTCTCCAAACAACCTACCCTGTGAAGTAAGTAAATTGATAAGGGGAATGAATCAGTGAATGGAGAAAGAAAAAATTATTTGAATCACATGATTAAGTATAAAATAAATAAAACTTTGTATTTAGAAAATTAAGTGTACAATAATTTACAAACAAATTATGAAATAACTAATAATTAACTTTTTATTATTAAAGAAAAAAATTAGTCAACATTTCTAACCTGATATATCTAAATGATTATTGTTTTCATGTAATCAGTTATATATATCAAGTAGAGAAAGGTAATCTGTTGTCATTCAGTAAGCTTATGAATGCATGATTGACGTGGCAATGGCGGCACATATAAATTAAATAACATGGAATTATATTGATGTTTAAAAATACAACTATCAAGCTAATTTATCTGTAGTTACATCTTTTATTTATTTGTGGTTGAGACATCAACAATTCATAAATGTAAGAGTTGCTGTTCTTTGTTTTGTTAAGAGTTAACTACCCTTTTTTGTGTAAAATCATGCGCTTACTTTTTTTTAATTATCCTCCGAAAACGGAAGGCGTCTAAACTCATAAAGTTTCCGATAAAATTATGGGTTTTTTTTAAATCATTAAGACATACACAATTTACATTTAAATGTGTAAAAGCCCCTGTTCTCCATTTCTTAAAACTTTAAAAAAAATCCTAACATTGATTTTTATCAACATCTATGTTAACAGTTGGAAGCATGCAATTTGCTACGTCTATGTGAAGTTTGAAACATTGCTTATTACTTTTTTCATAACTAAGGCCATGTATGTAAATGTAAAATAAATATTCGTGCAATCTTCAAGAGTTATCTTTCCATTTACAAGAGTTATTTTTCTTCAAAATAATTTCAAGGTGAAAAAAAATGTGATAATTAATGCAATTTAAATTTCTGACATAGAATGATGATCAAAAATTTCTTAAGCATTTGCAAAATAAAAAAAAAACCTTTCAATTACACTAAATATACTGTAACAGAAAGAAGAAAATATGCTGCAGACTAGATATTGCAAATAAATAAAAAATTTAACAAAAACAACAACACAAAACGGGTAAACTTGAATAAACATCAAAATTGGAAATCAACCCTTTTCTTCTGTGTGTGAAACAAAAGGGGGCCTAACAATAAGAAGCACAAAAATGTCAGCCACCATTATAAAGAACAACATTCGAACAATTTGATTTCATTTTTCTCATAGAAAGAAATATGCCTCTGGAAAATCAAGGTAACTATACATAGAAATAAATCGAAATGATTTCTACAAATTTTGATAAAAATTTGAAGATTTTCTTGTTTCCCTCAAAACTTGTTGGTTATTGATTATGTTTGTTTTTCTGAAAACATCAAAAACAAAGGTATATGTAGATGCTTAACATAAAAAAATGAAATGGACTAATGTACCTTCAGCATCCGCTTAATTTTCTGTGACAATTCTTCATTTCTACATTTTCCATTCCATTTCAAATTCATCATTCACTAGATTGTTTGTATGATAATTCGTTGCACTGCTTTAATCTCCGTGCTTGTTTTAATGAAGAAATATTTTGTCAAGTGTCACACATTCTTTCAAATACCTTCTTCAGTGTATAAAATCCTTAAATACTGATGTACTTTTCATTTAAGACATAAAGAATTGCTTCAATAACACCTTTTCTTTTGTTCTAATATCGGACTGTCTCAGGTAAATCAAAAGCAATGTTTTAAGTACGATATATGCCTCATACAATTCTGTATTCGGCATATATCCAATACATAAATAAGTGCATGTATGTGCGTGTAAAATAAGTATTCGTGCCACCTACAAGAGTTATCTTTCTTCAAAATAATTTCAAGGAGAAAAAATGTTAATGATGAAATTCTGCATCCGGTACATCAAAAATTTCTGTAGCATTTTAAAAATTGCAACGGAAAAGCCCCCCACCCAAAAAAAAACCCTACACATATAGTACACGACGTGAACATTTCGTGCAGTTTCTTTTTACATGAAATATTTAATCAGTGAAGATCCCCTGCTAAGCGTGATCATGATCCAGAAATAACGGGGAAAATTCGTTGACATCCAGTGTGTAAACAATGGCCTAACAATTATTATGAAAAATGTCTGTCACTTAAATTGTCTTGATGTCCATACATTGTATTTCATGACAAGGTCATTGTATCGACTATAGAAATTACGAAATGTTGACTCTTAACAATATTCTTGTTTCATCAACTTGTTTGTCAATAACTAACCTCGTTTTAGAAACTGCTCATACGTAGAGCATGCTCTTGCGTATCGAATCAACGCCATCACATTTATCATAAAGCTTTGTAGTTAGATTGCCATTAATCTACATGTATTTTTCTGGTAAAAATATCCAAATATGAAACAGATGCATATGTCACACATGCACTGTGGTATCTTTAAATTTTATTTTAAACTTACCATGATATACACATGTACCGTTTCGACATAAGAATGGAAATAACAATTGTTAATTCATTGACAATAACTCGTCGATATACATGTACGATATACATTACATGTATCTCATAAATGTCGAGTTGAAGGCCACAACAAACTTGTGGGTTTTTTTTTTCTTTTCATGTAAAAGATTTTGAACAAATTCGTTGAACACCGAGGAAATGCAACGTCATACGTGATATCAAAATTATTTTTTTTTTAATCTATAAAACATTCCAGCAATTCAAGGTTTGTCCCTTTTGCTATCAATCTGAGGTACATGTATGTAATCAGTGGAATTTATATTAAAGATATCACTCATTTAACTTAAAATTAAATTTAAAATTAACTATACAGATATATTTTAAAAAAAATCCAATTCAATTATTTGGTGATACTTATATTTATTAAACTAATAAAATAGCCTTTTTTTTATTAGGTGGAAGCTTAAGGAATCAATTCCGTTTCATCGTGAAATATTATAAAATTGAAAATTTAGAAATCTAATAATGTAGACTAATTAATAAATTTGAAATACACGAGGCTTCCCGTGTCAATTTCATTGGTTCCCGCACGCTTTGTCAAACACAAAGACAGCCTACTATGTACAGCATAATTAAATTATACTTAAGCATACAGAAAGACAAGCTATCCAATAGTTTATTTTTTTGTGTGTGTGAAAATTCTGACTTAAACAAAAATATTTTAACTGTATTTTTATTATTGTTTGTTTGTTTGTTTCCTTTGTTTTTGTAAAAATTGTCCGTGGGACAATGTACCTATTACAGAAAAAATGAGAAAAAAACACAACATCGACACAATTTCATTCTCCTCTCATGTACCATAAAACATATCGTATATCAATGTAGTCTGTCATATTGTGCGTTATATCAGCAAATCACTTTATTTGTTAAGAGTGTATATAACTTGATCAATGCTCATACGTCACGAGATTTTCCCGGAAACGTGACGTGAACACTTTGTGATGTATGCTGAGGAAGAGAATCCGGTTTCATCTTAGTAAAAACACTATCATGTCCAAACGTAACCTCAAGGTATGTTTTGGGGTCAAGCTATCAACAAAGTAATCAATTAATATTGCGTCTGCTGCATTTTTATATATTTATATATTTCAGATGAAAATGCATGAAGTTAATCCGATTGTGTGATTATTAAAAGTACGGTCACGAAACAATTTCAGCAGTTAAAAAAAAATGTTCCCTGTAAACATTGTATGTTTGAAAAACTTTCACTGTTTTTATTATTATGTTAATTGATAGAAAAAAAAAACTTTGACAAAAGTAAGTTAATGTATCCTTTGTTTTGATTATTACGCCAAAAAAATTGCACTGAAATTATTTTTTTTTCTTTTTAGCAAGTTAACGTGATAAAACTCTTAAAAAACTTGCACACATTTTAAAATTTCCAATTTTATGAGAAATAAGCAGAATGCTATTAAATGATTACAATATCTATCGCATGAACTCGTTCACAGAAATACTTGCATCTGTAGCTATAGAATTTATCAAAACATGATGGTTTCGTGTTACAAAAAGCGTGGCTGGCCTGTCACGGTTATAAAGTATTCTCACGCAAAGTCTTTCAATATACAATGTACGTGTAAGTGATTTAAAAATTAAACAAATTCATTTAAGATTTTTGTAACATGCACAAACTATATATTTTATCTTAAATCAGATCATCAGCAATATAATTGTAGTTTATATATATATTAATTAAATGAATAAGGGAGGGGGGGGGGCAACCTAACAGAAATTAGAAATTCCATACACTTCTTGACAAGAGTCAGATTAAGAGGGGGAAGTCATTATAAATTTTTATATAGAGGTACAAAGTTCTGCAAATTGTTTTATTATCTATAATGTTTAATCCTAATTTCTTCATTTCATGCGAAAAAAAGGATTTACATACTAGTATTCTGGTACCTAAATTTTAAAGACAAGGGATTTTATACCTTTATTTAAGTGAAGATCGACTTTAAATATTTTATAAATATTTTCCAAGGAGTTCAATTTATTTTTATAATTGTTCACGGTCTATTAATAATTGCTCGTTATCCCTCCCCCTTAAAAAAAATAAAATATTTATCATATCTTCTATTATAATATTTAAAATGTTATGATTATATATATAGTACTAGTACGTATATATATAGTAGATTTATTCAGGTAATAAAATCAATGTATGATACAGGGTGGTACAAATATAAATAATGCATAAAATGAAAAACCTAATCACAGTAATAAAATTTCAAAAATAAATATAAAATTCTAAATACAGGTGTCCTTTTCCGAATGTTTAAAATATAAAACAATTTTTGACATTTATAATTTTATGAATAAAAATATATGCATTATAATCATCGTGATATCATGACATTAATTAATAAACCTAAGGATAACCCATGAAAGCAAAATTGCTTATTTCCAATGGGGTCCTTGTTATAAATAAATAAGTGAATAAATAAAACAAAAAACTAACTAAACAACAAAATTAAGTAAGAGGATGTAGGCAAGATTTTGGCAGATACATTAATCAAGGCACCTCATTCAGATAGGACAGGTATTAAAAAACCCTGTATCAAATTTGAAAATAAATTACACAAAGCATTTAAAATAAAACAATACATTCATAGTTGTTAAAAATCAAAAATATATAATCTCTTCACAGCTTTTAAAATCCTCCATTAGATACTTTTTTACACTGTTCTTAAAAGTTTCTTTACATTCTAAATTCTTAATAAAAAGAGGCAAGTCATATATCTTTGATGGCATTGTAATAAAAAGTTTTGGCAATGTCTAATCAAATTTAAAGTTGTGGCTATTAGAGGATCTAGTATTAGAGTAATTATTACTTAAACTTGTAAAATTTGTTTCAAGATAAACAGGGGCTTTCTTATGAACAATATTAAAAACCTGATTCAGTATCATCTGCTTCACTCTCCTGTCCACATTCAACATATTAATAGACTCAAAAATATTATAATTGATGGAATGCACTATAAATATATGTATGACCTTATTTTGGCAAATTTGTAATTTACGTTTCATAGCTTTTGACAGTCCAGAGTACCAAGAGCTACATGAATAATCTAATAATATATATATATATATTTTTTTACTTTTGCCTTGCCTTTTAAAGGATAGGGTACGTGCCTACAAACAGATTAAACTCAATTTACGTTTTGCCTTTTGGTATCAAAAATTCTTTTAATGACTATATATATAATCACGACTTTCTGTTAATAACAGTGTAGATCTTGGTGTATTTGATAAAACAGTGTTTTGTGTTAGCCTATCAGTTTCTAATTGAAAAGTAAATTGAACCTAATCTTACATCGTTTCGCGAATCTCATCTACTTGAATATGTTCTTCGTGTTTAGAAGTGTTGAGAAATAGTATGTACATTCAAATAAAATACATCGAATCACGTGTCTAGCAAAACCGCGCTTAAAATTGGCATATTTTCTTGTGAAATTAATAAACTAGTTTTACACTTGCATCAAATATCTCTATTCAGGCATCGTCTACATGAATTTCTTCGTCATAGGCATTTGTCTTTTTACATATATAAGCCTCGGTTTTTGCATATTTCTTAAATTTGTACATTTGGTTCAAGTTCTAAGTGTTCGTTTTGCTGGAATAGAGTCTCTCGCAATACTCATTGGTTAGCTGGAAGAGCCCGGATGTACGGTAACAGGCGCATTATGTTTAGACGCCATTTTGCCAGTATAAAAATAAAGATAGCAATGCCTGATTGATTATTCGACAAGTCGTCGGATCGGGATAAATATTACTGCGAGCTGAATGTTTATAGTACAAAGATGGTAAGTTGATGTAAACAAAGGCGAATGGCCAATCGATAAGAGTTGGAAATTTAAAATATTCGAGATTGTTAAACTGGGTCGCCGTTGTATTGTGAGGTCAGCGACACCGCGCTGTGTACGATATCGCGTAAAAAGTATCGGAAAATTTACGTTGCGTTTTGACGTTAAACATGTGCGTGTTTTCAGAATATTTTAAGTTAGGGCTAACTTTAGACTGTAAAACTGTTTGGAAAATTAAAACGTAACGTGATAATTAAGCATGTTAAAATGAGGAAGATTTGCTTTAATTACGGTAATTAAAAATGATTTTTTAACATTAATGAAAGTGAAATTTACAACTTAAACAAAAAAAAGCCAGTGAAAAAGGTGTGTTTTTGATTATAAAAAATACTTGAACATATTAATTTGGCTCATAAAAGTTTTATTAAAAATTTAGTGAAATCTGAAAAAAAAAATTGGACATAAAATTTAAAACATTTGGGAGTGTTAAGTTTTAGTTAAAGATAGATAATTTTTTTTATCTTTTATTTTTATTTAAAAAATATATAATAATAATACTTTGTTATAAATGTTAACCCGACGTGCAATGCAAACTTCCTCGGGGCTGCATGTTCACAAAAACAATAATACAATAATAAAATCATTGTACAATAATAAATAATACAACATGACGTAAAAATACAAGTACATATAGATTTCAGGAGATTTTAGTGTTATTGTGAATTTTTTCCAGCATTTTGAAAAACGTATGTACAAAGGTAACTTGTTCCACTCAAAATGAAAAGAATTTTTAAATTGATTTGTTCATATAACTTGTTATGATCATGTATATAAATATAATATATATATTTAAAAATATATATATATTAGTATTTTGTTATAAAAGTTATCTACTTGTATCAAACAAGGGGCTGTTATGTGTCTGTTGGTGCTTGTGGTTTTTTTTTCCAGGTTGTGTCATAAATACATAAAAAAAAAACTCTTTCTTACATCGTGTACATTGACTATGTTGTTGAAGTATGTTCTATGTCTGTTGGTGTTATGGTTTTGGTTGTGCATATAATTATGAGCAAATGGGGACTGGTACAGATTTGGTCTGGTCCATCATGTTTTTCTCCTCACAGGTTTAAAACACTGGTATATATATAAAAAAACCCATATTAGGCATAAATTCTGATAAATGTATAATTATATGCTATATGATAATAATATACATCAATGTAAAAAAGGGGGGGTACTAAGCAGTCTAAACCTGTCTGAAATATTATTTCTAAACCTTAAGCCAGTTAAGGTTTGGTCTGATTTTGCACAAAAAAAAATTCTAAATTTGGTGGGTGGGTCTGTTTCCATTGCTGGATGTCAGGATGTTGTACAAGCAAGGTGAAAACATTCATGTTGTTGGGTTAAATAAGAAAGATACACATGTATTGTGAGAAATGAAGGTAACAAGAGATAGATAAAAAAAAGGTGATATAAATAACTTGGGGGATGGTGATGTAACTACAGGTGTGTAGGGGGTTATTATTGGAGTGTGACATCACAGGGGGTCCTAGCACTAGCCATTATAGGTCAATCAAGGTAAATTCAAAGCTTTTGTTGTGAAAATTGGCTCTTATGTGAGTAATTGGTTTAATGAATTTGATTTATGACAGATCGTGTATGTATATAGTGAAGCTAAGTTTGAAACAGTCATTTAGGGTATTTTTAGAAAGACTGTGATTTTTCAAGGAAATGAGTCTTATGATAGTGGAATTCATATTTTCCTGATTTTATATTCAGCATAAGGGGATTATCACAAAAAAGAATAATTTTGTGGTTTTACAAAACCCATAGAGGAATATAAAAAAAGCTTGCTTTAATAGCAGTACAAACCATTTTACTTGAAATTGTAGGCATTAGTATATAGGTAACTAATATACGTCAAGAATTTGTTTTCTGTGATTGTGTTACATCTTTGATTTTGAATGTTTAATCTTATTATTGCAGCTATTTATTAAAACCTTGCTGTATTAGTCATAATTTATTGGGCTTTAACTGTAAACCAACTTTTGTAGGCGTCATCTTTTATTTACGATTTGTCAGTTTGTAATCAATCTGCATTATTAATTTTCACAATTAATTTTCCATTCTCTTAAAATATGAAAAAAAAAAGTGGTTCGCGTCTATTAATATTCGTTAGATAGAGTATGTTGCCAAACTCGTGAATATTTCTTGCACACAAGTAAAAGTTGGTTTACAGTATTTATTTCTTCATTGAAGTCAGTAGTTTAAAATTAATATGATTTTTTTGCATCAAAAATGCAAGTCAGTAGTTTAAAATTTGCCCATGACACAGGTATTTTTTTTTTGTACTGCACATATTTTCAAGGGTCAAAATGCCAGAGGACACTAAATTACAACATATCTTTATAAATATTGCATTTCATGTTGGAGTGGACATAAATTTGTGGGTTACCTCCCCTCTCAATAGACACAATGACACAGGTATGTCTGTCTGTCTGTATATTCTTGTCTAGAGTTAGAACACTATATAAAGAAATCAGAAACCGGAATTTACGAATTAATTTCATTCAGAAGTTTAATTTTTTCTTGGAAAGGTAAACCCCCCAAAAAGGAGTGTAAGATATGGGTTATTAGTGTGTTATCATTTTCATATGACAGTGGATGGACTAATGAATTGCTCTGATGTACTAGTAAAAATTAAAAGTCACTTAAAAAATCAAATTTTAATTCCTGTTATACATTCCTGGGAATGCCATTAGCAGTGAAGCGTTATCTGTTTTAGTTCCTGCCAGTATGTGTCATCAAATTTCTGTATCTCTCTTCAGCATTTTGTGTCTTTGTTCTCAGATTTTGAAGAAAAGGTTTTCTGCCATTGACTCTCATTTTTCAGATCTCATAACTTCCTGAAAATCTGATGATTTTAAGAGTGCTTTTCCTTTTCACACAAGAATTCAATGATTTACGTATCATGTTTATTTGTTACGTAATCATATGAATGCAAGCCTTCAAATGTCATTTCAAAGACCTTTTTATGGAAAAGGTTGAAGTTTTATATTATGCATAAATAAAAATTTATTTAATGATAAAAATTAAAGATGTCAGCATAAAAGATAAATCTTCGGGTCATAAAAACTCCTATACCTGTTGATTCGCTATTTATGTAAGTAAAGTATGCAGGTAAAATTCCCACTACATCAAAAGATGCTTGTCTCTGAAAGTACTTGGTGGCAGAAGCTTTAATGCATTATTCCAGGAGGAATAAAGAAATTATACCTAAGTGCTTCTCTGTTATACATCCTTAAGAAAAATTATAGAGTTAATTCCCCCAAGTTCTTCTCTGTGTTACGTCTTGTAGGAGAATAATAGAGTTGAACACCGAGTATTTCTCTGCTCTACATCCTTTAGAAGAATTACAGAGTTGATTCCTGTGTACTTCTCTGTTTTATGTCTTTTTGAAGATCTATAGAAGAGTTTACAGAGTACTTTTCTGTTGTAGGTCTTTAGGAGAGTTTTACTATTGCACTAGTACTTTTCTGTTGTAGGTGGAGTTGCAGGACTTTATCCCTCAGCTGGTCAGTATTATGATGACCAACAGAACCGGGCTGTACAGGAAGAACTCGAGGCCGGAGTGGTGGCCGTCAGATTTACCCTGGTCAGGGACCAAAACCGACCTCTTGTACCAGGAGGTGGGTTTATTTAAAAAAAAAATTAAATAGTCATAAAAATATCAATATTTTACAATATGTGATGTTTTGAGTTCATTTAAATTTTGAATGAAATTCTCAATAATAAACAAATTTTTTTGAAATTTTATTTCAATAGGCATCCTTCCTGTTCCTTGCTTCGTTCCTTGGCTAGAACTTAATCTGCTTGTAATTTCAAAACTGATGGTTACATACAACTCATTCAAAGATTTACCATTTATTTCTACTTCTAATCTTTTTTAAAAGACTACTTAAAATTTCAAAACTCTCCACTTGCAGAATAATTGGTCGGAGCCGTTAAGAGACGCGATAAGGAAGTGTTACCGTCACATGGGACAGGAGCGATTACTGAAGATGACGCGGCGAGACAGCAAACAGGTATAAATGATACATCACAGAGTAGGAAGAATCCGTAGTTTGACACCATATTTTCCACTAATTCATTAATTCGGCCAAAGCATGATTCTTTGAAATTTGGGTTGGGGGGATTGGAGGGGGGGGGGCATAAGGATAATCCAATAATGATAATACAAAGTGATAGTGATAAAGTTTTTCATGAATGCAGGAGTTGTCCAAATTAGCCTCTGTTTGCTAAATTTTAAAAATGCTTTTTAAAAGTAAGAACTTGTGTACTGTGAAAAAGATTACTGAAATACCCCTTGATTTGCGTTTAATTTATTTTTGCATTTTCCAAGCAAAATTAAACAATTGCTCATTGACATTTTTTATGCTGAATTTTTGCTATTGAGATAATACAATTTGCATACTGCACAGGATTTTGTAAAGTAAGTTAGGAGTATACAGTTGCTTTACCTTGAAAATTCTGAATAAAGTGGTCTTACTTTAGGTTTCCACAACCAGCAGTCGAAGCAAACCAGAGGAAAAGCTAGATTCTTCATCAAGTTACTACACAAACCCCACAGAAAACAGTAAGTACTGAGGAAAATAGTGTTTTCAAGGAAAAACATGGTCTGATAAATGAATACAGGTATTTGCATTGAATCTTCTGGAAATTGAAAAGTCAAAAATGGGTTATGTACAGAATTTTTGTGTTGTCTGCAGAGCTTCAGTCTATTCATCTTTATCACCTTAACTAATAAGATTTAATAATATTTTGCACATATATATCTTGGCACTATGGCTTTTGTAAAATACCAGTTACCCAAGCTGATGATTTAAAGCAGTCAACACTTTCGTTCCTTGAAATACTCTAGTTTATTAAAAATGTATAATTCAATTCCTTTGTATCCTGTTTCAGAGAAGAAAACCTGCCAATACGCTGAGATCTACATATGTTACTTCTGTGAGAGTGAGTTCTCCGATCGGACGTTGATGCGAGAACACCAGGCTCAGTGTCAGGAGAGACCCCCACAGCTCCAGGAGGCCCTAAAGACCCCGCCCACAGCCACAGACCCCACCCAGGGGCCACCTCAGATGAGTCCCGTCAAACTGAACCTCAGCTGTAAAGCCCCAAAAATTCCCAAAGATGGCTTCATAAAGATGTTCAATTTAGTACCGACACAGAAAGTGGACAAGATTCTGGCGCGACACAGGAATAGTCTGGACGTAGAGTGTGAAGAGTTGGATTACTCTGTTCCAGAGACTCCGATTTCTCCCACCACCCCACGTACACCGAAGTCCCTGATCTCACAGCTCAGTCGAGACGAGGGGCCATCCTCCAGAAAGAGGCTGAGTTACACAGAGGGTGGGGATAACGAGGATAAGGAAAGTGTGGTCAGTGGATGTAGTGAAGAAGCGGAGGAGAAGGCCACTCAGAAAGGGAAATCTCTACTGACCATAGACATCTCATCCCTGCTGGGCCAGAGGATTCAGAAGCACGTTAAAACAGACTCGTTTGTTCAGGTGATCGGGGATTCCGAATCATTCTGTAAAACACCAGTCAAAAACTCTTTCTACGAAAAACTACGCAATCGTACTATCTCTTATCCTGTGTTATATAAACAGCGGAGGAAACACGATGGCAAGTTTGTGCATGCGTATGGATTTACAAACGGGCAGAAACGAGAAATCAAAAGAAGACTGAAATCGGGGCTGAACAAGAAAAGCCGAGAGTTACAGAAGAGCATGCCAAAGTGTTCAGTGGAAGTAGCAAGGCTAACAAAGTGGGAGCTAAAGAGGTTCATGTCCAGACACTCCTACAGGAAATTTTTGAATCTCAAGACTGCAGATAGTGCTTCTGAATCAGAATTTCCAAAGGAGCCTCTTCTGCTGTCTCAAAATGTGGATAAACTCCTGGGGCTGAAGAAGAGATCTGAGTTGAATGTGGCTAAACTGAATCGCTTGGCTCCAGTGAATGTTGTGTCTGAAGACGCTAATGCTGAAATCACCAAACACAAGTTAACACTGTATCGATGCCTGTTATCTGATCTGGCCACCATGCAATCAAGCTTGAAGAAAAGCAAGTCAACTCATGCACTTCAGCAATCTCTGAAACTGGAACTTAAACAGGTACCACTAGAAAGGCAAGGTGCAGATCAAGCATTAACAGTGAAGGTACCAGGGCATAAATCACCAAAGCTACCACTAAGCCCCCCTACTACACCATCCATATTGACACATCAGGACAGAAAGTCAAGGAAGCAATCTTCAAAGCTGACAGAGGATGACATATCCATCATTTCAATATCTTCTGACGAGGAGTCTTTGAGTTCCCGATGCTGCATGGCCTGCAAGAGGAAGAAATTGTGTCCCTGCTCACCCGAGGTCTCACTGATCCGAGTCTGCTCATCACCCTCTGTTTGTGGCCTGAGTGTGTCCGTTGCGAGTTCTACTTCCATCACCCCCCAGGTCTCCCCCTGTAGTTGTATATCCTCCCCGGAGTCTGAGGGTTCCCTTCATCTGAAGCTCTCCCCCTCACCAGACCTGGTCCAGTGGCAAGTCAAGGCTCCAAAACCACCAGCAGCCGTAAATAAAACGGGTACCAAGCCGCTACGCAGATCTGACACTGATACACCTGTGTCTTCCACCACGGCTTTAAGACTAAGGAGTAACAGCACTACTCAGAAACAGGAAACAGTAGAGGGTAAAGACAAGTCTGTTGTGTCCAGATCTCCTGTGAAGAAACCACTCAGTACATCAACACCAAAAACCTCACCCCACACCACCACACAAAAACGGGAAACAGAAGAGGGCAAAGACAAGACTGTGGTGTCCAAATCTCCTGTGAAGAAAGCATTGAGTACATCTACACCAAAAACCTCACACCAGAGTTCTGCACAGAAACAGGATACAGAAATAGGAAAAGACAAGTCTGTTCTGTCCAAGTCTCCTGTGAAGAAAGCATTGAGTACATCTACACCAAGAACCTCCCCCAGGAAACTATCACAACAATCAGGCTCCCCGGTCTCTTCTTCTACAGAGGTCAAAGTTCAAGGACTGTCGAAAGAAAAGGACAAAAGTGCAATGAAGAAAATGTGTTCAGAAGAAAGCAATGGTACAAAAGAAAGTGCTGGACAAAAATCTCCTCAGAAGAAAGTGTCTCCTGTGAAGAATTCTGAAGGACAGTATGAACTGATAATCAGAACGAGGTCCAAGGCGGGGATTCAACTGAAGAGATCAAAGAGAATCATGTCAGCATCAGAGGGCTCCCCACGGGGTAGTCCAAAAAAGATAAAATTAGACACTAGATAAAACCTCTACTGGGTAGACACTAGATAAATTCTCTACTGGGTAGATAGAAAGTTAAATAAATCTGTTTTAGATGTAGGGTAGAAATTCTGTTGAAAGTTGAATATCACAAGATTTTAATGATGTGTTCATGTGTGAGACAGCTCCTGGAAATTTTTCTGGGCCCAAAATATAATAATCCACTATTTATCTGACTGAATGCAGTGAACAAGAGTAGTTATAGTGTTCAACTGAAGACTCCAATGCAATAAATTAAAATGCTTCATTCCTGTGCTATGATCTCCTGCTGATACAAGTGGATTTCAGTGAGTTATAGATATTTTATTGGTGTGCTCTAGACCAAAGTTACGTAATTTTGCATGTTACCATTTAGCATTCTGTTGCGACATTTATCATGCTAGGTTTGGGTAAAACATTTTACCATGAGATGAATGAATGGTTATTATAGTTTTTAAAATTAGTGTGAATCTATGTGACGTATGTATTTGTTGGGATATATACCACTAAATAGTGCTTTTTTGATGGTGCTGTTTTACTCTGGTACAAAGATATTTTTATCGTTGTTCGCAAGGATATTTTTATAAGTCGGATTTTTGTTCGCCAAAACTCTATGTCCGACTTATAGGCGAGCTATAAAATGAATAGTATTATAGGAGGTCAGTCCCTCTGATATATAAACTTTTTAAATACAACCGACTTATAGGCGGACCGACTTATAGCCGAGTATATACGGTAATTTCTACTGCATACATTTGCCAAACATTTGTATAATGCCGCATTTAAAATTAAATATGATGGCTAAGAAAGTATAAAAGTTAAAAAAAATATTAATGTTTGAAAATTCTTTGAGGAGTTGTTTGAAATTTTGAAAATTGTACATTAAATGTAGCCAAAATTTTCAGTCTACTTAAACCAAAAGCTGTTATGGGTTGCTTGCTATTTTTAAGACCTCACAATATTTTCTGTCCATAAGTTGTTAAAAAAGAAAAATACATAAATAAATCAAAAACAAAAAAAAAAAGAAAAATTTAGAGCAAAATTACCATGAAGATATTGTGTGAGGTCTTATGTGTAACAAGTAAACACCGTGCAGTAACCCAATTTATTATGTGATACCCTTAAATAAAACAAAGTTATATTTTTTCATTACAAATTTATTGTTGAATACCATATAATTATTTTTTTTTTTTTTGAGAATCAAAATGTATAAAATTCCTGATGCATATATAATAGATTCTGCCCTCTTTTAGTTATACAGAAGCATGTGACTCTTAAGTCTCTGTTGTATGATAGTTTTCCATGCATGAGATCTTTTTTTTTGTTTTAAAGAGATTATGAGCAAAGGTTGTATTCAGTTACATATAAATGTATAAATGTTGACTATTTCTGAATTCGGGCATTACTGGTAAAGTCTTAGTCATTTTTGTTATCCATATGCAGTTATTTTTCTTTTACTACTTTGTGTTTTTATGTTCTAGCATGCTAAAATTGTTTGAAAAAATTCAACAACTACGGATTATATTTTCATCTGGAATTTGTATGGCATTTTTTGTTTAATTGAGTAAATGTATTTAAGTTTTCTGTTCATTTGCTAATGCATGGTTGCATGGTTTCAGATTTCTGATTTAAATATCAACTTATTTTCCGTGTATTGATAAGTTATTTTAGTTATCTTTATTTTGTGAAAAAGATTACAGCACTGATCTTCTCAGATCATGACCTAAGTGACCCCGGGGTGACCTCTGACCCAGGATGTCATCCTACATGTAGTTGATACATGGGGTACAATGTTAGCCCTGTAAACCAAAGGTGCATAGCAGCATAATAGTTTAACCATGACAGTTTGTTGTCGGTTTTTCCCAGAATTCAGTGGAGCAAATATCCTTTGTGCTTATGATTTTGCCAGCTGCCAATGAAGACATAATTGATAAACTGAGGAGTCATTAGATATTGTGGTGGCTTGACTTTTGTTTGTAAATATTCATTTTTATTTTGATGTATATGCAATCAACATTTTATTTTTCATGTGTAGAACAACCTCTCATTTAAAAATTTACATCCTTAGATAATTGAGAATCCGAATTACAAAGTTGTACTTCTATCTGTATGTATAAGTTTAATATACAAGACAAAACGAACCCACAGACTGGTAAAATATCTGCAATCTACAATTGTAATGATTCTTCAGTAAGTATGTTACCTTAATTAAATTTATTCCTTATTTTTTTAAGTAGTCTCTTGCTAAAATCATAGAAGTGGTGAAAAAGCACTTGAGATATTTATTCTCTGAAGGCTGGTACCATACACATATAGATCCATATGTTTGTAAATATTCATTTTTATTTTGATGTATATGCAATCAACATTTCATTTTTCATGTATAGAACAAAAGCAACAACTGTTATTTTTGTGTAGATAGTTTTAGTTATGATTTTCCTCTAGATTTTGTGATGTGAAACAATGGGTTTCCTCAATTCATCAAGCTTATTGTAATAATACTTCTTGCACTTAGAGAAAGGGAGGAAGAGGGAGTGAAAGAAAGAGAAACTGAAGAGAGAGAGAGAGAGAGAGAGAAAGGTTTCAAAAAGTATTTTACAGTGCCATATGGTTGTAATTGAAAGCTGAGCTTTCAGGCTTCATCAAAAACTTTCTTTTTTTCCTGAAATTCATGGATTTTGCAACATCTCCAATTTTATTGAATCATCTTTTATCTTCAAAAATCTTGTCAGTTCACAAGGGGCAAGCCATTGTTATCATCTTGTATTAATTTGCAATGAAGACCATTTCATCGTTTGTTACATTATGCTTAGAATTTCTTTACCATCACTGAATTTCATCATTTGATCAAGAGGTTATAATACACTTATATTTTACTTCAAAAGGTTTTAAAATCAGGAAAGGGATTTCTTATTTGCATATACAATCTGTACAGCTCCGTTTTTAAAACAAAGATTTCTGATTGTAAAACTACTAAGTACTTGGCCACAATGTATTTCAGTGGCATTTACAAAGTTGCAATAATCATAACTGTTTTAATTTTCAGTGAAAATGCAGTTCACAAAGTAGTTTTTGTTTCAACTATTGTTCATTTCTGCATTGTTAAAATTTTAGTTATGTTCTATTGATTTTTAAAGTTCAAATGAATTTAATTTTTAGTTGCCCGTCTTTGATGTTATTTTCCTCCTGTATATTGATACATTAACCTGCGTTATCAATGGAACTGTTTTAGTTTGTACATCAGGTACTGGATGAATTTGTTTAACTTCTGAATTGTTTTTATTGGATTTTACCAGACTGATTGTTTTATTGTAGATCTGCAAATTGACTCTCTTGATTTTAGAACAAACTTGTTAAATATGGAAATCATTACTGTTACTAAATAACATTGCTCAAAATTAAAGCAAATGTCACACACACTGCTAATGTGTTTTATGTTTCAATTACTGTATAAACAGTTACTTTCATCCTGGAGCAAACACTTTCGACAATTTAAGAAAAAGTGTTAAGTACATGCAATTGCCTTCAAAGAGAGAGAACTCTGTCCTGTTGAATTCGTACACTGATGTTTGGGGGTGTAAAAAGTAGACAATTTTCCTGTATACATATAACTAGGGATGGATTGTATCTACTTTTGGTGAACTATGGGGCCAAAACACTACTGCCATATGAATTACTGTAAATATAGTGTTTAAAAGGATTTAAATAAACAAAACTGCAGGACCAACAGGGACACTCAATTCTTTTTAGTACAGGCATTTGCCTAGCATAAGATAAATGGAGGGCATAAATATGTATACATGTACTAAATAAATCGTTAAACTATTTTACACCAATATATGATTTACAGCAATACTGTTCTGTATGCAGATTGTACTACATTTCCTGATGCAGTATAACCTGCCCCTTCTATTCCTTTATAAAGAATAAGACGAATACAAATTGTTAAAATTTTAATGACTTTTTTTAAATTGCAGAATGAAGCAATGTTTGGCCTTTTTAGGAAGAAATGTCTAAATTCTTAATTACATATCAGATCTGTATGAAAAAAGATATGATTTAATAACTACCAATCATCAAATAACTGAATAACACTTGGTAAAGTAACTGTTTTATGCTTTACTTGCTGATTTCTCAGAGAAAGACATAAACAAGCAACAGGTTCTTTCTCTGATTAAGTGAACACAAATGATAATAAGTACACATGTACCAAAGAAATGACAATCAATACATATAAGTACACATGTACCGAGGAAATGACAATACATAAGTACACATATACTGAGGAAATGTACCATATACCCACTCTAGTAGAGTGAACAAGTCTCTTAACAAAATTTTAATTGATAACATTGAGTGAACATTAGTTTGAGCTCTGTGTTGTGATTATTGTGAAGATATTCAGTAGATTTGATCCTATGTATACAGAGTTAGCACCTTGGTCATAATGCACGATATAAAATGATAGAAAAAATCATGAAACTTGTTCCATTGCAAACTTTTACTACAGGCGACCAGTGTTATAATTATTTCAATGCAGTCATGAATGATTTGTTTTTTCTAATTTGGTTAGAAAAATAAAAATAAAATCTGTAAAATGTACAGAGCTATTGTTAATTTATAATATACTTTCGTACATATTTTGGCGATTTCATAAAAGTAATACATCTCTGATAGAAATCAACCTTAATTAATTAAAAAAAAAAAAAAAAAGAAAATCTTTAAATAGTTTACATAATTAACATTTTTCACAATACTTAAGACATGAATTTCAAATTCTGCATTTGAATTGTTCATGTGTATATATGCACAGAATCAACCATTGCACATAACCCTGTGTTAAAAACGTATTAAGAGGTATGGTCTATCAGTGTTGGCCTAATTAGAATCAAATTGTTAATGACAATATACACACCTATTAATATTTTATATCAGCCAAAATGTTATGACCCATTTAATCAGTTACTGGCATTTAAAGATATTCTTGTTCTTTTCCAAAATGCATGAGTGAGAAAAATTATACAAACATCCTATATATACCTGGTATATATTTTGTGTCATTTGAAATCTACAAACCAGACATTGCAATTTTTAATACACAGCTCTTGTACATAATTATAATAATACAATATTCAGATAGTTTGACAACGGAACTAAGAACCTAATTTCATACAACCCTGTAGAAATCAGTGAGAGACTTTTGTTCAGTTCTGTACTTGGAAGCGCCGAGATGGAGTTTATCACAGTTACATTGTATTATGCCAGAAAGTATATTACATTGTATCACACACGCCAGTAATGAGAATCGAAAGATTAAATCCAAAATTTAAAACAATGTGTAATAAAAGATCACTCTGAAAGATATATGAAATTAACAAAATTAGATGAGATGGAAAATACTGGTAGGGAAGAGCTGCTGGTTACGTGTAAAGCTATACTATAAGATTTGATTCTATTTTGAGCAATGACACATCTGCTTTGGAATCCGTGTAACTTAAGACTTCCTGCAATTTGCTTGAAAATGTAAGATTCCTTCATCACATTCATTGTCCTAAATTTATATACATGTAAATAGTTTTTCACCTACATGTAATGCAAATTACATTACAAATATATAAAAGAGTAACTTCTTATTCATCATGTTCATATATATTTTTGTTCAATTTCTCTCTTTTTGAACCAAAAATTTTAGAATTTTCTTATAATCATCAAAATAAAAAAAAAAGATGAGCAAAAGCCTCATGTATTAAATGCGGTGGATTGATAGTTTTCTGAAATAAATAGCATCAGGACGAAAAATGGAAATTTCCCTTGTTTTAGAGATACATGTAGTAAAGCAAACCGGGTTTACATGAGACAGGCTCTATGTAAATACAGTTTATAGATAAAGACTGAGAATGAACATAAGTTATATACTCTCACTTCTTTCAGTTTATAAAGTCCAATATTGCACAGAAAATCACACATACCTCCCACTTACACTAATTAAAAACTTGTCAGACAATTGCACTCTTGTGTATACATAAAAAATCCATTCAATATGGAATTCTGAATAAAATAATCCTCAATACACAAATAAACACAATTCTACTTTCACTTCGACACTATTCTACTTTCACTTAGCTCATTGCTTGGAATCTAGAGTGGTTGGCTGTGCAGGCTGTCGCCTCTGTACCTCTGGAGATCTCGGGGGCTTTTTCATGACAGGTGGTTTGACCTTGGGGGGAAGTTTTGGTTTCTCTGCCACTGGAGGAGGTTGTTTGCCTCCAGACAATCCAGTGGGAGGAAGCACAGGTGGTACAGAAATGGAAGATGTCATCGATGATGTCATTGATGATGTCATGCTGGATGACATTTCTGATGAGGTCAGTGATGATGTCATAGAGGCTGACATAAGGGGTGAGACAGGGCCTTTAGCAGAGCCCTCTCGAGCACTTCCAGGTCTTTTCCTTCCTGCAAACGACCCCAGTATTGGCTGTCCGGTCATAAAATTTGACCCGCCTTGTTCAGTGTCTAAGAATGTTCCAGGGATATTCCTTGGCATGGAGTTGGCCTTTTTCAGCGTTCCCTGATTGGACTGAGCAAACGTATCAGCAGTGGTCGTGGGGCTGTCAGGTTCACTGAGATCCTGAGGTGACACATTAGCCCCCTCTGTGGGGAGATCTAGCACCAGATCGGGGGTGTGTTTAGGGGTGTGCTTTATGTTGGGTAGACTCATTCGTTTGTCCGACCTCTGCTGCATGTCTGATCTCTGTTGCATCTCCAGAGAACGAAGACCAGACACTACCTCAGCTAAAGCACTATCTATATCAACATCAGCACTTAAATCCTCCTGATTCGGCTTCACCATATCTTCTTCCTCTACAATTTTCAAGTCTTTATCAGTCCTTCTCTTTACTTGAAGTTTTGGGGAACTATTGGGTAACTTAGGGGGGCCACTAGAGAAGTCCTTAGGACCCAGGGAGGACCGGGGGGTCCCTGAGGGGGTGACGTGGGGGGAGGGTTTATCTGGCTCGCTGGTCTTGGGGGTGGGCTGCTGGGGTGGTTTCTCTGGCCCCTCCTCGGACTCTGTGAGTATCGTGGGGAGCTGGGAGGTGCTGACCTTACTGAGTGTGGACGTCCGACTCACTCCGTCCTCCTCTGAATGACTTCTCCGATCCTCAGGGCTGAAAAACCAGAACAGAGTATTAGAACTTTTTGATTTAATACACTACTGTGGAATAATCCCTATTTTTAAATTTCATGGATCATCCTTAAGTTATCCTAAAATTATTTTTGTCAATGTATCATAAAAATTTATTCTGTATATATATATATATATACCAGTTGTCTAGGAAATTACACTCGCATGTACCATTACAATTTCAGCTGCACACATACAATGATCCCTTACAAATTTAAAATGATTCCACAGTATATAGCTAAAACACAGCACAATAGATGTGTTCATATATTGTATATGTATCATATCCATTACAAATCAAATGGCAACTTGTATTGACACAGATGAAAACTGAATATTGATGACTGTTTAAAAGAATTTTTTTTTAAATATTCATTCAATTACAGAGAAAAGAAATTAAAATTCAAATCAATACAGGTCTCCCACATATAATCTAATAAGAATCTAAACAATAAAATATGAATTTGTTATAAAGTGATGAAAAAACCCCCTTATTTTCATTATCCCTGAACACCAGACAAGAGGACCAACAAAATACATGGATACATGTATATGCAGTACTTCAAATCAAAAACAGTGTAATGGGTTAGAAAACTCACTTCAAGATAAAAACTTGTGAAGAGTTAAAAAATAAACAACTCATCCTAGAAAGGGGTCAGAGGTCAAACTTAAAATCTGTCTAGAGTGTGCTAGGTACAGTGTGTTTCTTCTAGAAATGCTCAGAGTTTAGGACTGGGACAAAGAAAAGTGGGTTATATACATAAATGGACTTGGTAACTGGAAATCAAAATGACCTTCTGAATTACAGGTATATTGTTACCTGAGAATTCATAATTAATTACAGGTAGACTAATGTTACCTGTCCATTGATAGCTAAATAAGAGTCCTCCCATCTGGAAATAGACGAGGTCTCACTGTCACAAAATAAAGGTGTTTATAAAGTAAATATCAGGCAGTCCAAGTTAAAGTGGTACTTGGCTGGCACAAAGCATTTCAGGTAATCAAAGCATTTCAGGTAATGAAAAATAAATCCTCTTCTTTTAAAGGTTTTCATTGTGACTGTTCAACCTTAATTAGACTGGACATCAGGGGAAGCCAGATGAACCTATTTTTTTAAGTTAAAATGTATCAGCTGATATTTTAGCAATACCATTTCCCAATAATTAATTTCATTATATGCCTCATTCATCCAACCATGCTGATTTTTATTAATTTTCATTCACAAAATACTTTTCTTTTACATTTTGACATTAGATAAGTTTTCCAAGCATATAGGGTTAAATATCCATGCACTTAATTAATATCTAAAATTTCATCAAGTTTCCATTCCCCATGAATTTTGTTGAGATTTCATTCCTATCTACCTCTGAATATTCAAGTGAGAGCCTCTCTCATTATCACATTTTGATGTTTGAAAAGAATTTCTTTGTCATCTGAAAACAGCAGAATTAGTTTCAATCTATTATCAAAAATATAATTAAATTGAATTCTGTTCAATGATGAAAATAAGCCAATATCATGATTATGGTTCCATATATTTTATTGTATTCAGAACAGAATCATTAAACTATCATTCAACAAAGTCAGAAACTTTAACAGAAGGAAGACTGGCAAATGGGAGATAGTTTTGGGAAAACAACCGATGTTTAACACTGTTTTATATAGGACCAAATATTGGAATGTTCACTTGGTTAACTCATTAGAAACTCACTTTTCATGACATGTAAAATGATAGCCAGTTCTGATATTTAAATGCAAGAGCTGATAATGATATGGTACTGTTTGGTTCTGTTAATTCTGTGGTGTAACCCTGGGTTGTTAACCTTTGTTTAATACTTACGGGTGATTGAGGTTGATGTAATACTTACGGGTGTTTGAGGTTGATGTAATACTTAAGGGTGTTTGAGGGTGATGTAATCCTTACGGGTGTTTGAGGTTGATGTAATACTTACAGGTGTTTGAGGTTGATGTAATACTTACAGGTGTTTGAGGTTGATGTAATACTTACGGGTGTTTGAGGTTGATGTAATACTTACAGGTGTTTGAGGTTGATGTAATACTTACAGGTGTTTGAGGTTGATGTAATACTTACAAGTGTTTGAGGGTGATGTAATACTTACAGGTGTTTGAGGTTGATGTAATACTTACAGGTGTTTGAGGTTGATGTAATAATTACGGGTATTTGAGGTTGATGTAGCGGTCAGGGTTTAATACTTACAGGTGTTTGAGGTTGATGTAATACTTAGGGGTGTTTGAGGTTGACGTAATACTTAGGGGTGTTTGAGGTTGATGTGATACTAAGGGGTGTTTGAGGTTGATGTAATACTTAAGGGTGTTTGAGGTTGATGTAATACTTACGAGTGTTGAGGTTGATGTAGCGGTCAGGGTTTAATACTTACGGGTGTTTGAGGTTGATGTAATACTTACGGGTGTTTGAGGTTGATGTAATACTTACGGGTGTTTGAGGTTGATGTAATACTTAAGGGTGTTTGAGGTTGATGTAATACTTAGGGGTGTTTGAGGTTGATGTAATACTTACGGATGTTTGAGGTTGATGTAAAACTTAGGGGTGTTTGAGTTTGATGTAATACTTATGGGTGTTTGGGGTTGATGTAACACTTACAGTTGTTTGAGGTTATGTAATACTTACAGGTGTTTGAGGTTGATGTAATACTTACGGGTGTTTGAGGTTGATGTAGCGGTCAGGTATTAGTCCCTCCTTCCCCTGGTACAGCCCCTCCCACCAGTCCTGAGACACGCGGTGATACACCAACAGGGTGTCATGCTTCTTAAACGACAACTCTCTCTCCGTCCTTCCCTCAAAGTCGTACAGTGCTACAGCTTCAAAGATCTGTGCATCTGTCAAAAGCAAAAGTCAAACAAACCGAAATTAGATACACAGTTTACTCAGCTAGTGACTGATAAGTTCTATGTGAATCCAACCTGAAAGAAATAGACAGTTTAAAATACATGTTTATTTGTTAAACTTAAAAAAATAATAATTTACGATTACTAGTACTCAGTTTGATTTTTAGATTTTAATATTACATGGGTTATTTTTTTAAATATTATTTCTATGAATTAGTGAGTTAAATATTTGAAGCTTCTGTGTTTCAATATGGAGAATTTTGTACTTTGTTTTTTAAATTTTTAAAAGGCAAGAGCCTGGGTAGTTAGGAACTAAAACCATTAAACAAAGTCCTTTAAGGGGTAGAATCTCATGCTTACAGAACTGAAATTAAAACTACATCTAAATATTCTACTCGAAACAAACTGCTCATATTTAAACATTTAGGTTAATTTTGACATGCTTTTCCTACTTTTGTTAAATTTTTCATGTTATTATTCATTCATTTTAACATAGGCGGAACTTTCAACAATTAATAATCACTGAATAAGGAGACGCACATATTTTTCACTCACTGGAGCCTTAATTTGCTATGATATATCCCAATCCAGCCCTAGACATGAAACCATGTTTTGTAATATGCCAGCCCCCTTGTGCTGTAAATGGGTACATGTATTAGTGCATACATTGGAGTAAGCAGTGCAGAGTTAAGTCTTATTTGTAACTTGGCCTGTACACATGAACCTAACAATAAACATTAGCTTGTCCATGCGCAAATCTAGAATCTCTCTGAAACACCCCCTGGACAACACAAAAGGTTTTTTTTTTTTTTGGAGAATGTTGCAAAACTTAAAATCCCAAATTCCCTATCAAGCCTATGGTGATTACCAAAATATTTTTTTTGGATATAAACCCTCCATGAAAACACAGACTCAAAAATGAAGAACAACAAGAGGCCCATGGGCCTTATAGGTCACCTGAGCATTATGCAACAACTTTCCAGTGATTGAATTTAATTCATCATAACAATACACTTAGCAGTTGCTTAGTTTGTTTACTTAATACCCATACACAAGGTAGGGGAACAAAAAATGCATTTCAACTAATCAGTTATATTCAGCAATAATCAGTAGTGCCCCTACCACACATGAACCCCTGACCCTTAGGCCTTGATATTTGATTACGGTAATACCAAGGAGCAGATTTCAAACCATTCATTCATTTTCAGTATATAAGTAGTGCCCCCCCCCTCTTCTGTGGTACCCCTGACCCTGGGGTCTTGAAATTCACAATTCTGGAAGATTAGGGTCCTTGTCCATCATAACTATATAGGTAGTTCATCTGCTTAATACCCTAGAGCAGAGAAGAATTTTTTTTAAAGATTTAATGTATTTTCACTATAAAATCTATAGAGCCCCGCCCTAACACCAAAACCCCTGACCCTGGGGCCATAAAATTCAAAATTTTGGTAGAGGCACTCTTGTTCATCATAACTATGCACTTAATAGTTAGTTTATTTAATACCCAATAGCAATGAAGTAGATTTTCAAAGAATTCATGTATTTTCACTATATAATCAATAGAGCCCCACCCTAACACCAGAACCCTTGACCCTGGGGCCATAAAATTCACAATTTTGGTAGAGGCACTCTTGTTCATCATAACTATGCACTTAGTTAGTTTATTTAATACCAAGGAGCAGAGAAGAAAATTTTCAAAGAATTCATGTATTTTCACTATATAATCAATAGAGTCCCCCCTAATACCAGAACCCCTAATCCTGGGGCCATAAAATTCACAATTTTGGTAGAGGCACTCTTGCTCGCCATAACTAGGCACTTAGTTAGTTTATTTAATACCCAGGAGCAGAGAAAAAGATGTTCAAAGAATTCATGTATTTTCACTATATAATCAATAGAGCCCCGCCCTAACACCAGAAACCCTGACCGTGGGGCCATAAAATTCACAATTTTGGTAGAGGCACTCTTGCTCACCATAACTAGGCTCTTAGTTAGTTTATTTAATACCCAGGAGCAGAGAAGAAGATGTTCAAAGAATTCATGTATTTTCACTATATAATCAATAGAGCCCCACCCTAACACCAGAACCCCTGACCTTGGGGCCATAAAATTTACAATTTTGGTAGAGGCACTCTAACTCATCATAACTATGTACTTAGTTAGTTTATTTAATACCCAGGAGCAGAAAAGAAGATTTTCAAAGAAATAATGCATTATCACTACCTACTTATTTAGCCCCACCCTAGCACTAGAACCCCTGACCCCAGGGCCATGAATTTCACAATTTTGGTAGAGGACTCATTGCTGATTACAATCATGCAAACAGTTTGACTGCTTGATGCTTGGGAGTAAAGAAGAAGATTTTTAAAGATTGCATTAATTTTAGTGGTTTTGGCCCCACCCCTCAGGCCCCTGGGGGGCAGGGATCATGAAATTCACAATTTTTGTTCCTCTTCACCCATAGATGCTTTGTGCCAAATTTGGTTGAAATTGGTTCAGTGGTTGCAGAGAAGAAGCTTAAAATCTTCAAATGTTAACGCACAACGCACAACGCACGACGCACGACGCACGACGACGGACGAAAACGGATAGCAATAGGTCACCTGAGTTTACTCAGGTGACCTAAAAACAAATATAACCTATTTTTTGAGTAACATACACCTAAGAAAATCTTTTTGGATTTATAATGTTAAGGACTTCATGACAACTCAAATCCATCATGTAGAGAATGAAAAGAGTAATTCTTTCTCTCTATTTACTCACTAGATATCATCAAATTAAAATATTATCTCACTAATATACCAAATGGGGCACCAAAAATAATCCTGGTCAAGGCACCAAAACAACAGCAGGATGCTACATAAATAAATCTCATTCTATTTTATTCGCCATTTCCTGTGCAATCAACAACAACTAAATGACACAGAGGCAATAACATGTGCTTACTACGGAACCAAAACTTCTGGGTTAGGGAAGATTAAAACTGAAACAGATGCAAATTAAAAATCAACTTGAGCAAATTGAACATGGTTTAAATGTGTCCAGTCAAAGAATGAGAGTGAAACAGAGAGCCTCTAGGTATAAGAAGTTACCAGTTGCTAAAAAGTAGCCAACGTATGAAGCCAATTTATATTTTGTATCTTTATTATAGTTAATAAATACTTGTATGTTCTAATTTCATTTCATTCTAACATAAACATTTTGGAAATATTATCTTTAAAAAAAGTAACTAAAAAAGAAGAAAGATATTGGCAACTCTACACTTATTTCCCCCTCTCTGCTTCTCTGTTCATTCCATGACAAAGAACACTACAGACCAATGTAGACAGGCAAGCTCTGAATAATAATTGTTTCCATTCAGGAAATAAAAACAAAATTGTGATGTGAGAACTGAGATATAAATAAAGATATATCTTACATCCTTACCTAGGGAACACCCTGGAAGAACACTCAACCGTGTCATTACCATGGCAACACATATCACATGGTACAGTGAATTTTAAATCAACCAGTGTGATAAATAAGTGACATTGAGATGATAAAATTTTTCAATTCTTTTTGAAAAGATACCAAAGATGCTCAAGTAATATAAGAGATATTAAACAAAAGACATTTTAAAAATGCTTATGAAATTACAATTTTGAAAACAATTCTGACAAAAAAGGTTTAGATGTTCCAAAGTTAACATGCATTTTACACTGAAATATGATATTTGACTTTAAATAAGTATGTGTTTGTACTGATTATGTAAATGATACAACATATTCAGTGTACATACTAAGTGGGGTACATACTATTCTGAATAACATCAATTCAGTGTATATATAACTCTCAAAGAACGACAGATCTGTAAGCAAAGGCCTCCCTTCTAAAGAAAGCAACATTTTTAAACATCCGATTCCAGTAAAACTCTAGAATTCATCCCTGCCTACAGATCTGGTGAAGTATAGAGAGATAGAACACACACAGACAGACAGGCAGACAGGTATTTACCATCATCATCTTCATCATCGTCCTCCTCGCTCGCAGCAGAACTTGGATCCACCTCTATATCTGTTATATCATTATAACTCTCCGCACTGAAAACAGGAATACAGTGTGTAATCAAAACATAAATTAATGACATCTTGCATAGATAATATATAAAAAGAAATTATAAGATTGATTTAATAGTTTATTACAACAATCCTTACATGGAAAACGCAGATCATTGGGTGTAAAAAGTAATGCTTAAGAAGTCTACCAAGACTAAATTACAACTGTTATACAGTGATTTAATTATCCGGTTTTACAATCATTCGTACATGCAAAAAATCTGCATATTTCTGAAATTTTTCTTAATTCATTTAGCTATCTAGAGACTAATTTTTTTTAATGACATTCAATAATTCATCAATACAATGAAACAGCTCAGCAAACTCCACTAAATTTATATTACAATAAGCAAATTATGCAATAACAGATATCACAATAAGCAGATCAAGTCATTCAATCACTTACTCTGGATCATCGACAATACATTTCTCATAAACTTCGCCGCCATCACAAGGGAAGATATCTTCGTGGTGGATGATGATTGTCTTGATGACCTCGTGGACGTTGCCTTGGTACGACACCTGGTCACGGTCTGATGGGATCGGGAGAAGCGTTGGACCGAAGCAGATGGCAAGGTTGTAAGGGTCCATCATATTCTCATCCGAATACTCAGATAAACTGAAATAAAATGAACATTTGTTATAAATAAAAGTATTTCAAACCTTGAGAAATTGTTCAATATTAAAAAACTTGTAATAGAATTGGCTTTTATTTGTTCGCATATCTTATTTTTTTCTTTCTGTATATTTACTATTGGGTAAGAGTAGTGCCTAAGAAAGCAAGTGAATGTTTCTATTGCACCTAAATGATGATATGTTATAGTTATCAATTAAAAGCTTATAATATTAATAATAAGAACATCAAAAACAGACTTCATCAAGACATGAATATAATAGAATTACTTACTGATTGAGGAAGGCAAAGAGATAACGCATGACAACCAGAACACATCGCGGTAATGGTGACAGGAGCTCTTTAATCTTCTCCACGCGCTGTCCATCATCTAATTCTGAAATGTAAAGGCACCCGGCCTTGAACTCCAAAACCCACCATACAGGATCAATACATCCGCACAAACCAATGACCCGGTCAGCTAGTCCGAACAGTGGAACAGACTGACAAAGTCATAACGGTCTGAGAGACGAACATATTGAACATGTATGGTGGGCCTTGGAACAGCAGAAATGAGGCAAGGATCATACAGGTATATAGAGCTGGCATGAACATGATCACAATATCAGGGTCAAAGGTCATAGGTAACATGCACATTTAAACTTTTGATAACATTAAAAACATAACAAATATGATTTTAAAAGAAGACAACTTCATTGATTTTACAATGCACTTTCTTTTTTTTTCAGGAAAAAATGAAACACGTCTTTATCAATTAGTTATGGAAATTAATAAGATTTTAAGATTTTTAACAAAGAAAATTTAATGAAGAATTTACATGAAGCATAAATCGATTAATAAGCAGATTTCAGTTTTTGATAATTAGTCAGGATTACAGTTATTAACAAGTATGTAGCAAGATAGCCATGAGGACGTTAATAGCTAATAATGTTAAAGGTTGTAAATAATGAATAAACATGTATGTAGTTAATAGAATTATAGCTAGAAAATAAGATGTTATGACCTTAATAACGATTAAAATGAGTGATTAGGAAATAAACAGTCAATAAAGCAAGCCCCCAGCATGCATGTTCAAGTATGTTATACTAAAGCTCCTGTCTGTCAGATAAATTGTATAAATTGTGTAAAGCTAATTCTCATATTACGTTTAACATTCTTACATTGAATATTGACAAATATAGTAATATTTATTATAATCAGTTATATTCCTGTATTAGTAGCTATATCCTTAGAATATTATGGTTGGCTAGATATAGAGTTGTGTTTTAAAACAGCAGCTGCATTTTAGCTGAAATATATGTCTCTTACCACGCAATAATGCTGATCAAAAAAAGTTTCATTCATCAACTTGTTTTAGTTCAGCTAAGAGTGAAACTAAATTTTCAAAGAGATTGAAAAAAAATTTGACACACAAATAATTTTAATTTCTTGCATCATTCTTTCTCTCAACAATAATATTTTAAGGAATTTTATCTCTGTGCTGTATGTTAATAGGTAGAAATAATGACTACTCCCTGAACAACAAACACTTACTACTCCCTGATATCAGCTCGTCAAATAGAGGCAGGGGAAACAGAGGCTCGCGGAGCTCTCTGAAGTACAGTTTGAGAACCCCAGCTACTGAGTTGATGTCACTTGGATCCATGTCAATTAATGGATCCTCCCCTGTAAATAGTCAAATCATTAATGAGCATTAACAGATCCTCCCTAATAAGTAGTCAAATCATAAAGGAGAATTATTGGATCCTCCCCTGTAAGTAGTCTAATTATTAATGAGAATGGATCCTCCCCTGTAAGTAGTGAGAATATTTGACTTCATTTTAAGTCTACTTTCACATTTTACAAGAGATATCATCTACATATTTTATCGTTATCAAATAAGAATTATGATCAATTCTAACCTTTCTCAAACTCGGCTTTGAATTCGTTAATTTCAACCTGAGCTCCAGGAATCCTGAAGATTCCCTGGTGATGCATTCCTGGAAATAAAGAAATGCCACGTCAACAGATGTAAATACACGGGGGTACATTTCAATGGAGATTTCATGTCATATGGATTTCTTACCATACAAGTTAATTGCCCGTATACAACTTTTAACAACCAGTGGAATTTCTTGTCCAGTTGCCTGAAATGAAGAAGACATATAGTTAGAAGTTTTAAAATTATAATGTTTGCCAATTTCTTTCTATCACAAATTCAGATCTACTTCTGAACACACTAGAATTTGATAAAATTCCAAAAATCACCCCATCTAAATACATTGTGTGAATAGATTTTAGTTCATAAATCAAGATATTGACTCAAAGTTCCTTTTTTCACCAAAAGAAAATCAGCATTAAATTTCAATGACACTGAAATGGAGGGGTTTAACACATAGAACCTACCTCACAGTACTCTTCCAGACTCCCCCCAAACAACTTGGGCTGTCCCACAATCTGACTGCGATTGATCCGCCTCTTCTTAGGTTTGGGGGGTAGGGATGGAGGTCTACTGAAAAAATCCAAAATGTAAACACCATTCAACAAACGTTCAGCATGCAAGTACAAGCAGTGAGTATAGGGTCAACACCAACACATGCAATATTTTTAGATAACATATCAACACAAACAATTCATTCCAACCACATGCAGATTCAATATACATTTACAGTGAAATCTCAGTATTGTGAGTTATAATGAATCTCCAAAGAGAACATGCTTCATTACATATTTGTAATCATGTTTGGCAAAGAATGACTTCGTAATTAATAATGACTAGGTTATTTTTCACATTCACCCTTAATATACCTCTATGTAATAAATCCGACTGAGTGAGAGAGGGAAAGAGAGAGAGTGTGAGAGCTATAAGTGATAGAGGGAAAAAAAATGCTTGACAAAGTAATTAAAATTCATAATGACTACCATTCAATACCATGCAGGAATATGATTATTTGATGTATATATATGGTACCATGCAAGTCACACAAATGAACTCAATTGAAAGATAGACAAGTATTGCTGATGCAAAGAGTACACATTTTTCTGTCAATTTACTTTAACACTCAGTTAAATTTATTTCTTGAACAGAAACAAAGGACTAAAAAAACAAAACATTTTTCTATATTTTTAAGAAATGATTCAGACAATGATAGAAAATGAACCTGGTGACCCACGACACATCCTTGACCTTTGACCTTACCCTGAGGTTGAGATGTTGTCCCCTAATGCCCTTTGGATTATACTGTATTTTCCCTGTAGTCTGGCTATCTGGTTACAGCTTTGTGTATACTTCCGGAATTTCTATAAATTAACAATTTAAATTACTTAAATGAAGGCAGTATTTCTTTCATTTTCATTTATCAATACAAACTATCAAAGTTAAGCATCATTATGACATTAAATTAATACGCAAAATCCCAATACATGTATATCCAGCTTGGCACAGAATTTTCAACAAATTTTTAAGCTTTAAAGTCAGAAATGCACATATTCTATTTTTTTTTTCCACACCGAGTACTTTTCTATATATTTTTTTAAATACATTAGTATTTTTTTACTTGATTACCTTTCCTTTTTTTTTGACACACAAGTACTTATAAAACATAGAGAATAAAACCCCCTTACATTAATATAGAAGGCCTCCATCTCCAGCCATTCACTTCGCTGTTTGGCCGCCTCGTGGGGGGACCGGGGAGGGGGGTTCTCCTCTAGGAAGAAGCCCGAGACGTCGTAATTTTTCCCGGTGATCATCTCGTTCAGGGATTTCTCCGTGGCCTCCATGGTTTTCCACGTCTCGTCATTCTCGAGCCTGAGTTGTACGAGACGATCACCGATGGTTTTATATCTCTGGAGAATGTCATCCTGTACGGGCTTCTGAGCACTGATTTGTTGGACCTGTTCATGTATTATGTTATACAAGATTAAGTTTGTAATTCTGTCAAATTAAATCATTAGTCTATTACTGTGGATTCCTAATTTTTCGCGAGTACTTATTATCGCAAATGGGCTCTTCAACGTCATATCGCGAGAATAATAATCTGCGAATGGTTAGTTTATCAAGAGATTTAACATAGATTTCAACATCATTAAAACAAAAGCGAGTAATTTTAATTCGCGAGTGACGCTTCTCGCAAAATTACATGATTATTATTTCCTCGCGTTAAATTAGGAATTTACAGTATTTAAAATGCTTATATCTTTGAAACTTGTTAATTTTCAGAACATATGAATTTTAACTGATAAACCTTAACTGGCAGAATTGTAGAGGGAGGGGTTGTCAATCTCAATCTGTTCAGGAAGAGTTTTTATGCATTCTATAATTTATTCATTATAATATCTCCAATACCATTTTGTTGAAGTAACAGTATTTATTTATAAATTTAATATTCATTATCTTTCTCTTTAAAAGATTCCTTTCCAAACTTAAAATAAGCTAGAAAACTTTTAAAACATACTGTATAACATAAATCAATATTAATTAAACTGCTTGTTTGTGTTCTATTGCTTGTGTTCTATTTATGTTTTTGATTAGATATTAAAGTGATTATTAATTGTAAGGACATAATGTATTTATAAGTACTTATAGATAAGTAAAAGCATATCATAAGTCTAGTCATATTTAAGAGACGCATTCGTACTGGCACATTTCTTTAAGTTTCAATATTGCTAATTACATGTACCATCACTTCCTATTTATAAATTTAATTTATTGGTTGACTTTTGTATAAACCAGACAAGTTTTTTAATGTCCTTCCTTCACAAAACTTCCCCTTTCCATTTAACAATTAGCAGTTTTTAAAAGAAAAAAATAATTGAAAATAATTTGGATATTTTTAAAAATCATATTATCAAGGATTCATTTTATAAGTGGTGGATCCAAAGGGAGTACCGTTAAAAGCAGAGTACATCCTTTAGAACGACTGCTTAGTCACATTACATCTGACTACATTATGTTCTCTGAACAGTGCTTATATCTCACCTCGTCTCCTTTACAAGGCTGGAAGTCAAACTTTTTGGGTAACATGAATGCTGCGTTGTACAGCTCTATGAAGCGTTGTTTGTCCGCCTGGGGGTCAAGGTCACCCACACACTTCTGTATGACCTCGATGGCACTGTGATGCGTCTTACTGATGTTCTTATGACACGACTGGTACATCATCATTGTACAGCGCACGGAGTTATGATAGCCAAAGTCCATACACTGTAAAACACATGGTAGTAAATATATACATTAATTGTATGCTACCTTCAAGATCACAGATTTACATTTATACATTATAGTACCATTAGTTTATATATATATACATATATTTGTATGTAAATCATTATTTTTGTATGCATGGATATGTGTAACAGTAAGTGTATGTTTGTGTATGTGGGTATACATATATTCAGATTAGAATGTTAAATATCTATTGAACTAACTCCAAGAGATTAGTTTGCATCAAGTTTATAATTATATGCTAAGTACTTATTAATTGAAATTATTATTCTGTTAATACTTAAATGATTTTTTTTTAATGACCGTCTTCAATACTTAGGGTACAGGTTTGCCAGACTGGCTGTGTAGAGGTATCATCCCCTGGTGCCCTTTGTATTCAAGATGCACTAGTTATATATCAGAGTACTGCCATTATTACAAGAAAATTTTTTGTTTGTTTTTTTTTATCATCCTATGGTTTTCCTATACTTTTGATCCAGTAAATCCTACATTTTCATGATGATACATCTTGTGGTGATGCACTTCTCAATGTCAAACTTAATCACTAGTCATATTACATTATACACCTATGATATAGAATTGTAATCTGTGTAATCATATTGTAATAATTTGTTCATGCCCCCCGAGGGCCTTTGATTGGTGAATAAACATATGACATATACATGTATCTGGTATACAGGGGCACCTAATGTGATAACACATACACACAATTAATGTCTTGGCATCAGTAGTAGAGTAATAATGTAAAGAATGAATCATCAAACTTTCAAAAAAACAGAGGCAAAAAAGAAACTTCTTTTGAACTACAAACTACCACGTAGATCATTTTTAACAATGATGTGCACAGATGGTGGATCTTTTTTAATGCATTCTAATGCTTTAAATGAGTGACTTCTATTCATTGCAAGTTATGCGCATCAATTTTACTTGGAAAATATACAAATTCATAATAATAGCTCTGTATCTTAATCAATGGATATTAAGTTTTTAAACAGATAGTGAGTTATGTCCCTTACATCCACAAGATCTGAGATGTCCTCTGTGAAGTACTTGCTGACCCCGGCGTTAGCTGACTCTATACACAGTAGGTAGTCGTTCCGAGCCTTTAAGGCTTTCAGTTTGTTCTCTGCATATTTGTTCTGTTTCTGTAAGACATCAAATAAACTTCCTTAATCAACTACAAATTTTATTCCACAAATCTTACATATTGTTCTGGGATTTTTACAAAACCAATTCAGTTCCACTGAATCACAAAATTCAGATTTTAAAATACTTCTTTTTTTTTTATAAAAAACTCCTTTGGCTTCAACTGGTTTGGAAAGTGCTCCATTTGTCTTGCTAAATTTATTGCAGTGGCCTTTCTTTTCTGTTTGCCTTGTGAAGACCTTTAGTTTGTTTCTGACCTACCCTTGAGTTGACCTACCTTTTCTGTTTGCCTTGTGAAGGCCTTTAGTTTGCGGTTACTGGAGACGTTTTTCCCAGCTAACTGCTGCTCTAGTTTGTTCTTTTGACTCTCCACGGCTCGTAGTTTACTCTCGGCCTGCATACTTTCTGTTTGGTAGGTATGATAGGTCTTCATGGCCTGCAAAAACAGGTTCAAAAATAACATTAATTTTCTAATACAAAATAAAAAAAAAAATTTAATTTACATAAAATACAAATGAAAACGACCCTCTGCAGAAATGATATCTATTGCAATGAAATGAAAAGTCTTAAAGCCAAGAAAAAGCATTTTTGAGGCTAAAAATTTTATGCAGTAATTTTTTCCCCCAATGATAGAGTAATTTCCCTTAGCCAAGGACCATTTCTTCCTTAACATATAAGTAGATTTCTATCTTTACATAGTACTTTATGTCACATGTTAAGTACTCTTTATTAAGAACCATTCAAATTCTGTACCCAATATGTGACATAAATACAATCAACTTGTGATAAAGAATACAAAAATATAGATGTTTAAGAAATGTGGAATCTCTCTTTGTTATGACTTTATCACGAGGCTGTCAGATTTTATTGGTTTTGTGGTCCTCCTGTCTAATTTTAACAGGCTTCAGACATCCTGTGGAGGCTTCTCCTCCAGATGGGTTTCTTTTCTGGTAAAGCCTGGCATCAATATTATCAGGATCTCCCGTTCATATTACATAATATCCAGCAATAATACACAAAACAGATAAGGCTGACACACCAGAGGAAAAAGTCTAAGATAATTTTTGATTTCATTATTGCTCTATCTCTAAAGCAGCTTTAAAATGTAAACTTTTTGGCAAAAAACATTTCTTTTATTAGCTCTGAATACTTAAACTTAAAAGCTTTCAGAATGTTTTGAAGCTATTTTTTTTTTATCTTATTTTTGTTTTTTTTGTTTTTTTAATTTGAAATTACAATTGATCAGGGAAAACTGCCTCAGCAACCTAAACATCCCCCAAACAAAGGACTCCCACAGCAGCTGTCAGGGTCATTAGGTAAATAAAGGGATTTCTATATAACAGCTTGGCACCTCTAACTGCCTGGCTCCACACTCCACCGATCAAACAAATTGTTCACCATGGATTTCTCTGGGTCACCAATCACAGAGAGAGACAAGTCCCACAGGGACCAACCAGGGCTGTTCCAATGACTTCTCCCTTGATTATTAGATTACTAAGTACACTTATGGGTGTCACTGACTTTTGTTGCTCTTCATTGAAACTGGATATATTTACAGGTCTCCATTTCAAAAAGGCAGCCCCTTGTGTGCAACATATGTGTTATGTCTTGCAGATAATTAGCTTGATTTGAATATAGAGAGGAACAGCTGTGAATTTGGGGGCAGCCTGGGAAAAAATCGGGAGCACCTGCTTCCTGGTGTGGTAGATAGGGGCAACAGTGGCTGATAATTATCAATAATTACACAATTTCCTCAAAATAGCCAGATTTTCTACCAACTTCATGTTTATTTTGCCATTTGCTTGTCTTTCATCCTCACTCGATTTCTTTCTTACCCAAAACTTCTATGAAATCGTGCTTGTTATTCTTTAATCTACTCCCTTAGATTATTTTTATACTTCTGTCAATGTCTAGCTATTTTAGTAAAATTATTCTGAATCACATCCCTCACTCTTTATGACACAACAAAGGAAAATCTCCAGCTGCAGAATTTCTCATTAAAACCCTTCAGTTCTTCTGACCCCTACACTGCAACATCTGGGTAACAAATCCCATAGCACTGTCTAAACCATATCATGCTCTCCAAGACATTCCCCATTCTCATTTGGCATTTCACAATATTGCAAAAATTGCAGCAAGTAACATAAGAAATAGATTTCCCCATAAAATATCCTTTGTTCTTCATCCCCTCCAGCTAAGATGTAAAGCCTTCACCCATTTCTTTCCAGCTCTGTTGGAAAGATTTGTATTTTTACCAACTCTATACTTAGCATTCAAATTTGTTCATCCTGAGCTCAAACCTAGTAGCTAGGTCAAACACAAACTGTCAGGAGTGGGGTCCCCATAGAGTCAAGACCACAGCTTTTTACCCCTGTCACTTCTGTAGCTAATTTCATCTCTTGGGGGTAATAGGTAATGACACATAACATGTCTGCTTCAATAAGACTCTCTAAATGTTGAATTAGTCATTGCTGCTGCCTCCTGATATTAATGTTTTCACCCATGTCAGGTTTGTTTGTGATAATAATTGCTACTTTTGACATTTATGATTATACATTTGCCTGTTATTACACGTGTCTCAACAAATTGTAATCATATATAAGTATATAACCAGGGGTCGTTAATGTTAAATTTCATTACAGGACATTATATCTGGTCTTTTTTTCTTTGAATGTTTTAATCACAAAAGGCTGAAATTCTTACACTTGCATCATAATTGAACTAAATAATGGTAAATATTTCTTTTGACGTTTGACTTACGTTTTGTAATTCTGTTAATGTCTTCATAATATCTTCATGGCACTCCATTCCTATATCATGACACTGTCAAAAAATAAAAGAGAGATTTAAAATACATAAAAATATTTCACTGATACCACAAATATGTACCAATATCATACATTTGATTAAAATCAGTTTGAAATCTCACAAGATCATCACTATGAGGGTTATCAAAGAATCATCAAAGCAACAATTTTAACTAAGCCAGTCAATTTCCTTATTTAAAAAATGTTTAAGCATAATAAATAAATAAAACATTGACATTTATTCAGAAACCTACAGAAATGTGCATTCAATATTTTATTTTTTGGCAACCCCCTTTTTTGTAGCTTGACAACAATTCATCCAAGAGCAGTACATTTTACAAGCCCATGGGATGGCTTCTGAGTTATGTGAATTTTTAACAGATTACTGGGCTTCATAACTTGTGTTTTCCACACATGCCGTAGAATCAATATCTATTTGATTAATAAACTTTTGACCATGCATCTAAATATACCTTATGGCATTTAGAAGGTACTATATTAATAAAGCCTTGCTAGAGTCACATCTCTCCAGGAGAACTGCTTATTAAGTTCCCTGTCTGTCCTTCATCAAATGGCCAAGCTTATAGCTGTCCACTATCCTAATTACAGATCTAATAATTCTATACATCTCCTATTGTATATAGAGTTCATAAAACCAAATCAGGAAACCTATCAAGTGCCTAGGCTCTGCAGACCACAAACTAATTATACAGATGTACGTCTCTTGTCTCAGAGAAAGACTAGACTTCTATAATTACCTCTGCAGACCCTTACTTACTGAACAGCTAGATATTCTCATTTCAGTCAACAATTTTAGAGAGGGAAGTAAAAATCCTTATTTGAGATATGTGAAATTTATTGATCTTTCCCTCTTTCTAAGGATCCCCAAGTGAATTCCTTTAAAGAAAAGGATAAGGATTTTTTTTTTGATTTCATTGAGGTGAAAATTTCATTAGGAAGTCTAGAGAGATATATTCCCCTTCCTCCCATTAGCATATGCTTTATGTCCAGGATGTCTCTCACTCAAGCCTCACTATCCTTCTCTCTCTCTCTCTCTCCCTTCCATCCATCCCCAGAAGTAGCTTTGTATAATGGCAGACCTGGTAAGGAGATTAATGTGTGATTGAACTATGAAGTGATGCTACTCTTCCTGCAACTAATGCCTCTCTCTGACAGAACAGACAATAAAATGACAGGCAGCCCTCAAATCTTCTACCTCACTCAATCTCATTTACAACTTACACATCAAGAATTAACAAAATTGTGAAGAAGAAAAAATTCTTAGTTATAACTTATTACAATATGTATGGTGTCTTTTTATGAAATAGAAATCAGTTTTGATGAAGCAATAAAAAACCCGAGCGATGATTGCATTATAATTCTCAGAAATGACTATGAAAGATCTCAAAGAAATATATATACATATTGTGCAATGAAAATGTTCAATTTGAAAGTATAATGTTCAGTTGTAAAGGGAGGGGGCACTATAGAGAACTTCATCATCATTTCAGCTAATTTGTTTACACCTTCTTATGTCATTACATTTACTGACTCTCAGGAACCCTTACAGACAGACAATTAAACCTACACAGAGCCTCCAAACTTCACACAATCTGAAGCATGTGGATCTGCTTTTTAACAATTTGGTGGAAGTATGTGTCATTAAATCTAGAAACAAGGGGCTAGGTAATTTTCTTCAAAGATGCATGCATGCACAGACTGGTAATTATCTTTTTTAATAACATAAAATGTAAAATTACCCTACTACATGATATTGAAAGTGAGAAAAAAGGCAATTATTGCCAACGCATGTGTTTTTAATATTTCAAACTAATTTATCTAAAAACATGAAACTAGGAACATATAAGTCTCACATCTGGCTAGGTTTAGAAATGACAGATAATCAATGTCAATCACTGCCCTGCCAGCTCCATCTCTGGACCATTCCGTTATTGTGGTCAGAAACTGACCAGGAGGGGAGAGTGGAATGCTGGGAAAAATCACATGACAACTCCTACATCTCAAAGCACACACAGAAAACATTCACCATAACACAATGTATGTGTCAGACAAGTGAATTAAAGGGGCTAATTCCATTAACTAACCACAGGTTAATAAGGAGCTTGATTTGGACCACAGGAAACTAGTGAAGGATTTACAGTTCATGTACCTCCCCCATACTGTTTTCACAAGATCGTTGTTACCTATCCCTTATATCTAGCCCTGACCTCATCCCTCAACTTGTAGACATAAATCACAATCTACTCTCTCTCTCTCTGATGGGTGATAATTTAAATAAATATATATTTCAGCACCAACTTAATTCATATATCAGCAACATTTTGGAAAAGAGACCATATGACCAAGCCATTCTATTTCAGCAATGATTCATGACTAACAACTTGATTCCCTTAAAAAACTTCTGAGGAGACTGGATTTTGTTTTTGTAAGATGTATATAGTGGAAACTTTACTGCATGATCAATTACTTCTCAAAAAACTAATATCTCATTCCTCTTGTACAACTAAAAGCTTTCCCATGACTTAAAACATTCCCTAATTCTTCTCCAGGAAGAGTTTATTGAGTGTAAATGAATCCCTCTCATCATTAGAGTAATATGTGAGGTTGTTGGCTGAATTTATTCCTAAAATAAGTAAAAATCCTTCAATGAACTTCCCCTGAACTCAGTAGATAACCAACCCCTTACTAAAGCTTCTTGTAATGGGATCTGGGGAGGCTTCATTCTGTATCAATACTGATCTCAAATCTCCAAGATAGAGATTTTTTATGTCATGAAATGAAAACATTATTTTGAGAAAGTTTTTTGTCTGTTTTTCCATAAAATAAATCTTATATATTTCAGTGAACTTGAAAATATCAGAGCCCTTCTAACACCATGCTATATATGAACTGCCTGTTAGCCGAGTCTTTCATGAGCCCTAGAGGCTCAATGAGGGAAAATGTTCTGATTTTTGGATGCATAACTTTCAATTTTGTGACTGCTACATAACTTACACTTTTTGTACAGCTCTATATCTTACAAGTTTGTGACTGCTTTTATAACCACTAATACTTTTTGACTAATTTATAACCTACACTTTTGTGACTTTGTTATAACTTACACTCCTGTGAATCCTCTGTGAGTTGTCCATGATGGTGTTGAAGCGCTGTACCATCTGATTGCCGTAGATTTCACTCAGGGTCTGGTGGTCCCGCGACTCCTTCTTTGTTATGTCCAGGACCTGCTGCCATGTTGTGAATGTGGAGAATAATGACCAGTGTTCCCTCCTGTAAAGGTCAAGGTAAAGATAAAACACAGGTCAAGGTCATACATAAATCAGGTTCAGATTGGAATATGTTAAAATTTATGATTTTAATTTGAAGTGCTGCTTGGTGTTTTAATTTTGGAGATTAAAAAAACACACATCCACAATGAGTTTACTGTTTTATATCAAATAAAGTATCTGTATTTCCTAACTTGAAAAAAATGTAATATTTAAAGAAAAGTGATTTTTTTGCTAATTGCTATACATATAACTGCATATAATGTCATTCCATCCAAAATATCCTAAGCTTACTTTTGTTTTTCCTGCCTATGGCGTAATTTTGTGTTTTTGACCAGTTTCTCTAGATTTCTGGCGTAGTCCATTTCCACTTCCGATAGCCTCCTGAAAAAGTCCTGGAGTTCTGTAACCATGGCAACCTGGATCTCCAGGCGATTTTCCAGACATTTGAGTTGTTCGTTAAGCTGGCTCCGTACATCTGTAAACAGAACAACATCATTGGTCAAAATGTGCACCAGGGGAAAAATACGAATATGATTTAATATTCCTAATGATCGATGTATCAAAATGGCTATAAAAAATTCTCCAAATGAAAGAATTGATATCAAATAAGTGGAACATTTTTCAGTTGGTATAATAACAAAAGAAGTTCATATTCTTAATTTTTTATTTTACAGCAGATCTATCATGTAGAAATCTGCAAGTAAAAAGGTCACATATTTTCAAATTGGCCTTGTATTGGAGATCACAATACTGACATCAATGGTATATATGCCATAGGATTTTTCAGACACTAGTACTGAGACGTTACAAGTTGAGGCAATCTGCTCCTCTAGAGTTTCATTTACACTAGCTTAACCTCATTTCTACTATTAAATATAAATTCATCTCACCCATTTTCATAGCTAGGCCCTCTACCTTTTAATAAAACTATAAGCAATCCCTTTGTCAGTAAAATATGAGCAGAGAGAAATAGCTTGAAATTGTTTTTTCTAGTTTCTATTTCATTTAGCCTGACAATGTAATATCCATGATTTATGTGTGAGTGAGGAGACAAGACTCAACTAATAAGACATTAGAGAGGGTTTAAGGCCCATCCTGTGTTTGTACTTATTATTGAGACTTTATATATATCATGTATATACTATATGATCTACTCCCTTGGTCGACAAGAACAAAGGGAGCTAACCACAAATCTTAGTCACAGACAGAGGTGGTCTTAAAATTGGCCAAATTTCAAGGAACAAATCACACATCAGCTTGTAAGTACTGAGTCTCTCTTGTCTTATCATATCTCTCTTGTCTTATCCTAGAATAGATAATTATCTCACTAGAGGTGTGTCATATATCTTCATTAATAAAGCTTATCTCATTTGTAAATAAAACTTAAAATTACATCCTTATAGCTATTGACTTAATTTAAAATCAAAAGCAACCTGATGTGAAATCTGATGTTTAAAATAAATATGATCCCAACTTAGATACAAAATTTAGGGAATTGTGTTGTGACCATTGGAAATCTGCTCAATCAAATTCCATATCCTGATGCTCGTATACAATCTACTACACTTAATGTAACAGATGGATAAAAATTCAAAAATTTTCACTCTCTTTTTCAACTGTATTTGCCTAATGCACCATTACCCTTGGACTCCAATTGTTCCTCGTGGGGGAACATAAAAATATTAAATTGTTCAGTAATCCGTGATGTGAATCATTCCTCTATCACATTTCTTTTACATACAGCTGGTATTGTTTCTGGGTCACACAATGTTCCTACCCTTTACCCTAAGGTCAATAGTCCTACACTGTACATTCCAACAGTTTACAATGCCATCTAGTACACTATAACTTTAGACCTGCATGGTTGAACATTTATTCTAGAATTTACTTAGACTGGCAAAAAATAATTTCTCAGTGAGTGTATATAACACTTTTACAAAATCCATAAAATGTATATCCCTGGACAAAAAGTGATATAATCAGCCATGAACAGCAACAGATTTTCCCTTCATTTAGATACTACTAAAAAAGTGAAGGTATTTTCCAAAAAACACCAGTTTTTACTATAAGTACATTATTTTGACAATCAAAAGTCATAAAATATTATGTCTTGCACTCTCTCCTTCCTTAGGCATTCAATAAACAGTCAGTGCATGGACAGAGACAAAAAAGATTTCACTACCAGAGACACTAGACTTGTCCATTATCTATATAACTACAACACTCTTACCAATGACCTTGATCCTCCCTGGGACAAAATCTACATCCATAGGCCGAGTACAGGCAAAAAGAGAAGAGGTTCTTTGACGAGCTGGCATTTTTAAAATTTAACGCAGCTAAGATTTCACAATGCAAAACACACACTAATTAACAGTTAATTAGGTAGCCCAATTATATCCAGTGTACTTTAAAAAAATTTTAAAAAGAAAACTTTGGTAATCAATACATCTGGTGTAAAAATGCACTCAATATTCACGCCTGAAGTGATGAACCCATTCATTGAGTAATCCACTCTGGCAATTATGAATGAAAAGTCATTCCAACAGTGTAAACATTGTCTGCTAATCACGTATTGACTGTGGAACTCCCTGCCAACAGCGCACCGCTTCCTCATACGACCAGACAGTACTCAGCGAGAGTGAAAATCAAATCTCTCTCTCCCCCCAAATTTTGTTTCTTTACCAACAGGAACTCAATACACAATGAATGAATTCCAAATGTAATTTAGCCCCAATATCTCACATCTCAATCGAAATCGATCCCCAGCATAAAACCACATACACACCAAATCCTCTCTCTGTTAGGAATGAGGGCCATACGGCCTTAAAGATCTGAGGAATATAGAATGACACACCAGCCAACACTGTATGTTCTCCCTCTCTCTGACTTCCCAGAAACTGAGTTTATCCAATCCACTTTGAAGATTTTAATATTTCAGTGCAGCAGTACAGATGCAGATGAAGAATATCTTATCATGATTTTGGATCGGTAAGACTTTTTTTTTTTTTTACATCTCCCCACAAATCATTTTGTTATCAGGGCTTTTCCTGCTACACTTAGCCAGGTTTTCCTATCACCCTGCCAAGGAACAGATTGAGAATCCTCTCACTGTCTTCTATAACATCCAGGTCTGTATATCACATTGGGATTATTATTCAATGCTGATCGAATAATAACACAGAGAAAAGGGGTATAGAACCTCCACATACAAAACTCAGCTAAAGAAATCCTGAGGAATGATTGAAAAATCCTCTGTATTTTGAAGTGCGCTTTCCAATCTCTTCCACCTATAATGTCGAATGGTTTCTAAACTTGTGTAAGTTTACAAATGCTTGTAAACCCGCATATCCTCCCTTGTAAAACCGCAGAGAAATGTATCCCCGTCTTGGCGTTGATATGTCTTGATACACTTCCTCTGAAGTGAAGTGGGGGTTAGATGTCTGATCTAGGTACAGTAAACATCAACTGTGTGTCCATCAATGTCACATAGATCTAGAGTAAATAGATCAACCTCAGTACCACAACAGTGAAAAGTGACAGAGCCCCTAATCCAATTAAAGCCGCTCTGAACTGAACACATGGGCTAACACACTATGTCAATGGCAGTCACAGGAAAACAAAGACCCTTAGAACAACTAAAAGGCTAACAATTCCAGTTAATTCAAAAATCAATATTCCATACAATAAGTATCTACATATTGTACAATCTGCCCAAAGCTCTGAAGACTCTTAGTCCTCTTCATCACAATTAAAACTTCCTTCTAATTTCACAATTATTTCCACCTAAGTGTTTTCCTGTTTGAGTCTGGTACAGTGTAATCCCTCTCCGATGTTAACCACCCCCCTGAGCAGACGGCAGACACTCTCTACACTACAGCCATGTTATCTCATACAGATCTTCCCCAGGACATAAAGTGGTCAACAACATGTCATCAAACAGCATTAAAGCCATTGATATTCATTTCTCATTTTTCGTTTTTTGAGCTTTTTTTTTCACTGACAGATCAAATGATACAAGTCTCAATAAAGGGCCATTTTATCAATAAGTTGAACTACAATATATATATGTGGCCTTTATGTGACCCTTAAACAGTGTATTCTTATTCTAATTCTGTCATCAAAAAATAAGTTGGGTGACATTAAAAAAATAAATCATCTTGTAATGCAAGAAGCCCTAAGCAGATTACCACACTGTAGTGTTCTGTTTGAGTCTTGGGTGTGGTTTTTCTATCTCTTCATTATCAGACACCTTGGAGTGCATCAACGAGTACAATCAATATTTCAGTACAGTAAAATCCATCTTTTTTAATTTTAAAATTCAAATTATGCAATGAGAACTACCTGGGAAGATATACTGGCAGCTTAAGCAAGCAAGTCGGAGTTTTGAGATAGATTTTGTTCAATTCGAGTTCAAGTGCCATGTTTGACTTCAATACATCAAACATACAACATACTTAGCGACGCTAAAACATCATATTCAAGGGAAAATATGGCAATAAATAAAGTTCCTTGTGCCAAAGACAATCTATACTGTCAAAAAAAGTCTATAAACTAGTTTTCTCCATGTCTCAGTCTTTTACCCAAACTTACAATGCCATATGCCCCCTAGGGTGTAAACATTGATCTTAACTAAAGCTATCTGTCTGTCCAGTATTTGAGAGATTTCATGGGAATGTGCCATTTACAGATAAAACACATTTACAGGTATATGTCAAAACACTGGTAATCTTCACACCAAACTAATCCCAAAGGTGTCAAAGCAAGGCATTTATCAAAATTATCTAGCAGAGACATTATAATCAGGGGGTGAAAATTACATACCATATTAGTTAAATGTATGGGAATTGTAAGTAATTTTCAATGAAAAGAAAAGGCAGTTTATAGGCAATTTTAAAAAGACAAGACTCTGCTCACTGAACTTGATGATTCATAAAAAAAAATAAAATGGAAATAAAACTAGAGCCGAGCTCGTTGCAAAGCAACGAGTAGGTCAACCGGAAGTTACTTTCATTTAATGAAGTCAAAAATGGCTTATTAATCTATGTTCATTTTTGCAGACAAGTCATTAATTTAAGCTTCCAGTGACATATGATATCCAAAAACCTGTCAAGAACAACAAAAATATGCAATTTTTGAATTACAAGTGACCATATTTTGACAACCTCATTAGATAAAGCTTGACATTTTGAACAACTTTGCTTATTTGATGTATTATAAATTCTCAATACTTTTTGAATATTAAACAAAATCTTTCAAGGACCCTAGATCCCTAATTTTAGGGGCCAGCCCCTTTTTAATGATTTCAAATGAAAACGCTTGTAATTATGCACAACTTTCATTCAACATGTCTTAACAAAATATTTTTAGTTTTCAAGATAAAAAGGAAAATATCTGAAATTTTCGCTATTTTAGGTGTTCTAATTTTTTACCCCTATATAGCGCCATTTTGAATGCAGAAATCGAAAAACAAAAACCAATGTTTAAAAAAAACAAGTAAAACTTCTGCTCCAGCTTTTGTGGTCTCTGAGCCTTTATCCGACTCTGGGGCATAACAAAACCGGAAGTGAAAATTTTAGTCATTATTCTGATAGAATTTATAAACATAAAAAAAAAATAAAATGGAAATAAAAAAATTACTTCCCTTTGCTACCTTGTGCAAATATAATATAGCTATGCATGTAGTATAATTGTGATCAGTAACTGACAATTTCTAAGCAACAAATTAAATAAATATATAATTACAAGCATGTCAAAATCCTCAGTTTTACCAACAATATTTACAATTAAGGATTGATAGAAATTATAAGCCCCACTCCATAATGACAGAAGTGACTCCTACTGCTCTTGTTCTTGGTGATGTGGGCTGCTTTACATCATGAGCTTAATATTTGCATGAACTATTATTTTCTATATGAAAAAGATCCAATTGCATTCCTAATTCCACTGCTGATCAAAAAGTAAGAGACATCATATAAATAACCTGGTGAAGCATTCCCATGTTTATTGATATGGAAGAAAAGAAAACGGCCTCCTAGGCTAGAAGACAAATGAATTCACTACCAGGACCCCGATCTAATACTACGGCTGATCAGCCCGGAGGAGAAAGGGAAATTCTCAGAGAATTATTGAATTTGTTTGGGAGGCTGTGAATTTCTTCATTTTCCTGTCATTAGCCTTCCCAAAAAGAGCAGCTCGTCTGCCCCAAAGGTCAGAAGGTCATGTGAACAGCCAAGGAATCCATGTGTTAATTTTCCCAGGAATGATTTGTACTGCTCAGCCTCAATCATCTGAGATTCAATTTGTGGAGCTTCCTCCTACAGCAAATTAATAAAGACACATTCCCATCCACTACATTTTGTAATTCTCCTCTCATCAACATGGCATCTACTGTGTGCATTTCAAATATATTAACGAGCATTTTCAAATTAAAACTTTCAGTTTTAAAGTCAGCCAGAGCAGATAATATTCCTATCTATATCTTTTTGAAATTATACAGCAGCTGAAGAACTTTGATGATATCACTGGTTAGGAAAACAATCTCCAGATGGGTCAGCAGCTCATTCTTTATTCCACCCACATGCCATATTGCACCTGTACTTCCTTTAGTTATGAAGGAAACTGTACAATTATTTTTTTTTTTATTAAATATAATTAAATGTGTATCATGCATTTGTCTGCTTTGTGCAATAACTTCCTTATAGTCTCTGAGAATCAATATTTACAAAAAAAAAATTGAATATCCGGAGGAATCACTTGCTGTATCTTTAAAACTGGTACATACTTATTTTAAAGTTCCCACCATGGTCCATTGACCAATTCGCTTGTAGAAATGCCAACTCTGATTTATCTCCCTTTGTATTTGCTTAAATAACATGCAAGTCATAGATTTTAACCAAAACCAGGTGTCAGAAAAGTCTATATATCTAATCCTTAAGAGCCCAGACTATTTTTCTTACTATTTAAAACACAATTTTACTTACTTTTGGAAAAAAAAAAATGAGATTCAACTTGACATCTATGTTTTAAAGTTATAGTTAAAAATTGTACTTATAAAAAGTGGAAGCTCATGTATCACATGAGACCTTCATTTCTATCAATAGGGAGATCCATGTTGACAGTATTTAACTCATACTTATAATTTACCAATTCATTCTGAAAAACTAATATGCTGCTTTCCAACTCTATAAAGCTCAAGCTATATCTTCCAGCTTCATGTGAGGTTTATACACCTCAATACTATGACAGATGCTAAGTAGGCAATACAGGTAACTCACGATGAATTAGCCTGGCTGTATATTTAGTTATGAAGAATGTATACAGTGTATACATACAAATAAACATTTTCTTAGGTCTGGAAAGTATCAAGGAAAATCTTAATATGACGTAGATTAATGAGAAGAAAAATCTGCTACACCTGGCCGTGTAGCTCATTTCTCATCAACAGGTAGGCAAATATTCACGGTCACAACTCGGGGGGTGATTAAGTAAAAATTTCAGTGTACAAACTTGAATGTGTAAATTGAAGCAAAGCATGGAAAAATATGCAAGTCACAAAAACTACTTGTTATAACTTTATATCATCTCTTAGGCTACATATATTGTCAAATAAAGTATGCACTAGAGTATTTTAATCATGATCCTAAATAATTAACTCTGACAGTCATAAGTTCATTTTCTTCCTTCCTGCAAAATTTTAAAAGCAATTAAAGTGAACTAATTAAAAAAAACAAGGAAAAAAAATATAATATAGACATGATAAATATATATCAAAAATAAATATAAAGATGTTTAACCTTTTTCCATGATCTCTGACTGTCGTGTTTGCACTTTGTGGGTTTGTTTGTGTTTACTATTCTCGCTGCCCTCTTTGATGAGCAGTGTGGCTTTATTTGTGTATTAATACACGAGTAGGTGCCCCCTATTGTCTTCCTGTGATTCTGGGTGAGTCAGTTTTGAGTCACACTCGTGTGAGTGACGACCCTCTGCCTACTTATACAAACTTACTGTGGGTCTCATGATCTATCATCATGAAAGCACTTCAAAGCACTATACTATTGCACAACAATATACATATTAATAAAATATTTATCACTTCTTTTTAACGTTGATATATCATGGTGTTGTCTTGCGCCCCACTGTTTCG